GGATGTGTCTCCGTCTTTACAGTCTCTCTGACGGATCTCTTCGCTGTGATTATGGACCGACGAGAGTTCACGCTGTCCACCGGGAGAGATGAGAAGGCAGACCCGAGGTTTAGATCTTGACTCTCCTACTCACGTGGTCTCGCTGGCGCACTCGGGGGAATGAGAGTGTCCGCTTTCCAAAGACCCCAATGCTTCAATGCTAGCAGGCGAGGGGCAGCAATAAAAAAAGGGATAGGTAAGGTAACGAGGGGATCCGTCTCGCAGCTAGTGAGAGAGGCGTAAGGTAACGTATGGAGTATGGAGTGCGTGTAGATTTGTGTAGTAGGTAGAGGTCACGGTAGGTATCACCGTAATTCCGAGCTGGGAGTCCACGTCCACGTCCACAGTCGGGCGTCACCTCGCACACGAAGGGGGGGCAGACGACGGAACTGACAGAGACGGACCAGGCACGAGGACCTAGGACCGAAAGAGAAAGAGGGTGTCAAGAATGGAGAGAGTGAGATGAGAGAGTGAGGTAAGTAGGTACGTAGGATGATGGATGGAACCTCAAGGCATGCCCCGGCGTAGCAGGATGCCAGTGGCAGACGGCAGAGGTCGGGTCGGATGTGGTTAGGTAGGTAGGAGCGAGACCGGTGTGTGTGAGTGTGTGTGTGTGTGTCGCGGAAGGCGGTTTGAGTTTTGGATGAACGTCTCTGCCAATGTCTCGCCGCTGCGTTCCATACAGAGGCGCGAACTGGGCACGGACCGAAAGGTAAGCTAAGGTCCTGTAAGGTACCGATACCGTTCGACCTGATGTCGTGTGCTGCAAGAGGGCTCCTGGATACAGTACGGGATGCTGTCACGCGGAAACGTCAACCGTCGTGCGGTATCGTATCACGTCTTGGGTGCGTCTGCGCCTACTGTCAGTAGACGGGACAGATCACGATCGGGACTTGGAAGGTACAAGGTTGATGGCCGCTTCGGCAGCCAGACAGCTGACAGAGAATGCTTGGGCAGAGTCCAGCAAAGTCGTCCCCCCCGTTCTTGCCTTGAAATCACACTGGTGATTGGCGACCGGCGAGTCTCCACGGGGAAAGGGCGAAGAGACGGGAGCCACAACAAGCCAAGCAGCGACAGCCAAGCAGGGATGGCGGCGGTCGATGGAGGTCCAGAGCCCAAGGTTTCTCCGTCTTGTGTAATTTGACTGCAGCCATACCTCGTCTGTACGTACCTCGATACGGCAATGCATTCATTCCGCGACCATGACAGAAGCCAGCCAATGTGCCCTCATCATCACTCTTTTGTCATCACTTGCTACGGAAATCCATGACTTTTTTTGTGCAAGGAGCATGGAAGACAAATTGAAGGAAGAAGGAAAAAAAAAACATCGCGAAAGACCCGCCGCCGCCGCAACCTGACACATCCCGAATAAAACAGGCGCACCTCAAACTGAGTGAACCACAGCTGCACGGCAGCAATATCGGCTCGCAATACGGAATATGCTGTGCACTTCGCGCAGGCGTTGCGGCACGTCACATGTACAGTGCTCTCATCTTTGGCAAACGGCGCGTTTGAGACGACTTGCTTGTAACAACGAACTTCAAAACCCTTTAGGCGGGCATGATACCGAATTATCGATACCCACCTCAAGCAGTCATTTCCGGGTCAAACCCATACGTACACTAGGCGCGCAACTTTTGAGGCTGTCGGTCAGGGGGCGCAAAAACACCACTGCGAGATCCGTGCTGGACTGCTGCTTCCAGGGCAGATCTGCTCTGTCCATAGTGTACACACTCCCAATCAACGTCGCCCTACCTCTGCCGGCCTCCGCTAGGGACTGTCAATCCTCCAAACTCTCTCCATCACGACTCCCATGTTCTTACCAAACCGATCGAGATTCAGGGTTGCGGTGTGCAGGACGACAGAGAGAGATGGATTGGTCATCTACCGCTGACAATGGAAGCTATTGCTTTTCCAGCCATGATTGCCAGTCGATGTCACCTTCTCACCGGTGAGCCGGTTTTCCGACTTGCCCTGACACTGCCTGACCCCTTGGCCCTTGTCGACGTCGACAACAGAGGCTCAAAGGCTCTCCGTTCCAAGACTTTGTTACAATACCAAAATTACGTATAGAGCCCCCTCAGTCACTCAGTACAATTGTGCGGTTGTGCCTGCCAGCCTGCGATTGATGCCCGGGCCCCGCCGATCTCGCGTTCTGGAAGGGCCCATTTCTTTCCCCCTTTGGGTGCGTGATCCCTCGGGTATAATGGCGGGCAGCAACCAGTTCGGCAACTCATCCGACCGCCGACATCCCAACCGATCTGGAAGAGGTTGAAAATTTCAATATTTTCGGGGCGAGCATGCAAAGCGTCGGTGCAAGCATGCAAAGACTCCACGACCGGACCGCCGATCTTGGGCCTGAAATTCTCGGGCACCGAACGGAATGCACTCCGGAGATGTGGGATTGCTAACGTGTCACTAGAAAACCCACGAGGGCCTGCTTGGAATCGTCGATGAAGTGCGCTGATGCAACCAGCGGACGTCTTTAGCGCGGCTCAAGTGGTAGGTGGTATTAGGGTAATTATCGATGGTGCTCAGAAGATTCAGATCTGAGCATCTTTGTTATGTAAAGAGCGGCATGTCGAAGGATGAATTCGAATACTCTGGACCGTTGGACGTGCATCTTTTTCGAAGCCACCGACATGGTTGTTTGGCCATGAGACCTCACGGCAACAGGTCACCATGCAGTCAATGGCAGTTAGCCACGGCAACCGGCGATATTTTCGCTGGCACACTTTGTGTGTGTGCTATCACAAGTATAAAATCGGACGCATGCTCAGCAGCTACTGAGCACCATACGGTCGATGACCATGGTATTTTCCGATGGCAGCACCAAATCACAAAACAGTGGTACAGAGCCCGTCGACGAACAACGCGCGGCTGCAATTGAGGGCTCGGGTTCTGTTGCCGAAAGAAGGATGCCATTCGCAGAGCCCTTTCGTCGCGTGCACGGCGTGCTGGATCTTCTCAACGACAATGATACCTTGACATTATGAAGGATTGACTGTGCATTGGATAGCAAGCCCATCCAGGCCCCAAGCTTCCATTCGCGGCGTCGGGTGTCGTTGCATGACGGGCCCACGGCCAGCTTCGGTCACGAGACAGACGGCGGACCGGCGGCAGCATGCGCGGTGGGACGGTGATCGGTGTACGGTGAGCTCCGATGGCATTTCTGACCAGAAATCAGAATGCCGTCCCGAGCCCTAACCCTCGTCCATTCGACACACCTCGGTAGGCTCAACCCGGTTCAACTGCCGAACTAGAGGTCCACAGGACGGCAACCCTCACCGGCTGAACTCGGATCCGCAAAAGTGGAATCTTGTCCGCCTCGTCATCTACTCGCGGTCGATCGCGCCGGGGCTCGGGCCGTTTTGGACGGAGACTGAAGAGCGCCTTGAGCACTGACCAAGGGGCCAAGCTGTGTGTCAGTCCTTGGTAAGGTCTTGGCGGCTGGCAGTCCATGTGGGTGAATTGTGATTGGCGAGTTCTGTCTACCCGTCATTTTGGCTTCCAGTTCCATTTCTCGTGAGGCTTGCGGACAGCGGGGCGATGGTGAGTGGTGACAGTGACAGTGACAGCGACAGTGACAGGCCGGGGCGGCGAGCAGGGGACTGTCAAATGTCAATTGATCCTCTTTTCGTCACCCTCACTGATCTCGTTGCCCCCATCATCACCTTCGATGCACTAGACTAGCATCTAGCTTGCCGGCCAATCGAGATAGGTACGGTTCGCAGTCGATGGCAGCTGATGGCCGATTGCCGACGAGGACGGATACCTAGCGTGCAACCGATGACTTTTCTCTGTGTGTTGGGGCTCTCTTGACTCTCTCTCGGCCATCTGATTCGGGCAAAATGCTCGAAACCACGATGGAACGTTGATGGCCGCCCGGCTCTTCGTAACGCCTTATGAGACGGTGATGGATTGATGGCAAGTGCCGGGCCAAAACCGTTGGAGTTAGACCTATCGCTGCCATGAGGTGATGACCCTGCTGATGGTACATAGGAGAGCGCCTACACTGGCGGCTTCTGTTCAATAGTTGAACTACCCCTTTCCACCTGCCGTTGTGTCAAGAGATCATCTCCCGACATTCTGGAAATATTGCACGAGCGTGCCGTGATGAGAGCTTCAGGGCGTCTATCGAGTCCAGAAGCCTTTAGGCAAAACACTGTTGTATGGTTGGTGATCATCATCATCCTTTGACTATGGTCATGTTGCAATATGTAAGCCAAGAATAAAAACACCCTGCATCACTTAGATTGACAGTTTGACATTTTTAACAGCACCAGTGTCTTGAATCGTGGGTGCAGAACTGCAGATGGCATCTTTTGTGTTCCCCTTCCTGATGCACTTTGCCCTTGGGGCTGAATGGCGATGATGGTGATGATCCCGCTTTGACTATCAAAAGCAATAAGCTCGCACCAAACAAGCAGGTGGGTGTGTCAGCAACAGCAACGGGGTCGTTCGGTTGCACGCAGGAGTCCGCCAGAATCGCACTTCACCACTCGCAAACTCGCCCTCGATTCCATCAGTCCAACCGTGAACCAAGGTCCTCGTGCTCTGTGCCGCGCGGGATTGGAGCACCAGAGGGGATGGCGGGCGCTTACACGCCGCCAGTGCCATTCAACCACGGCCTCCGATTGGGCCGTTGGCGTGATTGACCTGGGGCCATGCAGCCCATCAGCCTGTCTGGCATTGGCTCAAGAGATTTTTGCCAGAGCTCTTTTGGGGGCGGACAAGGGTAACACTGAGCTTCTGCTATCCTCATCGAGGCAGCCAAGCACATTGGTTCGACGGGTCGGTTGGTCTGCGGCCGCGGGAAGAGAGGATGGCCTTCTGCGAGCAATCATGAGGGCCGCCCTCTCCAGGGTCTTGGTTTGCTTGTCTTATCTCTTAAATCCTTTCCCGTTCCCTCCCAAAGGTACTTCGTCAGCCTCTCTTTTGGTTTTTAGCTTTTACGGCCCCTTACCCAAATAATCGCCTCTTCAGAAATTCAGCTGTCAACTGTCGTAGGGGTGGTTTGAAGGATTCGAGAAAACGACGACGACATCTTTGGGCATTCGATGTGAGCCGCTTGGGAAGTTGCTGGTAGTTCAGCAATATCGGATACATATACAAAGGACGATAAACGCCCGCGAACGAATAATAGATAAGGCGACAACGACGACACCTACCTACGAATATCAACATCAGGCGGAAGAAGGGTTGACCATCAAAGGAAGATCGCATATCAGACGATCCACTGTGCTTGGGAAGGACATCATCTTTTCGGCTTGCAAAAACACAACATCAACACATTTCCAAAATGGCGGCAAAGGGATACAGACTCCTCCGACGGCCATGGCGAGTAAGGCGGCCACTCTACTATGGCATGGTTTTCGAGCTGCTCGGCATCGTCGCCGTCCTCGTCCTCTTCGGCGTCCAGCAACCAGACGCCTTCCGCACACAATTCTGGGAGATCGGCCATCTCATGGGATGGAACTCATCACCAGACATGATCCTCTACGCATACGCCAACTACCAACCTCTACCTAAAGTTCCGTTTGTATGGTCACAGCTGTGAGTTGCCGCCATCATCGTCAAGAGGTTTTGGACTTGGACATGTATCAACTAACACGGGCAACAACCACACACAGATTAACAAATTTCAACGTCGCCATCTCCGTCGTCTCCCTCTTCATCTTGCTCGTCAAGATGATCATGATCATCATGAAATTCTACTACCCCGTCCTCGGCCTGATCGTCAGCCTCGGCCTCACGGTGCTCTACACCGTCTCCGTCTACGGCCAGGCCGGCCCCGATTACGCCGACCCCGAGCACCCCAGCCCTGTGGCCTGGTACATTGCCAAGTCGTGCTCGGTCGCGAGGCCGTTCAACGCCGAGGGGAACTGCCAGATTGCCAAGGGCGCTTTTGGTGCTACCATTTATTTGCTGTATGTTTTTTTCCCCCATCACCACCACCATCCTTTCTTTCCCAGTTCCCCAGGATGAAATATGTTGCTGACATAACCCCGAAAACAGAGTCGTCTACCTAGCAAACTTCATCCTCTCCATCTGGTCCATGTGGCCCAACAAGATGCTCGACATGTACGACGACGACGAAGACTATGACGACGAGCAAGAAAGCAAGCCCAAGGGCAAGCAGCCAGTCGTCAACGTCACCGCTCTTCACGGCGGCATCGGCATCATGAGCGGCGGTAGCCCAAGTACGGGTTACTACGGAAACAAGGAGTGGGAGATGCAACCCACGCAGCAGCCTCCTACGAGCCCGAGGGCGGTGCACATGTCGGGGGCAATGGGCGGTGGTCACGGTGGTGGTGGTGGTTACGGTGGGGGCGTGGAGCCGCCGCTGTTTACGCCCAGGACGCAGGCTTTTCATGCGTTGGATCGGAGGTTGCCTTTGAGGTGCGGTTGAGGAGATGTGCTGCTGTGGGTTGGCGGAAGTCATGATGATGGCGCGCGACTGTGAAAAGCGAGGGCGCGGGAAATGAGACTTACATGTTTAATTTTTGGATGGGGATGGATGGAGGGAATGACGCGTGGATGGCGGTTACTGCCATGAAGTTTTTCACAGCTGTGGAAAGATTCGCGAGGATGTCGGCAAACGAATCTCGCGGAACCTAGGAAGAGTTCAAGATGTCCAGCTCAGAGCTAAGGGCACACCCAAGGAGACATCGTCAACCGGCCATCTTATAGGATGGATGGAGTCCCCCAACAACACCACGGGACAGGGCAGCACAGGTATTTACAACGCGGAGGGAAGGAAGCTGGATCTTTTTGTCTCTCCAGCTACATGATACCATCATTTCTCTACACATCTATCCATCCATCATCACTGGAACCTCTTCCTCTTTTTTCTTTTCTTTTTCACTTTGTACATATCTTATATACCACGGGAAGGACTGGAACTGGATTGCATCATATTAATGGTGTGCCTGTCCGCCATGAATGCTCAAGGAAGCAAACCAATGGAAGTTAAACAAAATAACATGTCTCAATTGTTGACTGACTACCTTACATACCTTCTCTGCTTGGTCTTTGTTACTCGTGATAACACTTCGATCACTTACCACCTCTTCAAAACATCCACATACCACCTCCCTCCCCTCTTTCAAGGAAAAAAAGAAGTAACCTCACAAACCCCCATAACTAAACAAACTCAACCAAAGCCGCACTCCCCGCTTCAACCGCCACCCCCAACCCCACCTTCCCGCCATCACTCACTCCCTCGCCCACCCACGCCCTCTCATTCTCGCTCCTCCTCGTCACATTCGCCAACCTAACCGGTCTCCCCTCGTCCAGTTCCCAATTATAGCTCCATCCATCCCACGTGATTCCCGTGATGGCATCGCTCCCGTTAGCCATCAATCTCTTCACCACCACCTGCTTTTCTTTTCCTCCATCCTTCAGGAGATAAGCGGCGGGTAATGTGAAGTTAAACGTCACTGTTGGACGAGGAGTCAGGGAGGAAGGAGGCAAGGGAACGAGACCTTCGCCGGAGGCGGTGGTGTTGTAGGATTGGAGGTTGAGGAAGATGAGGCGGGTGAGGGTGGTGGAGTGGTAGGCTGCGTAGGCGGAGAGGAATGGGGTAGAGGGGATGGGGATGTGTTTGACGGTTGCAAGAGGGGAGGTGGGGGAGTAGGAGGAGGAGGAGGGAGGGGGGGCGAGGAAGGAAGCTACGGCTATGTTGCCGTAGTAAGGGGCTTTGGTGCCGATGGTGGCTTTGGTGGTGGCTATGGGTTGCCAGGAGGCGTACTGGATGGGATGAGGGTTAGAGTTAATTTAGTGGTCCGGACGCGGAGAAAAGGGGAGGGGGGGATTTTTGGAGAGAACGGAAGGCAGAAGGAAATGGGTAAGGGTAGGTAGGTAGCGTCAGAAAATGAAAGGCGTGGGAAAGGGTAGATAGAAAAACGTACCCGGTAATCAGTACCCATGTGCATGTGTACCCTCTTGAACCCAACACTGGCGGAATACAAGTTGAAGTCCACACCCCAGAGAGCCGCGCCAAAGGTGTTTGAGAGCCCTGGTCGACCCTGGTTGTATAGCGAGTTGGTCTCGCCAAAAATGAGCGGCGGAGCTGCAGGATCAATGGCCTTAACCTGGTTGTACTCTACAATGTGGGCATCAACCGAACCCTTGGTTATGGAATGGTTCATCAGAGTCCCTTGGAGGGTAACCCCTGGGGAGGTTGCGCCACTGATGTAACTATCACCGAAGTCGTTAGAAAGGTCAACATACTCTTGACAGTTCCACGAACTTACTTGTGCGTATCAAACAGCTTGATGTTCTTGTCCTCGTTGAGTCCTTCGCCCCACGCTTTCGGTGCCTTCAACTTGTTGCCCACGCCGGCAAATGCAGGTGCAATATACCCGTAGGTACCATTTTTGGCCAGGTCTGGACAGTTCTTCTCGAGTAGCTCATGGATCTTTCTCGTGCCGTTTAGCCATTGGTCGACGTACTCTGCCTCGTTCCAACTGGGCGGTCTCACGGGACCCTGGGAAGAAGTAGAGAATAGATCCGGCTCGTTACCATATGTCCACGCGAACAGCTTCCCGCCGCTCAAGGCCTTGCAGGCGAGTGGGACCGTATCCAGAAGCGTCTGCCAGCCGGATGTCCGGTTGCCGCCTAGGCCTAGATTGAAGCCATGAATGAACTTAGAGTTCTTGAAGGTATTGTAAGATTCGAAGAACGAGGGACCAATGAAGATGGTGGTTGGGTAATCGGGGGAACGCTTGGGATCGATCGTGCCATTCAGAGCATAGGGCAGCGAGGCATTGTACAGGGCGTAGTCCTGCGTATTGCCGCCGATGCGGATGTACGGCTTGGTACCAATGATGTTGCCCAGGTTGTCCAGAAGATTCTCGGAGAAGGTGTTTGGACGAGAGTTGTTCCCTGCAAGCAAGCAAAGCGCGTTTCAGAAGCTGTCAGATTCGGCGATCGTCCAAGGAGTCTTACCTGCAAAGTCGGGGAAGCTAGAAAACTCGATGCTGTAGCTCACATACCCGTCAAAGACCGGGTTGCTGGGCCCAGTCTCGTCGACGGATATCTGCACGGCATTAATTACTGTTGGAACGGAAGCATAGGCAATGAGGCTCAGGATTCGCCTCATGATTGTTAACTGTAAGGGGCTAGATTATGTCGGCGTCGGTCAGAGGAAGGTTGCTGCGTCTATGTTTCCGAGACAATAACTTCATTTTGGTTCGCCGACCGGCGCTGGCATGGTATTTAGATGAAGCTGGCCCATGCTGGATTTTCGTTCCTTGTCTTTCTCCTGCTCACCACGACAGATCAAGTACGTAGTCCATCTCGGTGTCAATGGCAGCTGCGAATCCTATAATGCCACTCGGACTTGCAATATGCCGTAACGGGGAACCCCCGTCGATAGACGAAAACTGAAAGGTAGTAGGCCCGGGTTGCATGCTCGTGTACTATGAGATGCGAGGGTGTTTGGGAGTATACGGTTGGCTATGTTTTTGAGCCTGAATGAGGCGATCAGCAGTACGACATGACCAAACCCCGCAAAGGGTGGACGTGTTCGATCACGATGGATGGGAACCGGGAGGTATACATCGCATTTTAGAAATAGAGATCCTGCTTTCGATCTCGTCTAGTCAATATTTTCCTTTGGGCGTGATCCCATGGCTTTTCTTGACCATTATTTGCCCGAGCCGGGCCGGTTTGGATTGGTGGAAGGACTCCGACCAAGAGATCTTGTGAGACGCAATATTTGTCCGTCCGCTGACGAGGGAAACTTAGAACGAAGATATTGTTCGCCAATCCGGATAGTAGCTTGAGTAGCTACTATGAGGTTCCAGTGGTGTAATCTGTGTGATTCGCCTCGGGGTGCAACCTTTGGGAGGACAAGACTTTGTCTGTTACCCCGCATCCCTCGATTCGGAGCTTTTTTTTTTGAGTGTGATCGACACCGGGTGAGCGACGGATGGACGGTTCCGCCAAGGCTGACCCCCTTTTGGCTTCTGCAGTTCCTTCAGAGAGAATGTTGAAGTTATCTCGAGAACTGGCCGAGGGGATGAGATGATTCTGGGGAGGTCTGAGCACTGAAAGATATCCGTGGCTGAGACTCGAGCTCTGGGCATTCCGCCCCAGGAATCGAAGAAACCCTCAACTCAAAGTTTTGTGTGTCTATATGGCTTCTCAAGAGCCGGGAGTCTTCTCCTAGCTGAAGACTCGGGGGATCTGTTGAGCAACATCCATGTGAGGAGAATATGGTTGTGTACGCTCGCACGGGGGTTCGTCCCGGTAGTTTTCCGGAATCAGAGAGTTCTGTGAGTCTGTGAGAAGCCGGGGTGTACGTTCGGATTGGACGCCGAACATTCCACGGAAGGACACGGAGAACTCGGGAGGAGAAGAGAAGGAGACGAGGGAAGTTGGCTGCCGATATTATGTAATAGCCTCCAGCTCTTTTCCCACCTTTATCGTGGCCCGATAAGGCCAGGTACAGACGTCATCGAGGCTAGCATTGTTTGGGGAAAACAGTCCACTAACTCCACTGCAGGAGCGCTATCCACTAGCGGTCGTCATAGCTCTTTGCAGAAGGTGCTGCTGCGAACCATCGACAGGACAAACAGCATCAGCCGACATCGCATCCATCCAATCCATCCAATCCAAATAATAGTCTCGACTTTCTCCAACTTCTTCCCCGCATATTACCGGCATTCCGTCACCCGTCAAACTGCCATCTGAGCTTCCCCTCGCATTGACATCCGCGGCCCCGGAGACAAACCACTAGTCAGTTGAAACGCCGTCGCCGTACAAGATGGCTTTCTTACAAAGATCCCTTTTCTCCGCCTCCAGAAACACAGCCATCGTCAGATCTCGCTTCCAGACGAAATCCCTACCACTAGTACTACACTCATACTCACGACTAGCCTCCACCATGGCTCCCAAGGTCCGTATAGGTAGACTCGGTAACAACCGCTTTTACTAACTCCCTTTCTGAACAGCTCAAAGATCCATCACTCTTCAAGAAGGACGTTTGCTATGTCAATGGCGAATGGGTAAAGGCCCAGTCGGGCAAGACCTTCGAAGTCAATGGTATGTCTCCCCTTACATTCCCATGCCGTGGCTTTGCAGTTATGCACATATCACATACATACAACTAACTCCGCTGTCCACCTACAAAGACCCAGCAACAGGCAAGCTCATCGGTACCTGCCCCGAATTCGACGCCCAAGACACCAAGAAAGCCATCGATGCCGCCGAAGTCGCCTTCGAGACCTTCCGCCACAAGACGGGCCGCGAGCGCTCCAAGCTTCTGCGGAAATGGTACGACCTAATGGTCGAAAACCACGACGACCTGACCACCCTCATCACCTGGGAGAACGGCAAGCCGGTAGCGGACGCCAAGGGCGAAGTCACCTACGCCGCCAACTTCTTCGAGTGGTTCAGCGAGGAAGCCCCCCGCATCTACGGCGACACCATCCCCTCCTCTGTCCCGGGTAACCGGGTATGGACCATCAAGGAGCCCGTCGGCGTCTGCGGCCTCATCACGCCCTGGAACTTCCCCGCCGCCATGATCACGCGCAAGGTCGGCCCCGCCCTGGCTGTCGGCTGCACGGTCGTCTGCAAAGCCCCCGGCGAGACGCCCTTCACGTCACTCGCCATCGCCGAGCTCGCCCACCGCGCCGGCATCCCCCCCGGTGTCGTGAACGTGATCACCGCCCTGGAAAACACCCCCGAGGTCGGCAGCACGCTGACCACCGACCCGGTCGTCCGCAAGATCTCCTTCACGGGCTCCACGCCCGTCGGAAAGCTCCTGATGAAGCAGTGCTCGGGCACGCTCAAGAAGCTCTCTCTTGAACTAGGCGGCAACGCGCCCTTCATCGTCTTCGACGACGCCGACGTGGACGCGGCCGTCACGGGCGCCATCGCCTCCAAGTTCCGCTCCTCCGGTCAAACCTGCGTGTGCGCCAACCGCATCTACGTGCAACGGGGCATCTACGACGAGTTCGCTTCCAAGTTTGCCGAGCATGTCAAGAACAACTTCCGGGTCGGCAACGGGTTCGAGGAAGGAGTCACGCACGGTCCCTTGATCCACCACCGCGCCATCGACAAGGTCGAGCAGCACGTCCGCGACGCGGAGAAGAAGGGCGCCAAGGTGGTGGTGGGCGGCCACAAGCTCGAGAAGCTGGGCCCCAACTTTTACGAGCCGACCGTCATCACGGGTATGACCCGCGACATGGCCATGGCGTCGGAGGAGACTTTCGGACCCGTGGCTGGCTTGTTCGCCTTTGACACGGAGGATGAGGTGGTCAAGCTGGCTAACTCGACCCAGGTCGGCTTGGCAGGCTATTTCTTTTCTAGAGATATTCAGCGCTGTCACAGGGTTGCTGAACACCTTGAGGTTGGCATGGTTGGTATCAACACTGGCTTGATTTCGGATCCCGCGAGTCCGTTTGGCGGTGTTAAGGAGAGTGGTTTCGGAAGGGAAGGATCGCTCTATGGTATCGGAGAATACCAGGTGACCAAGATGGTTACGATTGGAGGTATAGGGCCTTTGCAGAAGTGAGCGCAAAAGTGAAGGAAAATTCTACGTCTTAATGTTCTTATGATCATGCAGTAGCGATAGCCCGGCGGGCGAATTTAGCATGGGGTCTTGGGTATAATGGTAGTATGGTTGATTGGCTATAAAGACACTACTGTAAGAAACTAAGGCAGACACAGATGATGCTAAACTGGAACCAAGGACAAAAATCTCTCGCGAGTGCAAAGCTTTCCATGCCCGTTTGTCTCTCTTATTCTCTCTCTCTCTCTCTTACTCGTTCTTTCCATGAGGGTATCAGAAGAAACCAATCTCAAAAGGGGTATCTCTCGAAATGCAGACCCGATTCCGACCAAACCCGCAGCGATTAATTAGTATGGTAGGGTATTTGTTTTGTTTGTGTTGTAGTTATTAAGGGATTATTTTGAGGGAGTCCTCGTGTCAATCCTTCCTAGTGTATCGAACTCGAAGCGGCCCTTCGGACGCCGACGGTGCCGATGTCTAGGCGGCAGCAGTCACAGGGACGGAGGAGGCAGGCTTCTCAGCCTCAGTCTCCTCGGTAGCCGGGGCGGCGGGGGTAGCCTCGGTCTCGGTAGCGGGCTGAGCAACCTCCTCAGTGGTGGCAGGAGCAGCCTCCTCCTTGGCGGCCTCAGCCTCGACCTCAGTCTCGGGGATGGCCTCCTCGGTCTTCTCCTCGGCCTTCTCAGTCTTCTCGGCCTTGCCCTTGCCCTTGCCCTTGATCGTATCACGGAGACGAGAGAAGGGAGAGGGAGACTTGGGCTTCTCGATCTCCTCGTCAGAGGTGGCCTTCTCCTTCTTGCCAAAGGCGAAGGGAAGAGAGCTCTTGCGCTTGTCGCTCTTGACCTCCTTCTTGGGAGAAGACTCGCCGTTGGTGGCAGCGGGGACCTCGACAGTCTCAGTGGGGACAGTCGCGGGAGAGTTGACCTCAGCGGAGAGGGGCTCGGTGGTGTCAACAGCAGGGATCACAGGAGCGGTCTCGGCGACGGGCTCGGTGGTGGCAGCAGGGGCCTCCTCAGTAGCGACAGGCGCAGGAGAGGCAGCCTTCTTCTTGCCGAAGGAAAGGTTGCCGAAAAGGCTGGTGCGCTTGGCAGGGGTGGGCCTGACGGGGGTCTCAGCAGCCTCCTCAGTGGCGGGGGCCTCGGTGGCGGCCTCGGTGGCAGCAGCAACCTCCTCAGTGGCGGGGGCCTCGGTGGCGGCCTCAGAAGCGGGAGCCTCGGTCTCACCCTCCTTGGGCTCGGGAACAGCCTCAACGGTAACGGGCTTCTTCTCCTCCTTCTTGCCAAAGCCAAGGTTGCCGAAGATCGAAGTGCGCTTGCGGCTAGCAGAGCGGCGCTTGGAACCCTCCTCCTTGGCCTCCTCCTTAGCGACGGGCTCAGTAGTAGCGACCTCCTCAGTGGCAGCAGGGGTCTCCTCGGTGGCAGGAGCCTCAGCGGCAGCCTCAGTGGCGGGCTCAGCAGCGGCAGCGGCCTCGGGGGCCTCCTCCTCCTTCTTCACAGCAGCAGGCTTGAGGGTCTCAATAGTCTTCTTGTAGGTCTCGCTCTCGACAACGGTATTGGCGAGCTCCTTGGCCTCGGCGATCTTGGCCTTGAGCTGGTTAACCCAGTTGTCGCGCTCAGCGGTGTTGGAAGCCTTGAAAGCGTGCTTGTGGCCCTTGGCAGTGAAATGGAACTTGGTAGCACCGTCGGTGGCGGGCTCAGAAGCATCGGCCTGCAAAGTAGCGGTTAGCAAAATGTGAAGTGATCTCGGCGCATAGATCAAGGTATCCTTACGAGGTGGATGGCGCCGTGGGGAGCGGCCTTGTCAGACTTCTCGCTGAAGAAGAGGAGACCCTTGCCGGTCTCGGCGGCCCAGGCGGTGACGTGGTGCGCAACATCAGCGGCCTTGTCAGCCTTGAAGGTGCTGATGGACTTCAGATCAACGGCCTCATTTCCGAACCAGAAGAACTTCTTGGAGAAGAGAAGGTTCCTGGGAGTGATGGTGTTAGCTTGATGATTCCTCCACTCGCGCGTTCCTGTGGGTGTCCTACTTGGGGAAGTTGGCGGGCTGGCCCTTGTGCTCAAGATGACCCTCCTCGACGGGCTTGACTTCCTCCTCCTTCTTGTCCTCCTCAGCAGCAGCGGGGGCGGCCTCGGTCTCGGTAGCCTCAGTGGTGGCGGCGGCAGCGGGCGCAGCCTCGGCGTCGGCGACAACAACGGGAGCCTCAGTGACGGGAACAACCTCGAGGGGCTTGATCTCGGCGGGGACGTCGGCAGTGGTGACAGGCTGAGTCTCCTGGGGGGGCTCAACGTTCTTCTGTTCGTCGGACATTTTGAATAGTGTGAAAATAGGGATGGGTATCTGGAAAAAAGGAAGAAAAACACAAAGGGGTATTGGGTATCACTGAAGAAAAGACAGCAAGAAAAGGCAGAGAGCGTGCGCTTGGGGGGAATTATTACGCGACGTTGCTCTGACACGAGGTGGTGGATGTGTGGGAAGCACAAAAAAATCTCTGGAGGGAGAGGTTGTGATGGCGGGAGGGAAAAGAGAAGGGGAGGGAAGCAGGAGGAAACCGCGTGATGACCCCTGGGGTACTTAAGTTTATTGAAGCCCTGGCAATGAGTGGCCTGGCCTAGCAGCTCCCCTAGCAGGCAAAAGTCTGGGCGTACTAACCTACCCTACCGGTCTGGCTGTGACTGTCCCGTGTTGCCAGGTCAGGACCACACCAAGAGCCCCGGGAGGTTGGCTTCAAGGTTCTCGCTTCCACTTCCACTTCCACTCTCCTACAAGGTCCCCTCGTCCCCCTCGTCGTTCGTGGGAAAGAAAACGGCGGTAGGACTTCCTGGTGATCTGCGCTCGCCAAAAGCCGCCCTGTGACTGGTCGACTGCTTCCCCCTTCACGTCCCGTCACCCCCCCTTGCTCACCACAACGCCCTTCTTCTGGACAACGTCCCGTCGTCCCATCTTCCGTTGCTTGCTGCAGGGTCTGAAACGGAACATGAAGCTCTTGTGTAGCGGCAGCTGGCCGGCAGTCGATGCCAAGAAGCCCCTAGTCCCAACCTGAAGCTGTCAGAGCTGCCTGAGCTGCCTGAGCTGCCTCAGCTATGCGAGGTTGGTGCGAAAAGAAAGAATGCCTGCTTTGACGGAGATGAGAGATGTGCTGGCTCATGGATGACCCAAACTGGTCCGTTTTTTCCAAGCTGCGTTTTCCTGGCTAGCAGCTACTTAGCCCGACAGGGATGATACTTAATGTGTGATTTTCTCATGCGCTCTGCTGCAGTCCTTTCTCGCAGAAGGCGCCTCTGATTGGTCGCAGTGCCGGCCAGGGTCTCGTCCGCTTAACCAACGATACCTGGCAGGAAAGTACCGGCATTCTTGCTTTCTGCAGGTCAATTTCCCCCTTTCCAACGACCTTGCGAAAGGCGTTGATTGTGAGAATGGTACCTGCCGATGAGCGTGCATCATGATGTAGAAGCCGTTAGCGCCAGGAGACCCCTTGGCGTCTGGTAGCTTAATTAGACCCCCTATCCCCGTGCTCCTCCTCCGTCGATCACGCTATGGAGACGGTGGAGCACGGCGCTTCTTCATCAAACGTACAATTGTTTACCCTGGTTTTGTTCCCCCCTGCATCATGTATTGAATGGAACTTTGAAAGCTTGCCCAAGCCAAACACCACCCGTCAAATCCGTATAAGGTTTAGATCCCTTCTCAATCCTTTCAGCACTCCACCGTTTCCTCCTGTCTCGTCCTCTCCACAACGGAATTGAAAACGAAAAACGAAATAGGTACTGGTCTGGTCGAGTTCTTCTTGGAGTTGGCGCTGGCTTGGGCAGCTGGCAGGACAAAGCGAGCAAAGGGGGTTCCACAGCTGCAATTTCCAGGCTTGGCCATTTTCATGTGCAATCAACCTCTGCTGTCGAGACTCCACTGTGACTGGAACGGTGCTGGCGACTGCTGCGCTGCAATTGAATCGAAATGCCACGAAATCCCTGGCTGGATAGACTCAAATCCCTCCCTGGATAGACTAAACCCACTTTTAACGCTGAGTAAGCCCAGCCGCCCGCCCAGCCGCCCAGCCCAGCCCAACACACCGTACAATGTACACATCGCTGCCCAACTGCCGCTACCATTGCGCGCTCTCTATTAGCGATAGTTAGTCTTATACAATTGAATAAATTATCGCAAAACCTTACCTTAATATTAAACAATTATTTGTAGTGATTATTTATCATCTTTATTATTATTTCATACAGTATCCTCGACCTTGTAGTATTTGTTAATATACCTCGCCCGCTCGCCATATATTACGTATTCGACTAAGTAAATTAAACTTCTAGCCTAACTGATTAAAATAATTAATACTAACGAGATTTAAATAAAATTACTAATAAAATGCCTTCAAATCCGGTTCGAGTAATTACTGTCGAACAAAATACAATTCCCTTTACTGAAATTCAATTGCTATTAATCCGCCGCCGCCCCTACGAACAATTAAGAATATAATTATTATCTCTTACTAGTAAGGGCTACGAGTACGCTACTAAATAGAAACTTCTATTTACTTCTTCGGGTTACGATATTAAAGTTGCTACGTTCGATGCGCTTTAAAATTACGCTATATAGCAAAATTTTACAATATTATTATATAACAATATAAAGAATAAGAAGAAAGGGGAGGAGGAGGTCGTTATATATATTAATTATTATTATATATATAGCCGCGTCTATACAGTTATTAGGCAAGGCGTTCGAAATATTCTTTCGAAGCGGTTTAGCTACTTATACTAGGTAAAAGTCGTATTGAGGAAAAAGTAAAGCAATTAGTAATTCGTTAAAGAAATTAATAACCGCTATAATTATAACGTCGATATTATTAACCTCGCTAGTAACGTTATTTATTAATAATAGATCCGTCGCTATTATAAAGAGGCTGTTAATATTACTGTGGAAAGATTATTTAGTATCGTTAGAATAAAGGCCTATTAAATTACTTATTATTTAAGTAGTACCTTCGAAGATAAAAATGCTACCCCTTCTCCTAATATTACTAATAATTAATTAGTTATAGAATTACCTAGTCTTTAAATTCCTATTATTTTTTAAGAGGTTTAAAATATTTAATTGTTATAGGATTACCTATAATTGTACCTTACATATACACGGCTCCCGCCATAGGCAGTCAAGCCTCGTACTATACTATTACTACTATTGGCTAATAGTATATTACGTATATATGTACGTGTAGGTCTGGCTCTAAGCATAGCTTAGCCCTACCCTATATTGCCAGACCTCTGCACACTTCTCCTTCTTCCTCTTCTCATACAACTACATATATCCTACCTACCCCCTAACTGCCGCCTTGCCCTATAATATTAATAGTATATTCGACGTATAAAATATAGTCTTTATATATCGACTAAGATATTTATTAATTTGCTAGAATGGTATAAGAACCTTTACAGTATTAAATACTTCGTTAATTATAATTTTCGCTTTCTTAATTAAAGGGTTATACGAATATTCTGGACTTTCGATCAGTATATTGAAGTATAGAGGAAAAAGTTCCTATATATTACTAGTAGATAATATATATAAAATATGTATTATTACCCCTATTAACTTTAATTGTACGGATTTAGGGTCTTTTCATTAATATTAATAACTAACCTCTTTTTTTTCTATATAAATTAATTACTTCAACCTTTCCCTCCTCAATATCATTAATATCGATACCCTAAGGTATAATTTTAATATAGCTTTCAATCTCTCGAGTAGAGAGAAATAAGAAGACTTTGAATAATAATTCAATTACTTTAAGAAGCTTTAAAGAATTACGATATTACCAGCCTATCAATATTTATTACCGACTTTAGTAAGGGATTCAAAAAGGCCGCTATCGCCGCCTACTTAAACGTCCTATATTAATTATATAATTAGTACGTTATAAAAAATATAAATTATTATATTAAGAAGAAATAGGTTTATTTAAGTAGTATTGAGTTAATTTTAGGTACTAATATATTAAGTTTCCTATTAATTGCCTAAGACTTAGATAGCCGCAATCCTAATCCTCTATTATATAGAGGTCTAGCGGCCGCGGTTAATGATAATAAACCTAACAAATATATTAATAACGACCTAAAAGAGAACGACCTAAAGGAAATTAAAAACGCCGCTACTGCTACCGATTTTACTTGATAATTTAATGATAGGTAAAGAGTTCGTAAAGTAATTAATAAATTAGTAGTTAAAGCCATCGCTCTAAGAAATTATAAAATACTTACTTTTAACCCTACCCGTCGATTCTATTAAAATTTATATAAAGGCTTCTAAACGGCCCAGAAGTAAATAATTTATATTGACGATAAAGATTATTTTAAACGGGTATAATATTTACTAATCCATAAATTTAAATAATAAATTCGTAAGTATTAACCTTCCTTCTCTTCCCTTCTTTATAATAAATAATATACTTTTTTCGCCCGCCTCTTTTTTTACTATTAATTAATAACCTCTTATTATAACTCTATTAATTTACTTTTATAAATATTATTTACTATAAATCGACGAATATAGTCATTATATAGTATCGAAACTTAAGAATTATAGTATTAAAGCAACCAATAGAATCGAGTTTGTATATAGGGTTATTAAGCGCCTCCTTAAGAACTATCTCTCCTTTTTGGACTAATTATACGAATATATACAGTCTGCTTACCACTCTTAAAAAGAAATATATAAATCTAAATATGTAATAGCGCGGCAAATAGTTTTATATAAATATAAAAGGGTAGGGATATTTAATAATCTAGTATTGAAAGTATATAAAAATATAGTCTTTTACCCTTTAGAAGTCTAATTAAGTAACTTCCTTTTTTTTTATATAGGTGGCACTATATATCCTCAAATTTATATAGTATTAATATTACTATACTTATAATGATTAATTCAAAAATCTACATTAGAGCCTAAATATTAATTATAAGAAGTTATTCACAATTCAATATAACCTACCTTATAAATACTTTATATTATAATTCTTATAAATAAATCTTCCATTAATATTAATTATAGAGAATATAAACATATACTAATAATTGAAATTAAACAGCGGCATAGGGCTAACTAAGGCTAAACGGCGTGCCTATATAATTTAAAACCTTACTTCCCTACCTAGCCGCCAATGAAAAGCGGCTATCCCCGACCTAAACCTTACTAATTATATACGTAGAGTATTAGGACGAAACCTTATAAACCCGGAAATTTACGAACTATATAATCTTAAAAGTAATTAAGGCCTACCCGCTTAGCCTACTTAGCCTTAAGCCGCTACGCCCGCTACTACCATGCTTATTAACTATAATTAATATAATAACCGTTATATACTCTCTTATAATAAACCGCCCCGCTAAATAATATAACGAAATACTTAGAAAGGAAGGAAGAGAGGAGGTATATAGAAAGGGAGTATATAGAAGGCTCGTACCTATAATATTATTTAAAAGGATTTCTAACGCACTATTATTAAGGCAATTAATAATATAGTTAATAATATAGTTAAAATTATTATAATATAATTAATTCTAGCGCTAATACTTTCTTTAGCACTCTAATAGTCAATTCTAACTCCCTTATAAAGAGTTCTAGCGCCCTTCCTATTTCCCTATCCCTAAATCTAATAGTAGCTACCAACTTAGTAATAGCCGTCTACCAATTTTAACTAATATAATTATAGAATACTAGCGCCTATCAAATAACCGTCTAAATCTCCTATTCTTAATTTAAGTAGTTATTAGAATTAATATAGGAATTGGGTACCAAATATAATTAAGCTTAGGGGGTATATACTTATTCAGCTAAAAGTAAGGGAAATTTTTATAATTCGTACTATAAATTATTATATTAGGCTAATTAATTCTATTATTACTTAACCGCCTCCTAGAGACCTAGACCTCGCTCCTCTTCCCTGTAATTAGCTATAATATAGTTTACAAGGCTACGTTGTACCAATAATATAGTATAACTAGACTCTTATAGCTATAGTACTACCTCTAATGCTTATACAGGGCAGAGGATAGGCGTTAGGAGATTTAAGTAAGAGGGCAAATCTCTAGCCGCCTTCCTAGTATTTTAAACAATATTTATATAGCGGGCATTAAAATTAGGGTAGGTACGTATATTTTAAATATAAGCAATAAATACAATATATATAGCAATAGTAATAGGGCTAATATAGAAGATAGTAGTATCATTAATAACTATAGTATTAACCGCCTCAATAGTAGATAATTGACTAAATTAATAACTTTAAATAACTTCACGTAAAAAAATAACACTAACAACGTAAATCTGGCGATGCGCGGGCATCGATTATGTAGCCTCAGTTGCACACGGTGTGCTGGGCTGGGCTGGGCGGCTGGGCGGGCGGCTGGGCTTACTCAGCGTTAAAAGTGGGTTTAGTCTATCCAGGGAGGGATTTGAGTCTATCCAGCTAGCGAATGCGGAAATGCCATGGTTCAGATGAGAATGGTACGGTAGAATCGCTTGAGATGTTGATTGCAATCGGTTTGCGGCGGTGGATGAGAATGCGACAGAGCGGCGCAAATTATCGACATCACAACGACGTTGGTCGTCTATGTTTATGGGTGATCCAGTGATCCAGTTGAAAGGAGTCATCCCTTTTTTTTGCTGACATCTCTTCTTAACACGGCGGCGCATTGATCCTTTCGGGATGGAGACCCCGGTTACCAAAAAAGTAACCTGCGCTTTGACGGCGGGCAAGATGACTACCGGAACTCGAAGCAAGAAGGATGGTTGCCCCGCTCGGAAACGAACTGAATGGAAGTTGAGAACCATATGAAGGCGCCTCCACGAGCTCCAGAATAGTATCCTGTTCGCATGTTCGCGGCTTGTGAAGACTTGTTTCTTCCCTTTTTCCAAGAAAAAAAATGTTCACCATCCAGTCAGGAACTGGACAAGCTTGGGCTCAGAAGATGCTTGGCGGCCCCGGCAAATCACCAGTCGAGTATCCCTTACCTCCACTTTCAGGGGCGCGATGTAACGGCACCTTTTTGCTCTTTGCGAGATTGGTGATGGTGTTCGGAACAAGTCCGGGCCAGAGACAGAGCAAACTTGATAAGAAGAGATATCCGGTGGTGACGCCTTCAATCCGAGATGGGTTGGTTCCTGTTGCAAGAGCGGTGAGATGAGAGATAGATGTTCACGAATTCCTTGTCATATACTGACGACTATCTTATCACACCAACACGCAAAAGTGCTAGTGTTCACTAGGTCCGGCTCTTGTCGTATCATGCTGTTTGTGATTGCGAGAGATAAGAACCCAACGACTTTTTGTTGGTCTTTGTGACAAGGCCTCTCCGCGCCATGTTTGACTGGATTAAAACGCCCTCTCTTCCAGTCATGTGAGGGCTGACTGTTCGCCGGGCATTGCTGGTTTTCGAAGAGCTCTTCCAGTCACGCAACGACTCACCAGGAATGCGCAAGATGGGGTTCTCCATGGGCTCCTCTCGTGGTCTGATGGGTGCACCAAGAAACAAATGCTCGACCATTTGAGAGGTCGATGGCGTTCCCACACATGCAACCACCATCCCGTACGCATGATCTCTTTTTTACAGCTGGCTCGGGCGGGGTTGTGGTTGGCATGTTGCGCCTGTGCTTTTCAGTGGACGTCACCGGACAACTTTCGGTGATGGTGTGTCGAGAGAGCTGTCAAGCTCCGTTTTAGATGACGTCCGATAACGGCTCGGCGCCGTTTTCCGGAGAGCATGCTGATGGAAGAAAAAAAAAAGTTTCGGATTGGTGCTACAATTGCCATTTCCCGGCCGTCGCCGGTCGTGATCCCGTACTTGACGGTGCCGCCGAGTCTCCAGACGGGTACCATTCGGCTCTGGACCAGGCTGTCCTTGAAAGCTTTGACCGCTGCTCTCACGCCCAGGCTCCAGCAACGGCCCAGTCCACTTTTCCTCGAACACAAGCGAGGTTGCGGACCGGACGGTGAGTCGGTGAGGTCCCCCCTTGCCTTGCCTACAATGCTCCCGTCCGAGACGGAGGTGGACAAGCCCTGTACCGGCAGCCGACCGGGAGGGAAGGTTGGATGCGCGACCTGCAACCTGCATACCTGTCCTTCGCTGTTTCAAACAGGTGTTCGTCAAACCAGAGTCGAGTCCAAGAGAGGAAGAAGAACAAGCCACTTATTCGCCGCGCTCCCGCCCATGCTGGCCACCTCATGTTTCCTTATCTGTTCCATTTGTCGTTTCACGTTGACGATTCCCGATTTCCTGTTTTGTCTCCAAAAAATCTTTCCACCTCGAGGAGCACAACGTGGGCGCCAGCAGGTCAGAGCGCCTAGCAGTAGCGTCAGGTACAGAAGGGCTGCACTGTGGATTCGAACATGGCCCCCCTGACGGGCAGTTCGGTTCAAGCTCCGTTTTTCTCTCGATGCCTGAACTCCGACAGACGGGACATGAGAACGATTGCAAGTGTAGCCGGGCGGGAACACGATCACGATTTACAATTTTGGTCGTCTATACCTTAACCTGAAATCTCACTTTCGACCACATAGGTATTTCATCATGATGTTGGTGTGATGCATGGCCAGAGCTCACGGGTGGGTCCGGGACCGTTCGCATGTGGGGCCTGTTCAATGGGTTTGGGTTTCTCACTCGCGCTTCCTCGCCAAGACATCTTTCCCCTCTCCTCCACTTCAACATGAAAGTGAACAACAATTTGGACCTCGACTTCAACAACCACCTCAAAACCATGAAAGATGATCGCATCAAAGTCCGATGACCCTCGAAAAGCACCAACGATAAAGAGGTGGCGTTCTAATTCTCCGATGTCCGATCCTCCTCATTGCCCGAGACTTGTCTTGGGCGATGCCGGACGGTATCTCGTGCCTCGTCCTCAGACCTCCTGTGCCCCTCTCGTCGAGTAACCCAACCCGTCGATCAAAGCGATCACTGCTTTCAACACACCCACATCTCACACCATGTGACCCAGCACCAAAGACGCACTAAGACACATCACGTTGACAAGCAAAGATTTCCCGTCAGTGATTGGATCTACAATGAGAACTCCCGCGCCTCCGTCTCTCTCGACATCAACCACATTTGAGAGAACCGTTATTCGACTTTCCGAGTACCGAAGCCTTATCAGCCGTATGGATCGTGATCACGGAAAATATGACGGAATTTCCCTGCGCTCTGAGGACTCGGAGGCAGTCTCACCAAGACGCCCTTGAGGATGGTTGAGGGGGAGGCTAAAGTACTGCAATACGCAGGGGTGGTGGCACAACAACCTTTGGCTTCATCTATCATCGTAAGTCTGCTCCATTTCGGGTGCATGTGCTATCTACAAATTGTTGCTTTAGTCGCCTCGCATACATACTACAACCGCCAGATCTCGATTCATGCGCAAGTTATCTGCCAACCAACTCTTCGTTGTTCCTATCTTGTTCCGTTTATTCGCAGAGGTACCTCGAGGCAATGAACCGATATCGCACCTTGGCCGGTCAGCACCACCACTTGTTCTGTCATCCTTCCCGGGAGCTTTGAGCCTTGTTTACCTGTCTGCTCTTCTTTCCATTGCTCAACCTTGCAGTCTGGCGAAACACCTGACATGTTTTGCCGCTCGGTTCCCGTCCAGGCAGTCCACCTGCATGCACTTCCATCGTTCCCGCTCCCGCCTGCGTCCGTTTCCTTGCGTTGAGTTTACTCTTCCGGTCAAAGTACACGTACAGGAGCATCAAGCCAGATTGAAAGCCTTGAAACTTCCGTCTTTGCTGTACAGTTACCTTATGCGGAGTATACCGGCTATCAATAAGCCGAAGGACGATAGGGCACGCCGGATCTCCAAAACAACCCAACCACGAAGCTCGCTCCTGTGGTGTGTGGACAGCCGTGATTGTGATGAGCTTTATCTTTGCGTGGGTATAAGAATGTGGGCTATACAGGACACACCAATTAGTGCAAATTGGGGATTAAGAGAGTGTGTGCTTCGCGGATTATCCTTTCCAGATCCTTCACACGACCGTTGCTTGTTCGGCCGCTCTTCCGTTCTCATCAAAAATCGTCAGCTTCGTCCAGTCGCACAATTCCTCAAGCACCATTTGTCTCCCCTCACTATCTGTCGTCGGTAGCCACTCAAGGTCACTTGCGCCTGTAGGGCCTGCCAATCATGGCATATACCCGATCATTTCGATACTTTACACTGCGTTGAGATTCTTAGAAGGCGTTCTGTAAGCGGGAATGCATAGCGCATGCGGTCTACCACGCGCGCGCTATACCGAGTCAAGTGCAGGTTACCGCAGAGTGACTCGAGTACATGAGGACTACGACGGCCACTTGCTCTGTCCCTTCTTTTCGTGTGCTTTTCTCGGGTCTTTGTGAAGACACTGGAGCGATGATGGATACGGCAGGTGTACGCCGTACCACGGCGTGTGAGACATAGAAGATCGCTGCGGAGAGTCCCGGTTCCCGTCCTTCTTGGATATCAACCAGCGTTGGCCAGACCGTTCTTCAGCAAGTGGTACAACTTCACATGAGAACGCGAGGCTACCCGGTTGCTGTGGTGAAGATAGGGGTTGATAATTTGACTAGGGTACTGTTTATGTTTGTCTCGGCAGAGGTGAACGCGAGCCTGATGGGACTTTATGTTGATTCAACTCATATATGGTGCGTGTCTGGCATTCTAACCTGGCGCATACATCAACAAAGCCATTGTTTTAGTCGGTAAAGTGCATCTCTACCTAGAATCTTCAATATTTGGAAGCTTGCACCCGTTTGGTTCCATACGACAGGTATTTACTCTTGTCAACTACAGCAAAGTATGCTGGGGTCATCATCAAGGCGAAGAATGGCCAGTGCCCGTGGCCAACTTTGGAATTCACTGCATCATATCACGAATTGGGCATAGTGACTGCTTCAAGTACATCCACAGCTCCGCTGTTATATGTGGTCACTGAAATGAGAATCCGCGGCACGCAAAGGAGACAGTATGGGTTGTGAATCATTGCTTACCCTGTCAAGACACTCACATATATCTCACGTCGAAGTCAACTTGAACTTGGATCGTGTATTTCAACATATAGGAAGTTGATGATAGATGCATTGCCTTTATTGCAGTATCTGTTCTGGCCTCAAACTTCCACTTCTCGCTCTTGCCTCGAAGTGTCGTCGAGTGTCTCCAAGCCATTAGATCCCGCACTACACGCAGAAGAGGCAAAAACTTTGATGGATGCTCCTTCCGTCTGAACTTACAGTGGATACCAACCTACTTATTGCAGGTTCCCATACCAGCCGTCTATTGTGCCTTCCTATTATCAGGCATTCTGAGCCCGCAGTGCGGTTATCGGTGAAGCCATTTCGGTGAGAGCATCGGGCGGGGTCTATTGATGCCTCTCTCGTCCCATCACCATCCCATCACCATCCCATCCAAGCGCGACAACTCGTGCCCAATCCCGCATTTTGGCAGACCTATTGAACGGTGTACCTCCCAATTGGAGATATCATCCGAACATACCAAGGCAAACAGTGCTTGGAGATCAGCCGGTGAGCAAGTACAATAGGTGAAGGCTCTATTCTGACTTCAGGCTGACGCGGATTGCAAACGTCGGCCATCAAAAGGCAAAGTTTCCTCCATCAACCTTCACCTTCCCGACAAAGATCTCCGGGAGGCCAAACCTTTTCGATAACCTGCCCATTCACGCCGTTCGCACCATTTTTCAAATTCAAACTTGGACATACCCGACCCTCCCCCCATAACACTTCCCACTTCCCACTTCCCTCCCCGTAGATTTTGGGACTTCACCATCTCTTCCAACTCTCACCTACGTCTTGTCCCTCTACCGTTTGGGACAAATCCGCCCTCTTCCCTTCTGGATACACGCACAAAGTGCGCTGTTTCCTCCCACCAACGAGCACTGCTCTCGCATCATTTCACAACTACCAACAGGAACCCATTAACCACCCACCGCTTTCTATCCTGAAACTCCGAGCCACTCGCTCTCGACACCATGGCAAAATCCCGTACTCGGAAGGCCAGAGGCCGGCGAGGAGATACGTCAACTCAGGCCACCGGCTCCAAGTCACTGCAGCCTACCACAGACTCGATCGATCATACACAAGTCACTAGTCACGGCAACTCGGAGTCGCCTGGCCAATCTGGCTCCGGCGATGGTAACGGTAATACTGGTCAATGGGGTTCTTTTCAACCGGAGAATGCGAGCGATACATGGGAGACATTCGCTGTCCCATCCGATAAAGATTGGAATATGGAGAAGATTTCTGTCGATACCGAAGCTGGCAAAATCTACCCTCTCCCTGGGACCATCGTCGACTTTTCCCGCCCGAAATCAGACTTCTTCCAGCAGATTAAGCTGCCCAGGAGGCAGAAGCCTGTCAGTTACCAAAGCCTTCTCGACTTAACAAGCACGGTATGTAATTTCTTACCCACGAGTTCTTGAGAGCCAGCGGCTGACTTTGCCTTTCCACAGACTTTTCGCCCCGACCTGCCCAACCGACGCTTGTTCTACTACAAGCGCAAATGGGTCTCTTTGGGTGACAAAAATCCCCAAGATGTGTACGACATGGTACACGAGCGTGACTTTGTTCGGCAAAGAGAGACTCCTCGAGCCGAGTATTTGCGGATCAAAAAGCTTTACAGCAAAAAGAAGCAAGACAAGGCATTCCGCTTGATGCAAGCTACCAAATATTGCGAACCAAGATTGTTACTGGCGCCTGCTCCGGCTGATGGTGTTCTCAATACGTCCAAACCCATCAAGACTGACCATGGGAGCAACCCTAACAACAGAACGAGCGGACTCATACGTCTCATGAACATCCCGGAAATCTTCGACAAAGTAGTGGACTACATCGAACCTACCGTTACCGACCTGACATCGTTGGCAATGGCTTGCAAGGACACCGCCCGATTGACCAGTGGTCGGTTCGCAGTTTGGAACTTCTCTTCGGGTAACTTCCATACTGAGGAGAGTTACAGGAACGGAGTGGGCGGAAAACGGATGAATACCTTGATCATCACACCAATCACAAAAGTCGAAGCTGCTAGCCCTCAAGACAAGCCGTTCGAGCGGGAGTTCAAGTTGTTGACTAAGATGGTTCGTACCATGAGTTCCACTCTCACGAGTTTCCGAGACTTGATTCTCGACCAGATCCCATATCTCAACATTAATCTGGTAAGATTGATGGTCAAGTCAATGCCAAACCTTGAGAGTATCGCCATTACGCGCTGCAAACAGCTTGATTTTACCAAGCTTGACTCCCTCCTTCGCATCATTGAGGAGAAGAAGAGGCTTGCAGCTAGAGGCCGCCACAAGGAAGTGCGCTTGGATTTCTACCCGTATTTTTTCGAAGGTCCAACTTCTGCGCCCAACACACTTGGGTCTTTCGGGTTGACCTACCATAAGCCAACCTTTGACGTGCCGAAGGCTGTCTTCGCTCGGATTATGGCGTGCTGGGACCTTGCCGACACGCTCGGCGTCGACCTTCTCAGTGACAGCTCGGGGATTTGGCACTTCATTCGCCGTCTACCCGGTCCAGATCCTTTTTGGGCTTACAAAGCTCGTGAAGCGGTCTTGACATGGGAACGTAATCGCCATATTCCCGGTCGTGGTCGTAACGCGCATCGTTGGGGGTCTGAAGTCACCAGGCGCCTGTGGAACAATTTGGGCGCCGCAGTTTCTGGCGATACAACCGAGAAGATTCCTCATGAGCCCAAGGAGAGGGAATGCAGTGGATGTATTACACCTCTCCCAGATTACCTCTTCTCCGACATCAAGAACCTTATCTGCTGGGGATGCAGAATGGGTGCTTTTGTGGCGAACCATGAAGACAGCCATTTCCGTGACCGCACAAATCGCGTCATGGAGATCTGGTTGGGCAACCGGAAGCAATGGCCTATTCAGAGACTCTATTATCTACCCTGCGACGAGGTCGAGGAGAAAGATGCCCTCAATATGGCGAGGTTGACCGACGAAGCTTGGCGGTACGAACTCTTTGAGTTCAAACCGGGCATGCCCCGATTTCCACAGGCGATACATTGGAAAACGCATCTGTCTTCAACCAAGAGGACAAGAGAGCTTTTGTGGCCATTGACTGGACCAACGAACCATCGCGAGGGCGGCCCTCAATACGAGAACGCATACCTACTGGCTGGGATGAATCCTTTGTTGGATGAGCAGACGGAGAAGAAATATCGAGAGGGGGACAGAGCAAATCGCCGTGATTTCTTTAACATCTATCTCTCTGATATGCGTGCTATGCCTGATTGGGAGCCGTATAACCGCAACTGGGAGGCAAGAGAAAGGGCCAAGGCGATTTGGGAGAGAAAGGCTTTGGCATATTCGGGGGGGTGGTAGATAAACCACATCCTCACACTCAGCATGCCTCGCTCAGAGTTGGAGACGTTGGTCAATGTTGAGGATCAAAGTAGATCCCGGCGTCCTTTCGAAGTGCTGGACGGTGTACTTCCTTGGTATTTATCACGGAAGGAGGATTTGTATATCACGCGGACCGTTCATTCGCCTTTCCTGATCCCTCTGTATAGGAAGTTTGCTGAGATCAGGCACAGATGCATTTGTGCCTCGTTCTATGGACAATCGAGCAAGAGGAGACGACCCAGTGTCATCACAGGATGGGGCTCCGTTTTGATGGTGATGAGATTGGTTTCTTTGGCCAGATTTTGTCAATTAAAAGAGGAAAGGGGGTTGATGAGGCATCATGACTGATGGGCTATAAAAGGATGGCAACTTTGTTTTCAGGAGCCTCGCCAGTTTTTCAAACTTTCATAGCTTTCTCAAACTCCGCTGTAGGTTGAACGCATAAACCTTCCTGGAATTGAAGGGGTTTCGATGATTCGGTGTTAGCAGAATGCCTAGTCCTAAAAATGAAAATTCACGTTCAAAAGAAAAGGAGAGATTCCAGAAGATACTTGGGTGACAATGTGATGTTCAAGGGGGCGACTAAGGGAATAGAGTGAATTGAGTGGACGACAACATCATTCTTAGCACCACAGTCTCCCGAGACAAGCTCAAGGGAGAGTAAGTAAGGAGGTATCCAAAGCCTCGTCAACCGAGAGCATATTGAACAAGAACTATGATCGTGTTAGCGACCATCATCAGCGACAGTCACATCAAATACATCGCGCGAGAGCTGGATAAAGATAGGGGTATCATAGTTGCAAAGCAGACAACACTCGCTAACACGCTAATCATACAATCAAAGAAACAACGTCAGACACCAAGGCAGACCGAGAAATCATGCATCACTCTCAGAGACATCCTCCTCCTTCTTCTCCCTCTTCCTCTCCCTCCTCCCCTTCTTCTCCGCCTCATCCATCATCTCCCTCGCCTTCTCCTCATCCTCACCCGTCCTGACCGCCCCAGGGACATTCGTAACATGCCTCAAGTTCCCAAAACTCAAACAGTCACTGATCCTCTTGGTCCCGCTAAACAGCATCACCATCCTCTCAATCCCACACCCCCACCCGCCCGTCGGCGGCAGTCCGGACTCCAGAGCCTGCACATAACTCTCGTCCACCTCCATCGCCGACTCGCCTTCCTCGTTGTACACACCGGGAGCTAAGCTAGCCTCGCGCTTGGCGGCGTCGAGCTGGTCCACGAATTTTTGCCTTTGCGAAGCCGGGTCGTTTTCTTCTTCGTACATGTTGGCTAATTCCTTGCCGTTGATGAAGACCTCGGTGCGCGCGGAGACGTGCTGGCCTGTTTTGGGGCAGAGGAAGCTCTTGGAGAGGGGGGACATGCAGACTGGGTGGTGGGTGATGAAAAGCGGTTTTGTTAAAGAGTAAGGCTCAAGGAACTCGCTGGCTAGGTTGTCGAGGAGCTTGGCGAGTGTGATGTCGGGTTTGTTCAGTCCCGGGACGTCGATGTTGTGTTGCTTGAGGAGGGCGAGGAGGTCCTCGCGCGCGGAGGGGCCGGAGAGGTCGGGTAGCTTGAAGCCGAGGGCGGATTCCAGGGCGGGTATGAACTCGAGTTGTTGGAAGGGCCGCTGGTACTGCGACATGTCGATGGGAGGGAGGGAGTCGAGCTTGGTGGCGATCAGGTCGCGGCAGTGCGAGGCGGCGCCGCAGATGAGTTCCTCGGTGAGTGTGATGAGGTCGTCCAGGTTGGCGTAGGCGTTGTAGAACTCGCACATGGTGAATTCCGGGTTGTGCGTCTGGTCGATGCCTTCGTTGCGGAAGGCCGGGCCGAGCTCGAAGACTTTGTCGACGCCGCCGACGACGAGACGCTTGAGCCAGAGCTCGGGGGCGATGCGCATCGCGAGGTTCTTGTTCACGGAGGTCTCGGAGGCGGTGACGGTGAAGGGTCGGGCTGTGGCGCCGTTGGCGTTTTCGGCGAGGATGGGGGTCTGGAACTCGAGGAAGCCACGCTCGTGAAAGAAGTCGCGGAGATACTTGATCAGGTGCGATCGTAGCCGGAGGGTGTCGATGGTCTTGCGGTTGACCAGCATGTCGACGTGACGGTGCTGGATGCGGACTTCCTCATCCTCGAGCTTAAAGGGCAGGGGAGCCAATGCTGGGGTTAGGAGCTCGGGCAGCCTTGTAGCTTCGATACTCAGTTCACCAGTCGGCGTCTTGGTTGCTCGGCCGGTGATGGCTGTGTTGGGAGAAGAGGTTCACGGTCAGTCATTGCCGCTGTCATATGATGGGACAAGAACAAGGGGAAGAAGACATATGGGACCAGAATCACGTACAGACAATATCGCCTCTATTCAACAGTTTTGCAAGCGTCTTAAATTCTCCTAGTTCGACTCCCGTAACTTGCAGCTTATTGAAGTTACAGAGTCCCTGCACATGCTCGAACTCGCCTTTGAGGTCGAGGAACATGAGCTTGTTGCCAGCCCGGCGGACGGACTGGACCCGGCCATGAATGATGACCTCTTCGTCGGCATGCTTGCCCATCTCAACATCCTTAAACTTCTCCCGGAAGATGGGGATCCGCATGGGCGCACCGCCTTCATGGCGAATGCGAGGATACTTGAGGGCATTGGACTGTATCAACTCATGCTGCCGAGCCAGGTGGTAGAAGCGCAGGTACGCCGCGTTACGGGCGCCCATGGGCTTCCACTTCCAGGCGTACGGTCGCAAGAACTGAAGACAGGGAGTAGATGGATTCATTATTGCGTCTATTGAAATTGTCATGGGTGGTTAGCATGACATGTTTCCTGGAACCAAGGAGAGCTGGTTAACAACAAGTGGTGGGGGAATGGGTAGGAAGTTCAGAAATGGAGCATAGTGTGATCATGCACGCGCAAGCGCGTGTCAGTCGCAACGGTTCTAATGTTTTGGCAGATCATCATATAAAGTGGGCATGTGATTGTGTATCGAGAAGAATGCGTTGTTGGTAGACTTACAATCATGGTGGTTGCCCCAGTGTGTTTTGCCCACCTAGAGCTTGATTGTAGAGGAGAAAGTTTTGTCTCGGCACGAGCCATGACGCTTTTTATATCGTACTTTTTTTTCCTGCTGCCCCGTTCCCCAAGTTCCCCGGCCAGTCTGTGGGCCTCTGCCGAAACTGGAGTGACTTCTGTGTAAGAGGGGTCGTAGCCAATCAGAGCCCTCAATTGCACTCACCGAGCGTCACCGGTCTTCACCTTGGGTCCCGACCTTGCCGAGCTCGGGCCTCACGGTAGGAGCGCGGACGTCGTAGCCGAGCATTAGCCGCGCCCGTACCGCCTTTTATGGTGAGTGGGTCAATGGGCAGAAAGCGGATTCAAAAGTTCTTTGAACCAAGAGAAGCTGCCCTGGAAGCTTGTTGCGCTCGCCCGCGAAAGAGAGTGTCGTCGCTTCGCTGCAACGGAGCCGCTGACATCAACCTACCCGCGACGCATCACCCTCAAAGTAGGCCCCCCCCCCAAGACCTGGTCCCATATCAACAACATACAACACCAACAACCAAAGCTCTTCTAACCACCATTCACAGCGGCACTTATACCCTTTTTTTTTTCCGAGTCCCATCTCACCAAATCCATCCAAAAATGTTCGGACTCGGCAGGCCGCAGCCCACTTCGGCCGAGAAGATTGCTGCCGTTGAGAACGAGCTCAAGGTTGTCGCCGAGATGCACTCTCGGTATGTTTTCTTTTCCTGCATTCTTCACTCCCTCCCCTACCCTCCCTTTCCTTCCTCTTCTACCTCTCTCTGTCTATAACACTTCCATTTACAATCTCTTGTTCCTCCATAATTCCCTTCCTTCCAACTCTGTCATTCAACCGTACCGTACCATAACTACAACCACCGGGGCAACTAGCTAACTAACTTTCACACTCCAACAAACAGCATGGTCAAGATCTGCACCCTCAAGTGCATCGACAAGACGTACCGCGAAGGCGACCTCAGCAAGGGCGAGTCCGTCTGCCTTGACCGCTGCGCCGCCAAGTTCTTCGAGACGCACCAGAAGATCTCGGACCAGCTGCAGAAGGAGACCCAGGCCCGTGGTGGAGGTGGCTTCGGCATGTAAAAGACAAAGTGTGTTGTTAGGATAAAAGGAACGGAACAAAATCAAACAAAGTTATACCCACCCGCAACGATCCAGTTCCTCCTCAGAACTTGGCAGAGAAGGAGAAGAAGAAGAAGAGGCAAGGGAAGGAGGAGGAGGAGGATATGAATGAGGTGATGGGTTTGGGAGGAAGTGGGCGCAGCACTTGTGAGGGAGTGTCGAAAGACTGCGCCCCGTGTATTATACAGCTCAACACTATTGGGATTGGGACTACTTTGGAAATGGAGGAGTGTGGATAGGGAACAACGTACATCTGTGGCGACTGTCAACTGTTGACAAAACACTCCATATAGGGGACATGTTTCGGATACCCTAGACATCGTGACCCCACATGTGGCCACCCCCCTCAATGAGCCACATGTAACATCATGACCATGACCCAGATGACATTGAAAATTGGCCACTTTTGCAGGGATTTTAACCGTTTGAAATGTTCATTTACTCATTCTGATGCTCGTGAATGACTTGTAGTGTTGATTCGAGTGCCCTCTCTACTTCCTACACTAGATTTACTCCCTTCGTTGCCCTAGTAACCTTCTAGCGCTTAGGGGCGTACTTTAAGGTCTCACAAGCTTAAATAATCTTATTTATGTATATAAATTTATTATTACCCCCTTCTTTAACCTTTCTTTTACCTTTGGGCTTCTATAATTCCAATTGGGTTTGTAAATACTAAATTTAGTAATCCTTTATAGTGAATTTAGCGTTCTTATTATCGAGGGCCTTGGCTGCCTTAGTGTAAATAGTCTTAATATTATAATCGATAGCGGATAATTTCTTATAGATACTTCCTAGTATATCCTTAGACTTCTAGGGAGTCTTAAAAGAGTAATTATCCTTTAATATATCGCTTTTTGGTAGTATTCTGGGTAGTAATAGTTGGGCGGGCAAGGTATTATCTTCTAGAATAGCTTTAGAGTCGTCGATAACAACAAATCTATTTATTAGCTATATCACTATCTTTTTAAACCCTAATTTAAGGTTTCTAGAGCTTATACCCCTTCGTAAAGCTTCTTAATAATATTAGAGAAACTGTTATTTATTTATGAGTATAAATACTAGAAAGCTAGCGAAATCCTTGATTAAATCCCTAAAATATAATTTAACGGCAGTAAATACAGACCAATCGAGTAGCTAGGTCTTATAAAACATATAAGAAAGTAGAAAAAATAATTAAACTTTATATTAAAATACTTTAATAAGGAAATTATTAAAAAAATAATCCGAATACTTATCGAAGATTAATAACCTCTAATTATCGTTATTTAGCTTCAATTCTAATAGATAAACCTCCCTTAACTATTATAGAACAATCTTTAAATTACTCTATCTAATTAATAAATTGTTAAATTTCCAACTTTTAAGCTCGTTATCTATATTATTAAGGAACTATTAACTTTGAAGAGATATCCTAATAAAAACGACGACAAGAATCAACCTCTTACCCTTAGCGGTCTCGCATTCGATAATAAACACCTAAGTCATTATATTAATCATTATTAAATATACCTTCTTTATTAAGGCAATCCTAAGGACCTTTCTTTCCATTAATTTCAATTTTTGAAATCTATATTCGTCTATATTAACGATATTAATTAGGATAATAGCCTTATCTCAAATTTGGGCTTTTAAAAGGTCGAAGAACCTCGTAAAGGTTTCCTTAATTAATCTTCGAATTCGAGCGAACTCGAACAGGCTCGAAAGTTTAGTCTTAATATTAGGATTTCTCTTTAGGAAGCGATCTATCCATTTAGCACCTAATTTATTATAATTATAGCCTCGTTTAAGGATAGATATCGCGAAACCAATGACTTAATGGCAGTTAAGAGTACGGCCAGCCTTCTCCTCATTCAGAATCTAATCGCATAGGAAGCTTTCTTATATTAGCGATAGCCTCTAATTGGGTATTTTCGAATCGCGCTTGCTTTGATGGCCTCGAAGATGGCTAGCGAGGGTAGACCGAGGAATCCTATACTTCTTCAAAGCTGTATGCTAGGAAAGGCTGCTATAAATATCTTTAAATACTTACTCAATTAAGGAACTCATTGCAATAGAAATGAGGGCAATTGGGCTTAATTTCGTAAAGTTATAGTTGATAAAAGGAAAGAGGGGGGGGGGGGGGAAGAACGCGACGTGCAATGTGGCTGCATGTGGGGGGTGGGCCCATGTGGGGTCACGACTTCTAGGGTGATATGTGGTGCACGCTTTGGCCGATTCTGGGCATTTAGCATCGATCTGCGATCAACGAGAGCAAGGACCGGATTCGATTTTCAAAGCCATCAACTGGTGCCAGAAGTGAAGAGCATGCTCAGTCCATTCACCACGGTTGCCCTATAACTACATACTCGGCTGTTAATGTAGAGCATCGAACATTAGCTTTATCCATTAGCTACAGCTATACCCAACTCCTTCCTCCTCCAGTATCTATAGTTACGTATGCAAAATCCGTCCTCTTCGACGGCCAAAACCCGGGTATTGTTGGATTCCTAACTACAGGCCAGAAAAGTTGAGTTAACAAAAGAAAGAAACAAAAGCAAAAACTCTGGTGGGTTGACTGCAACTTGAGAACGCCAGCCCAGCAAATGAAAAAGAAGAAGAAAAACAGGCTCCATGCATCCATCCATGACCTCCCACTTCCAGCTTCCATGCTTTGTAGGGAAAAGTCCAACCCGTGTGAGTCCCCCAGTATACACAAATGAAACCGCAAATACACGGCACTGACTTTTCTCTCACTTCTAGAGACACCTCTATTATCCAAGAAACCCCCATCTTCCTCAACCTCCCACTCTCACCTCTGTTCACACCTACAACCACAACAACCACCGTCCCACCCCAACCACCCCCCTCCCAACCCCCAACAACACCCTCGCAATCATCACCACAAACCACACATACCACATAAACCCCACCAGCACCCACTCAACCGCCAACCACCCGGCCCTCCTCACCCACCTAAAGCGTCTCCGCCGTCTCCTCACCATCCGATCAATCATGTCCACCACCCGCTTCACCTTCAGCCGCTGGTGCGTCATAAGATCGCCACCAGCGTCGTCCGCCTCCTCGGCCGCGCGCCTCGTCATCTCCGTCAGCTCGCCGCTGATTCGGCTCCGCAGCGCTTCGACGCGGTTCGTCATGCGGGGCGCGGTTTGTGTTTGGAAGACGGCGACGGAGGACTGGAATGCTGTTGCGGAGTTTTGGATGGAGGACGAGAGGATGTTGGCGGCTAGGGGGAAGAGGTCGGTTTGGGCGACGGGGCGGACGAGGAGGTGTTGGCGGGTGGAAGGGTCGGGAGAGAGGGCGACTATGTCTGGCCAGGAGAGACGGGAATTGGTTGTGGTGGCGGTTTTGTCGGGCTTGTTGGAAGAGTTCAAGAGCTTGCGGGCTTTAGCGCGCCTGTCGATTTCCATTGCGTGGATGCCGGAGCTTAGGAGGAGCGCCCGTAATCGGGCAATCTCCCGCTTGGAGACAATGGTATGGGGAGGGACGGGCGTGGCGTTCTCCCCTCTGTCGGCTATGGACCAGCGTCCTACTGAAGAAGCGTTGGAGAGTTGACGGCCTTTGGCCATGGATAGCATGGCGTTCAGACGAGCGTCGGTGTCCCGTACACCACCAACATCTGTGTTGACGCTGCTCTTCCGCGAGCCCTCCACGTCAGATACGTCGGAAGCCCATGGGCGTGAGCGAGTGATCTCCAGTGGACCTGGAGATGATGTCGGCGATGCATTCTGAACGTCGATCTTGGGCGGTTTCAGAAGTTCGAAGCGGGAGGACCGACGACTGAGCGGTCGCGAAGGGGGACTAGCGCTAAGCAAACCGTTCTGTTCGATCGAGCCGCCAACGGATTTGGACTTGCTATGATGCTTTTCCGCGGCAGGTATGAACTGTGGCATGACATCCAGGTAGCTCTTCTCTCCGTTTGCCTTACCATAGTTAGACGGACTACGACCAGCCTTTCGTGGTGGCGAGCTGGTTAAGGACCTGGACCTTCCTCTGCTCTCCGCATCAGACTCATCTGAAGAACCGTACTCATCGACGGGACCTGGGGCAGTCTCTTTTCGCCAGAACATATCACTGACTTTGGAGACACCGCTACGCAAGACGCTATCAATGCGTTGCCCCCGGAATAGCCCTTTCAGGCTACTGCTTCCATCTTCCCGAAGTTTGTGATTTCCAGTACTCTTATTCGATTTTTGGCTCGAGTCGGTTCCTTTCGTCACTATTTTGCGAAGAGGACTGCGAGAGGCCTTCCGCTCGGGAGGTGAAAGCATGCCAGTCGCGGTGCCCAAAGTCGCGGGGGATTCTACCGGTTGCCGATCGGACAGGAACTGCACTGATTCGGGGTTCTCTTCTCTTCCGATATGTGATGGGAGCTCAGCCAAACGCTCGCTGCTGCGATCTCGGAATATGCTCCTAACTTTTGTCAGGGGGTTTCTGCTCGGTGAACTCGCTATCGGTGAGCTTGGTCTCGTTGACCTTGGCGAAACGTCCATGCCCAGTCCAGGAACTAGTACGTCATGCATTGGCCGCAAGTTGGGCGAATATGGTGGTGATGTATCATAATCAGTTGAAAACCGCCTATCCTCATTGAGTGACCCAACGCCAGTCCGTCCAGCGAGAACCTGTGCCGGGGCTGGCTTGGCTTGGAGCTTGAAATAAGAGCCCTCCAAGTCGGCCGGCTCAGAGCGGGATGCTGGCCTGCGGCCATCAGCGTTGTCAGCGCGCGTAGGCGTCGGTGTAATCCGCAGCCTCTCCTGATCCTTTTCGGTTGTCGCCAATCCGGCATCTGGGAGCTTCAACCGCTGCGTATCCCGGTCATAGAGAGGATGCGCTTCAATATCTCTCTGCTCCTGAGCGATCATGTCTTCCATCTGCCTTGCCAGTATGTCCTTACCACTACTGGAGATAGTCCCATGTCTGCCCCGCCGCTTCCGATCGCTGTCCGTATCAGACGACTCTGAAAACGAGCCTCTATGAATCCGAATAATGTCGCGATTGTATATGGAGCTGTTGGCTCGATGATGGGATCCCTTGAGCGCCCGAAGTTTCTGTTGTGCTTTGTCCCGAGCCCGACTTGCACTAAAGCCGAGCGGTTGCTCGTGATGCGCCTTTTGCGTTGACTTTTGTTCCGCAACCTGGGGTGGCTGTTCCGTGCGAGCCTTGTCTAGAGTCGTGAGGCTATTGGAGTTGGAAAAGATCTTGCTTGAGCCTGGAGTATCATCTCTTGAGAGCGAACGGTAAATTTCGGCACCACGTTGCGGAAAGAGGCGCTTCCAATTCCTATCCTCCAGAAGGAACTTGTTGTCGTCCTGTTCAAGCCAATAGATGTCCGCGATCATATCCGCCGGATCTACGGCCCAGTCAACCCGCGGTCGTTTCAGTTTGGGCATTGCTGTTGTCGGCCTAGAGGCGAGGGACTGGGGAGAATTCTCATGAGAGAGAATACGAGGCGGGGAGAATGGAGGTATCGAAGGATTTCCCGGTACTCGGTCCTGACCCTTGGCGATCCATTTGGCTACTTCGTCAACCCATTCAGAAACCCTTTCAACATCATTGAAGCCCTGACCCTCTCCATCCAGGGTCTTCCTCTCACGAGCCCGAATTTTCCTGTTGCGGATATACTGCAGCGGATTATAAGGTCGGCCAATTATTGTTTCGGCGCCATGGGTCGGTGATCTAGTAGGGAAGTTAGAGCCACTAGGCGTTAGGGGAGGGCTAACGGTGGAAGATGTTGCTGATCGGTCGGCCTTCAATGGGGGTAGCAGTTCTAGTATCCGTCTGTATTGTGCCATCAACCCCAAGTATTCCCTTGCCTTTTGTGCTCTCGCCAAGGTCGACTGGGAAAAGTGGTATTGGTACGGTCCGAGATCGGCTGGAGCTTGCAGTGACCGTGTAGATGCGATGCGCGGGGAGTGGTCCGGTCTAGGTGACATATTTCGCGAAACTTTTCTTTGCTGTTGCAGGTGTTGTCGAAGACTTCCTCCGGTACTGTTTTCCGGCACTGGCCCTAGTCTTGGAGGCACTGGCTGAGAGATGATCCTTCGCGACGCTATCCTCCTCGATTCGCTCAGGTTAAGAGCCATATTCACAATCTGGGCCGACTCCATATCTAGGGGCGCCATGCTTGTTCGTGGGGACGGATTCGTCCCAATGACCGTCTCGCCTGCCAGAGAAGCACGGTTCGACGTGGCAGTACTGCCGGTGATGGAGGGTGCTTGTCGAACAGATGGCTCAGCTGTCGATCCTGAGCGCTGAACAAGCCCCAGGCCTACCTCGTTCGAAGAACCCGTACGCTTGTTCCGGCCAGGCGACCTGTCCAGGCCATGCTTAATGGTCCTATTCCTGCTAGGCTCTAACAAGCTCTGCCTCTTGGGTAACTGTAGCTGGGTATTTGGAGCATGCGCGCCGAAGACAGGATCGGAAAGGAGAAAGGCGCCATTCGTTCTGTGCTTATGAGGGCGGAGGGCGCCTTTGGAGAAATTTCGGTCATCGGCGCGAGGGTGATCATCGTGGTCGTCGTTAAGATTTGAGGAAGTCACAAAAACGTCGGGGAGGTTCGTGGTGACCTGGTAGTCCTGGCCAGAGATGGCTGTCGAGGCATGGTCGTGGCGGTCGGGAACGAGGTCGGGTTGCTTGGTTGCTCGGCGCGGACGAAGGTTGGATGATGGGCTGGCATCTTGGTCGGTCATTGCTGTGCTGCGCCGTTCACATGCCACGTCTTCAGAGGAAGCGGGAACGGAGGAACTAGAGTCGCATGGAATGGATAATGATATGCATCGTTGTCGTTGTCAGTCTTCTCGTCGGTGGTGGTGTATGAGATGAAGAGGATGCGCAGTCCGTCTTGGCTTCCGAGCGTCTTGTATGGGCAACCTCGCTCGGCTCCTCTAGTCTCCGGTGGAGGGTCGTCGCCAAGTGTCTCCCGTCTTGTCGGTCGGTTCTCGTGATAGTCGAAGGTGTCTGTAGCGGTCTTGTTCTTGGGGGTCTGGCTGGCTGGGCTGGGCGCTTCTTCAGTGGCTTCAGTCTGCCATGTGAACACAAACCAAGACAATGGCCAACGACGACGTCAGATGGGCAAGGTACCGATGCAGTGCAATGCTGTGTTGTGAGCTACTTTCTATTCGCCGAGCGCACTATAAGATGGCTGCACGAATACTTCTAGCGGCGCATGTAAGGGAGAGAAACAATGGCCCAATGGATTCTGGCTCTAGGTGCGACAGGAACAGGCCGCTGAAAGGAGTAATTCGATGGATGCGATGCGATGGGATTGGGACAGATGGGAACACGAGGTCGAAATCGAAGGTCACTCACCAAGACAGTGCAGGTCCAGTGCATGCGATACGGGTGCGATACGGGGCTGTCTCTCCCGAACATCTCTCCAAAATGTTCGGTGGAGGTTCCACTCGTGCTCCCACCCAAACCCGTCACTGCCACTGGTTCCGTCGCCCTGCAAGCTCACGGCTTCCTGCTGTGGCCCGTTGAAACGGCGGATCGTCCTTGCTGTGTCATCAACCTTTTCGGCAGTTCATAGGGGGCCCCCTGGCATGCCTGCCTGCAAAAGAGCCAGAAAACGAGGAAGTGGGGCACGGGCAGAGTACCCCACTGTTACCCGCTATGGATCACGTTCCGTCGGGCCTGGGAGCCACTGACAAGCGCAGCTCCTCAGGGTTGTTTGTTGACTTTGGACGCATGTCAGCACGTTGTATTTCCCATGCTACAAAATATTCCATTAGGTACTGCATTGCATTTTCACATGGCAGCATTGCGGCTTTCAAGGCTGAGTGATCATCATGTTGAGTTGAATATTCGTTTCTCAAGGTAGGAAGCAGTATGTTGGTATATCGAGGTGGTGTGACTAACGCTCCGGTCAGGTGGTTCGTTGTTACTTGTTGTATCTACATAACTACCTACCTCTATTCTAGATGTTAGGGGATGGGGGTTGATCTGCGAGAAGGAAAGAACCCCCACAGCTCTCGTTGCGATGTGATGAACAAGGGGCATTCCCATTTCCAACATCCCAACCGTCCAACAATTCTTTATTGAAACCATTGTCCCCAACAAAGGAGGCAGGGATGGTGTGTTTCAAGCAGGCATTTCAGGTTGGCAGTATGTATGGGTGTATGTACTCCTTGGACCGTCATGTGCAAGCGACTTTCGGAACCAGATTGCTGGGTTCAACGCATGTTTAGTTATCTCTATCTTGGCTCTGAACAAGACAGCGCCATATGTGAGATTAAACCATCTCGAAAAGAATTCCGCTTATGTATAAAGTTGTCACCGCAAATTAAACAATACTGGCGAGATGCCCCATCCCTCTAATACCCGTGTGCCCGTTACCTCCATGTCGCCAGAACCAACGTAAAAGACCAGATTTGTCTCCTTGTTGATATCATAAACAATGTGTTCCTCGGGACCCCCTGTGTAAGTCGATAATTGTCCCCAACGCTCAGAGAAAATACAAAACACCTTCGTAGCCATGCAAGGAAAGGTTAGAACACCGTCACCGCAGTGACAGCGCCATTCTTCAACACCTCAAAGACGAATCCCGGGAATCCATAAAGAGTAGTCGTGGAGTCTGCGGGCCCATCAAACTTCTTGGCCGTGCCACCGGCGTCCGGTGCTGCCGTCGCGCCGTCTCCTTCCCACCCGCCGAGAAACTCAATACTGCTCCCGGGACTGTCTCCCCAGCCTCTGTTGAGAACCATGCCTCTCTGAGCCTTGCGCGCTTCTTCTTCAGAAGGGTAAAGGGACTGCCACTCCTTGCGCAGGCTCTCCTCAATTTGCGGAAAATCCGACTCCGAGTTGATCACAACGTCCGAGACGGATGAGAGATACGGGATTTCCCATCGGCAGCGACGGTGTCGGTTGAAGGGATATGACCCAGGCACATTTCCGTGCAGAACAATCTTAGTGGCAACAAGGCTGTCGGCATTGGCTGTGAGAAGCCAGTCCTTGGGAACGTTAGGTACATTCTTCCCTTGCTCCTGAGAAGGCGGTACCGGTGATGGCGCCGTCGGCTTTGAGACCAGCACATCGAATCCATGGGAGAAATAGTTGTAGAAGCACTCGCCTGACACGTGGCCGCCTTCGGTGCTGATGTCACTGGTTTCATCGTCGCTAGAGTGGTAACCATCCGACCCAGCGTTTGCCGACGATTGATCTGTGTCTGTAAGGTCGTCCTGATGCTTCAAATCAGCACTGTCTGGTCGCTTCATGGCATCGCTACCAGTCCGCGTATTGTGTGCGAACATCTTATGGTCGCTCTTCCGGTATATAGCATCGGGAGGACCCAAGTGGGATACAAGGTCTTGCGGAGTAGTCTGTCCAAGCCTGATCCAAAAGTGCTGATCCGTCCACTTTCGAAAGACCTGCAGTTTCCCTGCACCGTAAATTTTGATCAGAGAGACCTCGTCAGGAAACACCTCCTTTCCCTTAGTGAGTGGCGTGAACGTCTTGAGACTGGGCAGCACATCAGTCCACAGCGTCTGTCGGGCCTGTGTCCATGAATCCCCACTGAAAATGCCCATGACCTCGGGGACCGCGGTGGATGGCAACAGGTCAACCACGTTCTTCTTGGCCGAGTAGGCCTCTTTCTTCATGAGGAAGGTGAAGGCCACGCCGGGCCATGACAAACAGTATAGGCCATATTGGTCGACGGCGTTGTCTGGGGTCTTTGGTCCATCAACGAACTCCCCATCATAAGTGGGACCAAGAAACCGTTGATAGATGTGACGGAACGTAGGGCCCGCGGCGTTATCGGTTGACAGGGTAGATGCTGTGGAAGGACGAACAAGGTCACGCTCCTTGTTATCGGCTGCCTTGAGAAAGATATGATTCTTTGTAAAGTCCAACACCTCGATCAAGCGTAGTCGCTGCTCTGGGGCGTCGAATTGTAGCCGCATGCCGTTTGCAGGGAGATCGATAATGATAATCGACGTCGTCGGCGAGGTTGGGCTGTACTTGACATCGAGATTCGGGAACCGCTGGGGCTCTGTCTTGAGGCGGGTCAAGACATCGTGCAACGACGCTCCAAGCACCAACCAGCCCAGCGCTCGGCCAGGATAAAGCTGGGCGGAGAATAGAAGGGGAGAAATCGGCGGCGAAGTAGGCGTCGACATGTTGAAACTTGGATATCCTGATGAAGATGCTTGGGGTTGGACACGGCTTAGGGTGTTATATGGGAACGACGGAGATGGGACGAACTCCTAAGTCGAGTCTCGTTCATCCAACGGGCTTAGTGGCAGGACGGACGGTCGAGAATGGCGGACAGCGATATCATCTGTTCGTACTATAATTGTGTGTGATGTTGTGCTAGCTTTGTGATGAGAGAGAAAAGAAAGCGAGAATAAGAGGATGGGAGTTGTTAGATAGCCGTCAGATGCGTCGTTATATGCAATGGGTGGGGGAGGCTGCGCTTGCTGGGTGTTGTCCGTCAAGGTCCCCTCGTGATCTGGGGGCGGCCACCACCGACCATCGGCAGCTGCCCCAGATTACGTAGAGGTACCCACGTACCTACCTCCCGTCTACATATTCACATGAAGGCGGCGGCAGGCGGCGGTGAAAGCGGCAGGCAAGACGGAGGGGTCAGCACTGAAGCAGCATTGCTCGCTGCGGGACTGAAGCGCGTGATGGGGAAGGACACAAAGAGGGGCAATGTGCTGGCTCGCAGTCACAGGCCGCTGTCCGCTGCAGGCCGTTTCCTGACTGGTCAGCGTCTCCAGCGATGATTGACAGAAAGAAAGAACAGCGCAAGCCCCTGGCTAAGGAAGATCAGTGGCCTGTGCGTTTGTTTTACTTACACCGGGAAGCGTTCGGTTGCCCCAGCAATGGCCCAATACAGCAGTGTAGACAGTGGAGACCGATGTTGATGTCGCGCCTGTCCCTGCGCCAAAGCAGCCAAGGCAAGCACCCAACTCAACTGGAAAGGACCGAACGCAAACATTGGAAAAAGCGATCCCCGCCATCCAACCCGTCCTTGCCCAAGACCTACCCGACCGAGTCGCTCGCATAATCGACAAGCAAAGGCCGGGCTCGCGACGTCCAGTCGCTCATTCCCGACGACGTGTAGATTCTACACGCCAATCTCTCCACGACGACACTGCCGTCTTTCGCACATAAGAAAAAGGCGTCGACCGGCCGATTGAACGACCCACGACCTCGCTCCCTCTCTCTCTGCCATCAGCTCTTCGATCACCACCACCAATGCTTTTTGGATTGATTTTCGCCCATTGTGTACTTTAGCTCAACAGTCGTCACTTCGCATCTTTTCGTTTCTCGTCTCTCCTTCGGCTAAACTTTCTCCTCGATTTCGCGACCTCGACCTTACGATAAAGTATCGCCCAATCGCGCAGCTCCAGCATGGAGCGTAAAAAACCATCAGCCATGTCGCGTCCACCATCCGCCGCCGGGACGCGTACCAACAGCAGCATGCGACCTCCAGCCACAAGAAGCACGGCATCTTCGACAGGTCGACAATCAGCCCTCCGAAATGCATCCGCATCGGGATCCCGCGCCGAGCGATCGGGTGCCGCCTCCCCCGCAGACTCGCAAGTGTCGGCAACAGCAGGTGCGAAGCGCAAGGAGCGCGATTTCGACCCGGAGGACGAGGGCACTACAAACATCAACGTCGTTGTGCGCTGCCGAGGACGCAATGACCGGGAGGTCAAGGAAAACAGCGCCGTCGTTGTCAAGACGGAGGGCCTCAAGGGCAGGATAGTTGAGCTATCAATGGGTCCCAATGCAGTCAGCAACAAGACGTATACCTTTGATCGCGTCTTCTCGCAGGCCGCCGATCAAGCCATGGTCTTTGACGAGGTGGTGAAGCCTATCTTAGAAGAGGTAAGGGCTATCAGAGCGATTAGGGCCTGTCCATGGCTGACTTGAACTAGATGCTCGCCGGTTACAACTGTACCATATTCGCCTACGGCCAAACAGGCACGGGCAAGACATACACCATGTCAGGCGACATGAATCAGACTTTCGGCATGCTTCCCGACACCGCAGGCATCATCCCCAGAGTTCTGCACGCTCTCTTCAATAAGCTTGAAGTGGACGACAAGGAACACTGTGTGCGATGCTCGTTTATCGAACTTTATAATGAAGAGCTGCGTGATCTGCTCTCGGCAGAGGACAACACGAAGCTCAAAATATTTGACGACAACTCGAAAAAGGGCCATGCCACGACCATTGTGCAAGGCATGGAGGAAAGACATATTTTGAGCGCGGCAGACGGCCTCAGATGGCTTCAAGAGGGCAGTGTGAGGCGCCAAGTAGCCGCGACAAAGTGCAACGACCTCAGTAGTCGTAGTCATACCGTCTTTACCATTACCGTTCATGTCAAGCAGCAAACCGAGAATGGAGAGGATTATCTGATGGGGGGAAAGCTGAATTTGGTTGATCTCGCTGGCAGCGAAAACATCCAGCGCTCTGGAGCCGAGAACAAACGTGCCGCCGAGGCTGGTCTCATCAACAAGAGTCTGCTTACTCTTGGTCGTGTCATCAACGCCCTGGTCGACCGCAGCCCCCATATTCCTTACAGAGAATCGAAACTTACACGTCTACTCCAAGACTCGTTAGGTGGGCGGACAAAAACTTGCATCATTGCGACAATATCACCGGCCAGGAGTAACATGGATGAAACGATTTCCACACTTGATTATGCTTTTAGGGCCAAGAACATTCGAAACAAACCGCAAATCAACGCGTTGCTCAACAAAAAGACATTACTTCGAGAGTTTGCGACTGAGATCGAGAAACTCAAAAGCGAGCTAATTGCTACTCGTCAACGAAACGGTGTCTATCTATCGAACGATGCTTACGAAGAGCTGACCGTACAAAACGAATCGCGGCGTATCCTTACGGAAGAACAAGCGGCCAGAATCGAGACACTCGAAACGAACCTTCGAAACAAGCTCCAGGAGCTGTATACGATGACATCAACATTTATGGGGCTCCGAAAAGAGCACGAAGCCACAAAAGCACAGCTAGACGAGACCAAGGATGTGTTGGACCAAACCGAGCTGGTGTTGGCAGCTACCAGGAAGTCGTTGACGGAGGAGGCGCACATCCGAAGGGCGCATCAAACAACCGAACAGAAGCTTGCTAAAGTGGGTGATGAGCTTATTTCTACCATCAAGCGGACCGTCCAAGATGTCGAAGGGCTCCATGCGAAGAACAGAAGAAGGTCCGACCTACATGCGCTCAATCGTAGCACGTGGGCCATGTCGCAATCGCAAGTTACAGGTATTACTGAGCTTGTTGAAAGTCGGATTGCGGAGTTTCGCAAGGGGCAGGAGGAGCATATCTCCAGCGTATCCGAGCGGATGCAAAGTTTCGTCCAGGAGGAGCTCGACAAGCTGTCCACAACCCAAGCCTTCCTCGACCAGAACTTGGAGCATTTCGCAGAGTCTAGGACACAGCTGCTGGAGCAGAAGCAAAAGTCTAAGGAGGAGATGGACAACGTGCTGGAAGAAATCAAGGTTGTTCGGGACACCGTGAAACAGCGCGTTGGAGAATCGCTCCAGGCTATTGCCTCGGCGGCTGAGCGGATTGCAGGTGACGTCCTGGGCGAACTAACTACTTTTCACAGTCAGTTACATGCTTCGTATAGTTCGCTTGGGAAGGATTGCAAATCCATCTTTGAGGATCTGCTTCAAACAATAACCGCCCAAAAAGCCGAAGCCGATAGACTCCGGCAAGAGCTTGAGGGTGCTAGTCAGACCATTGTGGAGTCTAACACAACTGTGTCAGCCCGGATCCAGGAGGTTTTGGAGGAGGAGCGAAGACAAGCGGCCGAGGAGAGGCAAAACCTTCTGCTACAGATCGGCTCCCTCATCAACTCGCAGGCGGAGATGCAAGAGTCTCGCCTGGCCGGGAAAACGGCACTTATTCGACAGGCCGTCACGGATTCGAATACGACGTTTGAGGGCAGTATGTCCGAGTATCTGGAAGGCATGAACGCTTGGAACGAGAAGGACAACAGACTTATGGAGGCCGTCGTCAAATCTCGTGATGCGCTCAAGAACAAGATGCAGGAGGACTGGGCGGTAAGCTACCTGGGTCGTGTCACATTTGGGAGACTCGTTTGCTAATGAAAGTCACAGACTGCCGACGAGCACAGCAACTCTATACAGAACACCACAAAATCTGTCCATGCCGAGACGGTCCGTGTAGTTGATGCCCAGCTCAAAGATCTCGATGTCCAGATGCAGGATCTTGACGATTTCGTCTCCCGCGCCCACTCCGAAAACTCCACGCACCACGAACAACATGCTGTCTCGATGGAGAACCTCACCTCAACCGTCGAAAAGTCCTTCATTAACATTGCGGACCATTTCGGCGACCGATTCGACCGTATCCGCGACCTTAGTGGCGAGATGGATAACGATGCGAAGACCCTGCGGGAGTCTCTTGAGCCGCTTGACGAGTCCCTCCGTCAGCCCCTTGCCGCCCTCCGCGAAGACATCCAGAGCACCAAGATGCGCGAGTACGAGCCCACCGGTGACACGCCCGAGAAGAAGCGCTACGAGTACCCGACGGACCTTCCGCGCACCGCGGGCCATGAGACGCTCATTGCAGGCATGCAGGACAAGCCTTCAACGACGCAGACAACAAGCCCAGCCAAACGTGCAACGACGACTGCGGTATATAGTGATATCGTCGTCTCGCCTTGACGTTCACCTTCCAAAGTGCCATTATCCGTGCCCGTTTCACCAAGCAATAATCCTTTCGGCACGCCCGGTCCCGCCGCGAGCACCCGAATCAAGCCGCGTCCGCTGGACCCGAGTCTACGAGAAGTTAATCCAAACCTCGGTGGTGGGCCAACAGTCTTTGGCGAATTGTCATCCAGCACAATGTCAATGGCACCGCCGCCGGCGCCATCTGCATCTGTGATCGGTTTCCATGCCAACAATCACGAACACAGTGAAGGGAATGCAACTCACATACCGCTCTTCAGGAGGAGTAATCGGAGACAGTCACCTCGTGGAATAGCGAAGAAAAAGATAACAGGCCATGCCAGTGGGATCATCACGGAGGGTATGGAAAACATGCCAATCCCGACGGCAGATGCTACTGTAGGCATTGCCGGAAACAGGAGGAAGACTCCACGGTTGGGTTGAGTTAGTGTCGGGCTTGGTCTGTTGGTGGACTTTTTAAGGGAACTTGAGTTGGGGAACTGGTGGGACATGGTCAATAGGAAGGGGGAAGAGGAGGTGTTTTGGCGCTGGTTGGATGCTTAGAGGAGGAATTTTTATCATTCTTAGTCCTGTTGGCTTGGTTGTTTGGTTGTTAAAATAACATCCCCGATGATGGGATGGGATGGTTGGTTTGGCCGTTGTCGCTTATGCTGTACTCTTTATGAAGCACTGATACCCTCATCATATATCAACTGGTTTCTCCTTTGTTTGGAGTTGAATGATTCCTGCTACGATGTAGTGGATGGGACAATTCGGAGAATTGGATCTACATTGCTACCCAGATCGTTGTGCATTCAACCTGCTTTGACAAATGTTTTGTTACCGTGATGATGTTATCGATATCTTACTGTCAGGATCCTGGAGTTTCAAAATTGATGCATCACAACTCGCTACACCATCACGAAATATTCTGGCCAGTCGCGAAAATTCCTTCCAACACCACACCATCAGTGAAAAAAAGAGCCTTGACAGCTGAGCAGAGATTCGTAACCACACAAGAGGAGGTGAAAACCAAAAAAATAAAAAAAGACAAGAAATCGAAAAAGGAAGTTCCCACCTGAGCGAAGGTGGATACGTTACTGACTAGAGTGAGATTCGAACTCACGCCCTTTCGGACCACGGATTTCTCGGATTAAGGGTTTACCTTAACGTGGCGCCTTAGACCGCTCGGCCATCTAGCCTTGTTGTTGTCAGTTTTGAAAATCATGTTTCTTATGAACTACCTCCTAATTTCGGTCAAAGGAAAGGAGGAGATGGGGGGAAAGATCGTTGGGTTGCGGGGAGTTGGATTAGTTGGAGCACAGGATGGGTGATTTGACGATTTCGAAGGAAGAGAGAATAGAATGGCGCGGTATGGGGCGTGTATTAAGATCTTGAACTGGTTGTAAATGGTTGATTGAGGAGAAAGGGTGTTGTACCTCCTGGATTTTTGAAGTGTGCTGAAGATTCACGCTGTTACATCCGAAGGAAGCTCAAGTTGGAGACATCCCGCTTCACTTGGATTGGGTAAAAGAAATAGAAGAACTACAAGGAAAAAAAATTACTGTCGGAGGAAAGAAAAGTCTGGAGATCGTACCCTGGAAGGGTTGCCGGACTAATGGCAGTGGTAAGTAAGTAAGACTTTTATGCAGAAAGAAGTATCAAGAAGGGGGCCATAAGTGTCAGTTATCTTAGCAACAGTTGTAACTGTTATTGTTTACATGGTAAAGAGCATATGCAGCAATTCTTCCATAGTAGCCGTTTCCCCAGTTCAGATCTTGCTGTGTCGCGAAATCTTCATAAGATATTGAGACTAACTGCCTTCAAAGATCAATCTCATGTCCTCCAGTCTCATCATCCCCAAAGTTCATATTCACATCAGATTCAACGCCCAACCTTCTTCTCCCCTCTCCCATAACTCCTCCCTCTCTCCCTCTCCCTCTGCATCAGATCCTCCCCTCTCCACCCCTTCCGCACCTTGATCGGCTGCAAAAACCCGTCCAAATGGATCCCCCCATCCATCTCATCCATACTATCTTCATCCCCTCCCACCACAGAACCTGCGGGAGAAGCAGGTGGACTCCGCCCATGAACAAGCTTCAAGTGTCGATGCATATTCGCTCTCCTCGCAAACCCTTCCACAGCTCTCACACACTCAGGATACGGGCAGAAATACACATCCCCACCCGCCGCCGGTGTAACCGACCGTCTCCTCACCCTCAGCCCGCCGCTGCCGCCTAGGCCCGGTGCCGGCGTACCCGCCCTTCTGGCTCTGCTCCTGCTCCGGGCCCGGCTCTCGCTTCTACCGCGTCCCGTTCTTCCCCTTCCTTGTCTCTCCGTTTCTGCAGCCTCTGTTCCAGCTTCGGCTGGAGCAGCTTCAACACCCTCCATAACTTCATCTTCCTGGTTATCCTCCTGAGAATCATCAGGAGGGGAAAACGTCCTCACAAGACTCGGCTGCCTACTAACCGTCCTCCTCTGCTCCAACTCATCAGCCGTGTCGACTTCCGAGTCCGAAGACTCGGGGAGCGGGTCGCCGGGGTGGTAGGTTGTCGTTTTGGTCTTGGAGGAAGAAAGGGTATGCATCGTCATCTCCTCTCCAAAAAGGGTGCTGCACCGCTGCGTCGCGCGGGCAATCACGCTCTGCGGGAACCCGGCGAGGGCAGCCGCGCCCAGTACGTCGCGCCAGTCGCGGAGACCCCAGCGGGCGACGCGGTCCATGCGGTCTTTTTCTTGGACGGCGGTCAAGGCGGCGGCGGCGGCGGTGCTGGTTACGCTTCTGCTTCTGCTCCGGTCCCTGGTGGGACGTTTTGTCTTCTTGGAGGAGGTGGGTAGTTGGTAGGATCTTGGCGGCACGGCTTCGGTATCGGCCTCAGAAGCTGTTTCGTCGTCGTCGTCGGTTGTGTGGAACGAGGAAGCCCGAGAACGAGAAAAGGAGGGTATCCGCCTGTGTGTCTCGCGGGCGACGCGGACAAGCATTTCCTCTTCTGTCTCGCCCTCGAGCGGGATGCGTACTTTTCTTTTACGGCCGCGCCTGCTTCGCGGATTTGGTTTGGACTCGGAAGCTGTGGCTTCCGCGGATGGGGACGGTGATGGCGCACGGGGTCGTCCTCTTCGCGTGCGCTGCTGCTGCTGCTGTCGGACAGGCTCCGTCTCGGCGTCGTTGTCGTTATCTTCGGTGTCACTAGCAGAAGATTCGGACAGGTCGCGGAGACCGGCAACGCGAGCATTGTGTAGAATTGTTAAGGTCTCGTCCAGCTTGGAGAGGATGCGCCGCGATGCGGGACGTAGTAGTTTGTAGGACCTGTCGTCGTCGACTGACGGGGCGGGGATGTAGGTAGGCGTAGGAGCTCGACGGCGTCGACGTGAGGAGTTGGAGATATGCGAAGAGGAGCCAGTTTGCTTACTGTTCTCGTCTTGAGAGACTGGCTCACCTTTGACCGGGCTCGAGAGTGGTACGCTATACCGGGAGGACTCGTCGTTGCGCCTTGGCGGGCTAGATGGCAACTGGCTGGATTCGGCATGGTGATGGTCGTCGTTGTCGCCCGTTTCTATTGAGTCCACGACGCCATCGTTCCCTTCGCCTGCCGGCTGTACTGCTGATTGATCATCCTCGTCGTCTTCTTCCGGGAACCCTCTGCTTCGGAACTTTTCCTTGGCACATCGCAGAATTGTTGCCGAAATTTCTTCCTCCAGATTCTTGCTTGGGTAAGTCTGGACAGTCCGACGCAGCGTGAAAGCCTCGTGCTCGTCTGCGGTCCGGGGAAGGAGCTCATCATCAACGACCTCACCAGTCCTCAGTGGCCAGGCCGTCCATCGATGGCTCGGAGCCCACTCATTCTCTCTGTGCCGTGGACCCTGATCATCTTCAGTTTGATCGTTGGTTGCCTGAGTAATCGTTAACTTCTGCTATTTTGATACGCCTCGGTAAACTCACCTCTTCTGTCTTCTGCCTTTTGACCCGAGTTTTCAGTGCATGCGCGTTGTAGAGATGTGCTGATAAGTCACGCCTGCGCAAACCCTCTAACGCTTGATAGGCCTTTCTTTCCTGCGCGGTGAATGTGAGCCATGTGGAGGGGGGACCTTTCCACCGATTAGGGCGTGTTTCGTGCAGTTCATCTGAGGCGATCGAATTGATATCTTCGGTGTCTTTATCCCAATCCTCCTCGGATTCTTCTTGGTTCATGTGTGAAGACATTCTGTTGCAAGTTTAGTGGGTGCCGTGCCAACGTCGGCAGGGTTGTTTGGTGCAAATTCTGGGTGATCAAGCAGTGAAAAGAGATTGAGGGTGGAAGAACCGCACTGACGCCTGTAAATATCCGTTTATCATAACAACAAGGATGGTAAAGTGACCAGCAAATTCTTGCTCATTCCTCTAATAAGGTAGTTTACTTTGAGCTCTCACCTTTCGCTCGTCCTCTTCTCAGTTTCTTCGAACTTTTCTTTGGCGTCCCATCGTTTGTTTTCGTAGCGATCCCTAACCCTCGGAGCAAGTCTTGTGGAGGCCCATCTTCATGTCACAATCTGTCACAATCATTTTCACTTTTGCATCGAGTGGGCACGATGAATATGATTCAAAACTTGTCAATTACACAAAGAAAAAATGAGCCTTTGGTATCCCATTCCAAAACATCAAGTGCTAAAAATTACGCCTTGCCAGTGTTTTAACCTTACGCCTTCTGCGCCTTCTCCTTTTCCAGCTTTCTCCTCTTGGCGCGGAGCTTCTCGTCCTGAGCGCTCTTCTTGTTGTTGGTATACTGCATCTGCTCAAACAGCTTGCGCTTCTTCTTGCTAAGCATGCCCTTCGCGCGCTCCAGATCCTCGGCCTCCTCGCGTGCCTTCTTTTCAAGGGTCTTGCGCTGCTCTAGCTTGGCCTTGGTCTTGGGGTCTACCTTCTTGTTCTGCACCTTCTTGCCTTGGAGCTCGGCTTCCAGTTCAAGCTGGCGCTGGAGAGTCTTGGATTCCTCCTCATCTTCCTCAGCATCCTCCTCCTCCGCCTCCTCGGCATCCTCCTCGTCACCCTCCTCCTCTTCCTCATCGTCCTCAGCCTCGTCGACATCCATGTCGTTCTCGACATCGGAGCCCTCCTCAGCACCATCCTTCTCAGCATCCTCAAGGTCGGCTTCGATGGCCTCGGCCTCGGTTTGCTGAGCCTCAAGGGGCAAAGTGGGATCGTACTGGCCAGGGGCGGCCTTGACGAAGGGGCTAAGATGGGGAGGGAGAGCGGCACCGGGAGCATAGAGCTCGGGGCTCTTGAGCTCCTCGTCGTTGACGCAGTCCCACACCCATTGGGGCTGAACATATATCCTGCCGGGGTATCTCTGGTTGGGTCCGACCTTCTGGGCCGTCTGGTTGTCCTCGCCATCGCCGTCCTCATTGGTAGCGGCTTGTACGACCGGCCTGTCAATGATGTGGTGGGTGATGGAGGGATCCGACTCGTCATTTGTGAAAGCACCCTCGCCGAGGACGGAATCCCAGCCTATCCTCTTGCAGCCGAAGGCACGGAGAATGAACTCGAGAGGCTGGCGGGGGGTCTCACGGGAGAGATAGAATGTGAAATTGGCGAACAGCTGCGAAGGGTCATTGCTGCTGTACGCCGGCTGAGGGAGAACATCACCACCAGGGGCGACGGGCTCGAACTTGTCGATAGAGTCTGTGGGCTTCTCCTCGTCGTCGGCCTCGGCATCTCCCTCGGCAGTCTCGTCACTCTTGGACTCGTCCTCCTTCAATTGCTTGATAATCTTGTCAACCTCAGCCTGGACCTTGGGGTCAGGGCCCTGCTGTTCCTCTCCGTTTGTGACGGCCTTGGTCTCGCCCTGGGTGGCCATGTTGACGCCTTCCAGGGAGAAAGCGCCGAGCTCAGCACCGTTCTCGTCCTTGAGCTGGTCGAACTTGGGAGGATACTTGAGACCGATCGAGCTGTAAAGTCTGTAGTTGACGAATCCGAGGAGAGTCATGTAGAACTCGACAAAAGTGCCCATGATGCGGAAATCGACATCGCCGACGATCCTTTGGTTGAACTTGTAGGGAACGAGCCAGAGAATATCCTCGCCCTGGATGTTGGCCTGGTAGTAGATACCCTTGATCGACAGGAACGACTTGCGCAGGCTGTGGGAAACAATAAGGTAGTGTTGGAACTCGAGGCAGAGGCGCTCGCAGCGGGCGATCATCTTGGCGGGAACCGCGCTCGTGGAGGGGAGGTTGGCGAAGAGGAAGAGCATGGACAAGCAGTCATCGAGATCGCGGAGCGCATCGTTGAAGGTCGGGTAGCGCTCGCGGATGACGTGGTTGAGGGTGTACCTGGGCTTGCCAGTGGCCTCGGGGCGGGCAGCATGGCGCTCGAAGCGGGCGGCATCCGAAACATCACCTCTGCCGAGAGCACGGGAGATCTTCTTCTCGAGGACCTTCTGGTCACGGAACTTTTGAAGAAGGGGCTCGTGGAGGAGGTACTGGATGTCCTTGGTGTAGTAGAAGGTGGTCGAGGCAGTGGCCGACTTGGAAACCTTCTTCTTGTTACGGGGCTCGCGAGGGTAGATACCCTTCCAGATGCAAAGCTTGCGGAAGTCGGGAAGGCTAAGCTGGAGCTTCTTCACAGCCTGTGTGCGAGTGATGTAGTTCTTGGCCGCGCCGGCCTGGCCCTTCTTCTTGATTTTAGGCATTTTTGGGGTGTGGTGGTGGTTGTGGTTGTTGGGTGTAGATGAAAGAGTGAGAGAAGGAGAGGACCAAGGATGGATCTCTTCTGTCTGCAGACTCGTTGCAGTGCAAGCGCCCCACCCCCGATTGGCTTCGATAGCAATCAACTTTTTTTCTGGCCGTCGCAGTCCTAAACTTTTTATGCCATCGCCCACCGCCTGAGCTGATAAGATTAGATAACGTACTGGATGGGATGATCGATGCTACGGTGGGCTAGAGATCCATTTGAATTTCCTGACAGTAGAAATTTCAAGTAAAAATGGCCATCCTTCCCATATTTTCAGGGCACGTAACTAATTTCTGGGGTCTGGAGCCTAGACTGGGGGGTTCTGGAGGCCACTTCTAGGCACCAAAAATACTAAAAATGCCAAAATCTATCATTACATTAATAAATACTGGCACTCAAGCACTCAATTTTACTATATTTCTAATTATTTCTAGGTAATGTATATATTATTAACTATCTTTCATCGCGATAGCTTCATTTACAAGCTTTCTATCTAGCTAGATCACTCTCGCTCATCTTAATCGTTCTCGTATATATAATTATACAACTACTCCTCAATTTATAATAATAATTCGTCCTTCTAGGCGGAAGAAAGCCCAATAAAAGACTAATAAAGGTTTCTAAGCCTCTTCCTATTTATAAAGACGAAGGTAACTATCTATACGTTCAGCTAATGAGTGGTTATAGCGGGAGTTTTCTAAAAAATTTATAGTAGAGAAGGCTCGCTTACAAAGTACGTTATTAGCTAAAATACTAAATACCCTTACAATAATAAGGGTAATAATAGAACTAATATCGAAGAATATATTTTACTAGAATTTAATGTTGAAATTATTATAATTCTAAATATCCTAATTAAGAGCGTAGATCCCCTTAAGGATTCGAAACGCGATGTAGTCCCTAAGAAAGTCAACCTTAATAACGTTATTTAATGTAAAAATATATTATTTTAAAAACTCTATTATAATATAATTAATGCTATAAATAATAAGACGAATAGTATCGAACTTTTAAATGGTAATATTTAAATATAAAAGGAATTCTAATTAATTTAAAGGAATAAATTATTTATTCCTCTTTATAATGTAAATTCGCTCAAATTCTTCGAACTCCTAATTAGAAATACTAATACGTTTATCCTCCTAATGCTCCTAGAAATTAATCTAGCGAAGGATAATGTAACTGACGATAGCTTTATTCGCTTTTAATATTAATTAAGCCTTATAGAGGGAGGCTATAAACTTCTTAATAATATTAAAACTATATTAAAAATAAGAATTCTTAATAATATTAAGTATTTGCCCAAATCGAATAGGGTCATCTTCTATTATTAAGAGGGGTCTTATTACTAACTCCTATAATAATATACTTATTTAGTAAACGCTATTAATATTAATTTCGCGTACTAAATCGATTAAACTGATTTATATTATAATTCCTATCGAATAATTATACTGCTCTAATTAATTTACTATATAAATAAAATAACGAAAGGATAACCCTAATTTACTTTACTAGGATAAAAACAATTTTACTGCAATAAATTATTATTAATGCGCGAAGGCAAAAGAGTTGAAACTTAAAAACACGAAAGAAATTTACAATTATTGCGACTTATTAAATTAATAGATAAAAGGGTATAATATTAAGCAAGTCTTTTATTAATAGTTAAAGCGAATATAAATTGTATAAGATAGTAAAAGCGCCTCTAAAACGGTCGCTAACGAATTTCTATATTACCTGCTGGGTACTATTATATATATCAGTAACAAAATTATTAATTTTAACTAAGGTATTAATTATGTTATTACAAATTTAAAAAATTAAGCTAGCGAGATTTATAGAAGTATATTCAGTTGTACCCATATAGTAATTACACTAGAAGAAGGTAATTCCGTTAGGGGGGTACGAAAAAGATATATTAATAATATATTTATTAGCGTAATTATTAAATTTGTTAAAGAAGATGTTATTATAGTTAATAGTATTAATATATTTATTAATAATTTACGCCTTTATTTGACTATAGATTAGAGTGAACTATTTGTTTACTATAGAGTTCGCGTTAAGAAGGGTATAAATAGGGAATATTATATATAAAAATACCCATATAGGAATAAACTCCAAGAGGTTAAATAGTTTATTATTGAAGAATATAATTTTAACCGCGTATTAATTGATCTTTTTCTTTTATACGTCAATAAAGACAATTGCATACAAACGTATATCTTTATAATTCTAAACCTATTATTAAACATAGTACAATTAGAAACTCTCGTAATTATCGAAGTAAATCTGTAATCGAGTTACGTTAGCGGACTGTCGGAAATTGCAGTGATTATACTAGGTAGTTTAGCTATAGTAACCCGGTTTATCTGTAAGGGTGAACTCTCTAAATATAGTCTTATTTTTTATGTAATGGATTGGGGATATCACAGTAGTTTAATAAGGGGATCGCTAACGTCATAAAGCTCTTGTCAATATTTGTAAAGAATTAACAACAGTTGAGAAATCAAAAATTTTTCTATGTGTACGGACTGTGAGCACGGGCCTTGAATTAGTGGTAATTTCAGAAAATCGAAATTTCATGAAAATCAGCCATTTTTTCCGAATGGATCGAACTCTACGGTGGGCCAGTCTGGAGAACCCCTTGTCCCACAGGGACCCGCCAGCTGTGGAGGCCAGCTGTCAGTCCGCCCCGGGGACAGCGATGACAGGGCAACCTAACGTGCTGGGCGCGACTCCTGTTTAGCGCAACGTGCATGTCGTCAACTTGACCCCGGGACAAGTTCGACATCACAGCTCCCATCTCGTCGTATGGCGAATTGAACAATGAATGGCGGCAAGGTAACGTTGGGGAGGACGGCTGGCTTATACGCCGGTGCTGCCATCCTGCGACTTGCCCTTTTTACTTTGTTTCCCGGTCTTCCAGACCTCCTGACTGGCCGTGTCGAGATCTCGACGCCAGTAACAAGCTTCAAGCGCCGTATGTTGTAGCTCTCTGTCTTCATGAATTCAGGTTGCTAACTCCCTGAATGCAGTCCAAGAAGGCCTCTTCCTATATAACCATAATGTCTCTCCTTACGACGGCGGCGTCTACCACCAGGCGCCCCTCTTGCTGCCGATCTTCAACTTGCTCCCGAGCTTCTCGACGTTTCCCATCTTCACATACCTTCTCTACATCGCTATCGATATCCTGAGCGCCGATGCTCTTCTAAGGATCGCAGAGTCTGGCGAGGCTGGCTCGTCCGCGCGTTTCACCTCCCCGCGCCGTGACAAGCGCTGGAGTGGTGCCGTCATCGCCGCGCTCTTCCTGTTCAACCCCTTCACCATTGCGACATGCATTGGCCGTTCGACCACCGTCTTCACGACTTGTGCCATTCTCCACGCCATCGCCAATGCCATCTCCGGTAGACACTTCCACGCCATGGTCGCCCTGGCCTTCGCATCTTACCTCTCCTTGTATCCGCTACTCCTCCTCCCGCCTCTAATCCTTCTCTGCTATGACAGGCGGAAGCAGCCCGCTACTGGAGCGCCCAATGCGTGGATCAAGTTTACTGCGACTATGGTCATGGACGTTTTCGGTGCTCTGGCCGTGCTCTTCCAGATGTCGTTTTTTCTCACCGGCTCATGGGAGTTCCTCAGTTCGACCTATGGCGTGCAACTTACACTGTCTGACCTGGCCCCCAACATCGGTCTGTGGTGGTACTTCTTTGTCGAGATGTTCGACTCGTTCCGTTCGTTCTTCTTGGCCGTCTTTTGGCTGCACTTGTCGTCATATGTTGGCGGACTGAGCGTGCGCCTTCGCCAGCAGCCGCTCGTGGTGATCACTCTGCTGCTGGGTATCTTCACCATCTTCAAGCCATACCCGAGCATTGCGGATGCGTCATTGTTCTTGGGCATGGTGCCGCTGTATAGACATGTCTTCCCGTTGCTGCGGTATTCGTTTGTCATTGCCGCCATCATCATCTACGCGACATTCCTCGGCCCTGCGTTCTATCACCTCTGGATTTATGCTGGTAGCGGAAACGCAAACTTCTTCTATGCTATTACGCTTGTTTGGGGCCTTGGATTGAGCTTGTTGGTCTGCGATCTCGCCTTTGCTGTTCTTAGGGATGAGTGGGAGGTTGAGCGACCCGAAATGGTCGGCAAGGAGATTCGACAGATTTGAGAGGCGGGAAACAAACACAAGGACAAATGTACCATAGAAGATTCATACAATCATATATACAGCATCAATACCACGTTTAAAAGGATGAAAGGTCCAACGTCTTAACGTCACCGAATTCAAATATGGCATATATCGAGGCCCCGACAACCACCACGAGACTTCTCTTCACTAATATCCATTTGAACTTGGTCCCGATCCCATTCCCATATTCCAGTGCTTTATATGCACGCCCATTAATCCAAACACCGTCTCCCAACAGTGTAAAACGTCCCTTTCTCGCCAAGCTCTCTCTTGTTTGCCCTTTCCTCCCTTGCGTCGCAGCCACCGCATGCCCCCCTCACCCGCTAATGCACCACCCCGCCTGCCCGCGTCGCCCATTCCCTTTATAGATTACCTCTTCATCCCCTACTGTCAGCCCACAGAAGTGTGAGGGCCGTTGGTACAGTGGTCAAGCACGCAGCCTTCGAAACTCATTGCCTTCTCTACTCATACTCATTGAAAACCATGAGGAACCGAAAAGCAAGTCCACATGTTTAGAGCGAAGACCATGTCAAGATGAGACCAAAAGTAGTGTCCGCTGACAGAAAGGATCATATCCCAGACGGATGGTAGATGGGGGCCACCGCAGAATGGATGAATCCAAAGAAGACTCGCATGTAGGAAGAAGGCTCAGTAAGACTCTTGGGGGGTGAGATGGGGGTTGGCGTGAGTGTCGTTTGGCTGAGGTTACCGGTTCGAATCCGGTGCGGTTCAATGATCACTTCATTTTTTTGGCACTTTTTGAATGCGTGACAGAACGAACTGTCAGTCAATCTCTTGTTTCTATTTCTTTTTTCCTTCTCTTTTACATTGTCCAGTTACGATTGGTATCTGCTGCTTAATGGGATCAGTTGCGCATACCCTTTTCGATGCGTCGCGTGGGGCTTCTTTGCATTGAGCAACTTCACCTCGTGTTGTTTTCCCGTTGGGTATCCTTATCCGGTCTGGTATCATTCCAAGTTCTCATCATAGGTATATATCATACACTTCCCCAACTTTCTCGAAGCCTCAACGTCTTCATACAAGACCAGCGAACATGGCTCCCGCCGCCCCGAAGCTGCCCAAGCCCACTAGTGGTCTATGCCACGTCTGCAACGGCGCGCCGAGTAGCCCTCGGTATCGGTACCAGTAAATGCCAAGGCCGACAACGTTGACAGCCAGCAAAGTCAACCCGACACCAGCCAGCAAGAGACTGCGTTCACTCTCGCCAACGCTCCTCCTTGCTACGAGCTGTGTCTCGGTAGAGGTCTCTTCGGCTACTCTTCGTTGCCTCAACGCCCACCACCTGCTCCATTCCCGTCCAAGCGTTGGGATATCGTCAACCACGGCCCTCACAAACCGCGCAACGACACTCAGCGCCGAGTCAGAGGCACTAACCGCAGGATCACTCTCCTTATCCGCCCACGGCAACACCTTGCCGCTATCAGGGAACGTCTTCCTCCTGTACTCCACCACAAACTCGCATAACCCGGCATACTTCCTCTGCAGCACCTCCTTCAACCAAGGTCTCGGCACCTCAGGAAGCAGCATGAGCGCCAGGTAAGCAAACGCAAGGCACTTGGTCTCCAGCGAGACCTTTATCCTTCTTTCGCCCTCTTTGTCTTCCTCTTGCCCTTCCTCCTCATCCAGGAAATCAATTTCCCCGAACACATCAAACACCTCAGCCGCCAGCCCCTCGAGCTTGATCCTCCTCTTCATCTCCGGGCTCAACTGGCCCTTGACACCGGTATTCTGCCCGACCGCCTTCCTCAGCGCCTTCGGAATCTGCACCCAACCCGCAGCCTCACGCTCGCGCTCCTCCTTCTCCAGCCGTTCCATCTCCGCGTCCGTGTCCAGGCTGCTCATGCCCAGGTGCGCCGCACGCGCGGCCATGGCAGCCCGCACGGCGAGCGGCTCGGCCCAGGGTAAGGGGAACGGGAGGATGGTGCTGTAGGCGGGCCGGGTGGTTTCGGAGTAGTTGGCCGAGGAGACGTAGAGGGACAGGGCGAGGAGCGGGGCGGCCGAGGAGGTCAGGAGGGCCTTATAGGCTTGGGAGTCGGCGTGGACGCGTGGGGGGAGGGTGGTGACGTCATGGTGGTGGTAGGAGGGTGGTTGAAGAGTGGAGAGGTAGGAGACGATGGGGTCGAAGCCGGAAGTCCATGTTGCCGTGGAGGGGTTGTAGAGGGCCGGGAGGTGGTCTGTATCGAGATTGATGGCATTTGGTCGTTAGTTTGAGGGACTTGACATGGGGAAACCGTACGAGAATGAGATTACGGCGGAGGGAGGGATGGGGCGGGCGGACACTTGCCCGTGGGGGGGAATTGGACTGGGGTTTGTCTGAGATGCGACTGGTAGAGTGACACTGGGTATGGTGAGCTTACGGGATGGAACGGCAGAGGGACTGCTCTGTACGAGCAGGTAGTCGGCGGCGCTCAAGGTCTGCGCAAAGTACGTAACGGTCGCAAGGCACTCGGCGTCGATAGAGGGAAGGCCAAAAGCCGGACCCCAGACATGGAGCTCTAGCGTCATTTGTTCGCTTCGGAGGGTCAGGTAGGGATTGGGAATAGCCTTATAAGGATGGGGTCTTTGTGTTGATGAATGGGCGGTTGTTGCTGAGGGTATATCGCTGGGGGTTGTCAAATATTGCGGGATCGAAGCTCTGCCGAGATTAATGAGATTACGACAGAGATGCTACCCCAGAAGCGCAATGCGGATGCCTGATAGCGATTTATCAATGGGTTGTAATTTTGAGAAAATGAGAAGGCTTGAAATATTCACAGCCGTTTATTGCCGGTCGAAACCCGATATGATGATGTCTCTTGAAGTTAGGCTGAAGCTATCGCAAGCGTAGAAGCGGGAACGTGACAAGCCCTCCTTGTCGCCCTCTGACGTGAGCTCCCGTTGTCCTCATCCGCAAATTCCCATCCCGCACAATCGCGAACTCACGTGTAGATAAGATAACCAACTCCCCTTTTCCAAGCACGGTCTTGCCTGATTTCGAACGCGACCATTCACAACGGACACAAAAGGACAGGGGTGGGTAACGGGTATGCCCGAGAAATCCAGAAGCGCAGAAGGCAATCCAGCCAGTCACAAACCGCTTTTCAACTTTCTTTTCTTTTCACAACGTGTGTTGCGCACGTGTGCTGTTTCTTCTTGGAAATGCTTTCTCATCTCTCATCCTCCTGATTTGTCAATTCAACACAAGGCGGGAGACAAGGAAAAAAATATGGGTTTTCCCTTCGTGCATGAACATGCGGATACCGTTCGAATCGCAAACTCTCCGATGGAATTCCACTCTTGAAAACACGACAACACAAGTCAACAACATCCCTACTCCATCTTACCCTTCCCATCCAGGAATCTGTTTCGTTGAAGATGGGGTCTTTTAAAATGTGATGGTTACGCCGAGAAGGATGCAGCAATCCCCATCGGTATCGGCAGCTTCATTGTCTCCGACGTCTGAGCGACACCCCGACCTATCTTCGACCTCCACTTTCTCTGTTTTTTTCTCGTCATTGCTCGTCATCGTCGCTATCTTTTCACTGTTATGCCCGTCTTGTTCGGCATGCATCTCCGACGGTGCAACTTGCGCATGGTTGTGGATCTACTTTCCGACGTGCATGCTTGAAATTCGCTGAAGAGGTACCCAGGGTGCCATCCGCGATTGCTTCGAGTTTAGCACGTTCTCCTGGTCTCCTCTGGAGTCTGGCGCGATCATACAATGGCAAGTGAGATCCCGAGGTATCGATTATATCCGGAGATATCCATGGCAATTCACTCAAATCAAAGTTGTTGAGTCGGACAAAAAAGATGGGTGAATATTACACGCTGCGTACGCATTACGCAAAGGTTCGAAACACATCCTGCGAGCATCGATTCCCTTTCGGTCGTCGGGAAAAGAACTTGTGCCAAGTGAGGATCTTGTGTTTTTAGTGTTTTCGCCTCTGGTTAATTTCCTCCTTGACCGTACATATGTATGGCCATCTATACAATATACATGAATGCTCCCCTTTCTTGCGCCGCGCATAGCCACATGCTGCCACATACAGGTCTTCATGTCAGGTACGCGAAAGCAACGGGAAGGATCGGATCCCTTTATTGGACGGGTAAGATTGGGGGTTGCGAAACTTGGGGAAGGAATCAAGTTCGACCTCATGATCACCGCGGTTGGCAAATGAAAGGAACCATCATCACTTGGCTTGTGTCACGAAGCGGCTATGGCATCATTATTACGATCCATGGCAATACCATTACAACCATTATGCTAAGGTCGTAAGAAAGGGGAAATGTTGGTACGAATACGACACTGTCTTTGAAATTTCCCTATATCGTGCACATCCTATACCCGTGTGACCAAGATCTCGCTGGCCAACTCACCGAAACAGCGAAGGCGCGCAACGCGCGGCTACCAGGATCGTTTCATGTTCACGCGATTATATGTATCAAGAATCAAACGGAGAAATGAAGGGAGGGAAACTTCAGGAACGCGGGGGAGAGGAGGGGAAGGTAGCATTGATGGACGGAGAAGATGTTGGAAGGCGAACGACGATGAAGACACCAAGATGAGGCACGGGATGATGGGGGAGAATTGTTTATGCCATGCCGCGATGCCATGCGACGGAGGTGAGATGCGATTGGTTGCGCCTAATCAAGAGATCATCACGTTTGTCTCCTCCAAGCCAAACCAGAATGAGGTGCATAGAGATCGCGTTTCATCAAGAAAACGATTGTCGTGTACTGTACACGCACCAATACCAACCACGTGAAGAGACAGCGATGGGTCTTGGCGGTATGGAGATCACGACACCCCCGAGGTAAAGATCAGGCACTTTAAGCGCGGTCTCCGTGACTTGTCCTCGGTCGCCATTGTTACCGTGTTTTTGTTGACTTTCCCGGTTCATCCTCCTCCCCTTCATTACACGGCCACCCATTCATTACACGACCGTTCCTTGGTGAGCTGAGGCCAAGACCATTGTTGCGCGATATCATCACCAAGTTGGACGCCAAGAAGACAGAGTCTCCTCTTTCTTGAATTGAGATGGGATGCTTCGGCAACGCGGCTGCGCTAAAGGGGACATGGGGGTGCTCAGGATGGCCTCTTGATGGGGAAACGAAGGAAAAAAGTCTCCGATGGTAGCGCTCTGCCGCTCTCTTACACACGATACAACAACAGCGTGGGAGACGAAATATTCGGACAGCTGCTTCAGGCTTGCGGCATTATTAAGCCGCAACACCATCCTCCGAACATGTCCTTCTTGGCGCAGTTTTGTGTGCCATCGTGAGGTGGTATTCGTAGCCGAATACTGGCGGTTTTTCGTGTTCAAACTTCAAAGCCTCGCTCGCTTCTCCATCCCTTTGAGCAAGTTACAGGAGAGGTAGGGTAGGAGAGAGAGAGAGGGCAGGATTTCCGAAGCGGACGGATTGGAGTAAACAATGAACGGACATCGTCCGGCGGTTTCATCGGAGATCCGGGATTTGTAAAAGTCAAAGTAATGGTCGACGACAAGTGAAGTAACGTTGAGTCTATAGGCACGTAACTTTGAACCAGACAGACAAAACTTACGGCATTTTGATGACCTTGTAAGACTGTAGCGTCCCTTTACATGAGCTAGCGTGAAAAAAAGAGACAATTGGCTTTGTTTCCCGGAGGTGTATCAAACAAACACCGAAGATCTGTTGATGTCTTTCTCTGAAGGATGAAAGTCTCAGATCTCCTCCTTTCATCGGCGACCATATCTGAGTCTGTCCTTCAGTCGGTCTCCCGTACTCGCCGATATACCCCATCTTGCATCTGCCCATCACTACCTCGCGAAACCAATCGAGATACAGTAAGAAAGACCCCATCAGCATTCAGCAATTCCTTGCTTTTGCGCGTTTTACCCTAGTAGCTTCGTCTTCGCGTGTGTCTTATCTCTACGATTGCTAAATCCCGAGGCTGGTGTTGAAAAAAAAAAAAAATGGAAAAAATCTTTCGGATGAGTCGATGAATGCTGTTCAGCCCATGCTTCCCGTCTTGCCCTATTTCCGAGAAGTCACCCGGGCCAGCAGATATTTTCACTTTGACTCCATTTCAATGATGTAACCGGAGCTGGAACCAGGTCTTGACCTCATCCGAGGCCAGTCGCACATAAGTGTGGAGATAACCCTTGGCTTTATTTTTCATTTTCAGAAACTGTGACCTGGTCCCACCAGACGAACTCCCCACTTTCTGAAGGCAAGGCGGACTTCAGTTTGAGGTGAGGAAAAGAAAGGGGACGAGGGGACTGATGAACACATGCAAGTCATCCAGTTCATGGAGTGTAAGAGAGCGATCTCGGTCTCGATTTCGATCAAAAAGCGGGCGGACGAATTCGTGTTTCATCAAGGATCATTTTGATCTCAGAATTGTGGGCGCAGGAGTGAGGACGTGTCAACCAAATCCCTGTTCTCCTCATCCAGATGCATATTTCACACAATGAAGAGCCAAGGAGAATCGCATAATGGTAGATCATTAAATGATTGTGGTATTAGGATGGTTGAAAACCGATCCGTTCAGAGAGTGAGGCACTCGAAGTGCTCGTGGTATCAAGTTGTGGTAGTACATGTGAATGTCGGTAGACCCGACTACAAAAAAACACCTTCCCAATGAGTTCCCAAACCCGCCCAGAAACCCCGTTCCAATTCCTTCCATGCCCCCCATTACCCCCCAACCAATGCCCGTACCGGCGACCATGATGATGTCTGACGCAGATGCCCATGCTCCCAGAGTGATAGTGATACAATTCCCAAAAATAAAAACAAAAAAAATGTGGCGTTCGCAATGCTCGTTGAAGTCGTCATTCCAAATCGGAAGAATTAGCGAGAGTAGTCGTTGATTAAGAGGTTGGTAATATGTGGTGGTACAATGCCGAAATGCAAAATTCGCGCCAGCTGGATCCGGAGCTCAAGCTCGCGGGGGTTGTGGTTGAGGTACCCGCGAGCCCGGCTGGTTGATTGTGTTCCAAAAGACTGGATGAGTGGTGATAGCCATCGTGATGCGTACGGTCATCGACCAACCGTTGAAGTGGTTGATATTAGTGATGGCATGTCGAGACCGACGGTGAGAGGCTGCTGCGTTGATATGCAGGCGGGTGCATGCAAACGCACTATGGCGTGCAGCTCGTGATGATTGATGCGCCAGAGAGGAGCCAGTACTGAGAAAGCTACTGGGGCTCTGCAGTGGGCACTTTGCAGCCTTGTGCTCCGCGGCCGGTGAAACCAATCTTGAGGAAGCTCGGCCCGGCCGCGATCCTTGTAAAAAGAGGATAGAGCATAGACAGACAATGATGAAAACAAGGAGACATGAGAGATGCCAAAATGTTCAAGTGTTGCTTTCCATCCCTGTTAAGGCGAGCTCCTTAACCCCTCTTGGGAAGAGGAGGAAGAGGGCGGCTGGGAGGGGGGCCGGGGCAGGGAGGAAGCTGAGAAGGGCGCTGAGCGGCGGCAGGCATTTTGATGGTTTGTTTTGGTGTTGTGGTTGTTGTTGTTGATATTAGTGTGGATGACTTTGTAGTCAAGTGCCGGATTGAGTTCCTTGAAGGTTGGCGGTGGTGGTAGATATAAGCTGTTGTTGGTAGAAGCTTGTGTAATCCGAAGACTGTTTGAAGTGTCTTGAATGTCCTGATGGTGAGCTGATTGGTGTTGTTTGATCTGATGATGGCTTATCCAAGGGTGGTGAGAGGAGGGTGGGAGGGCTCTGGCTTATATGTAGGAAATGCGCCGAGTAACGACCTCAACATTGCCCTTTACGGACAAGATGGGAATGGGCAGGGTGGCAGGCTCTGCGAATTCACAGACAGGGCTGCGGCCAGGCAGATGCTGCCAGGGTCTGTGGATCGCAGCCCTCGAACGGAGGAAGCGTGAATGGAGTGAATGGAAAATGGCGACAATGGTACGCATGGTACGCATGGTACGCATGGTACAGATGGTACGTACCGTATCAGGAACGGGCGGTACCTGGCAGGTGAGACCGTGGAGCGGTACATTACACGGGGGTCAGATACAAGCGATGGATCGCTGCTGGCGCGACGAATTGCTGCGCGCGTTACAAAAATAAAGTTGCGCATCGCACTCAAGGGTGCCGAGCCTTGTACCGGGACATGAAAGACGCTAACTTGCGGTGACGCAGTCATAGCTTGGCGTAATTGAACGTCTCAAAGCAGTGAAAGGTTCCTGAAATGTGCCTGAAAGGTTACCAGAGTGTTCCTGGTAATGACCTCGAGTTCGCGCTGCGAGAAAAATGAAACACAGCAGGCCGACCGGGGCGCCCTGCTGCATGACACCGCTTTCCCCCCTGGTTCGCAAGAAGAAAAAGTGCCCTTTGTACAGTACCTGCCGCAAGTACCTGATGACTGGAGCAGGGGCGCGTTCCAAATATCGATGGCTGATCCGCCAGTTGATCCAGTGGTTGATCCGAGTACAAAGCAAAATATGCAGCCGCCTCTTGTACCCTCTCGTGTACAGGGGGTGGAACTTGCTTGGCGCTACAGGGGTTGGAACTTTGAGCTCGATTTGGTCGAATTTTGAAGGTATTCAGAAATGGAAAAAAGCGGCTGCATTCGATAGCCACGAGTTCAAAGTATCAGTGGTTGAAATTTCTAAGTGATGCAGCAAAAGATGGAGGAGAAATTAACGATCAACGGCAAAAAAGCTGAGAATCTCAGCTTTTTTGGATGAACGCGTTGCGAACTTTCACGGCCGGATACAGCCAATCAGAAGGCCTCATGCAGGCTGATGCAGGCTGATGTAGGCTGAAAAGCCACGTACAAGGGGGCCTGTCTAGCGTGGTACGTGCCAAGCTTTTGAAAAACTGTTTTGAGCAATATGCAGTGTGATCAACTGCATATTTACTGCATATCAACCGCAGGGGTCAATTTGTATGGGGATCCGATCAACGTTGGGAAATTTGGAACACGCCCCAGGCCGAGCAGCCTTTCATTTCCATTCTCACCCATTTTTGGCCGTCGTTGTTGCTGGTCCCGCACGACTCCAAAAATACGCTGAATACGGGATCGTACGGGGGCCCGGGGTGTAATAATGGCCTCGAAATAATGGGATTGGGGATAATGGGAGGACAGGCCAGTCCTGGAATCGGTTTGCAAGAGAAGAGCGTCCTTGATGTTCTGGAAATAGCGGCCGGCCTGCTTTCCCATGGCATCCATGACGACGGCAAATCCTTTGCAATCAGATGTCGTGATTGTTGTCCTCATCGCACCTGGGGTTTGCTTGTCTGTCACAAGATGTGTTGGGGTTCTTTCGCGTGCCGGTGCCATATGGCAAAACATGCGACCGGGCCTCCGGCGAACCCGCGCTCTCCGTCCGAACTCTGCCAGTGCTCGCACGCCAAGGCCAACCCGCCGGCCATTGAGAGCGGCCCTAGCCAAGACCTCATTCACATCCAAACTCGGCAGGCGGGAGAACTTTTGAAACAATAGTCATCGACATCATGTTTACTCAGCTGCGGCGGCCACAAAGCCTGCGACTGGACGGGACGCGATTTCAAAGGGACCGGCCGTGCTCTACACTTCTGTGGAAGTGTTCGTTGATCTGCCACCATTCGCGCATTGCCCGCATTCAGGTCAGGCATTTCACATGTAGGGACGTCCAAAAAGGGCAGCGTACATTGGTGCGCACATTGCAGCTGAAAATTGGCGATTCCCGTCTTGGAGTATGCAAATTTTACTCGCGTTTGTATCCAGCGTATCCACTGGCAATCTCAGGTGCTTCATTAGACTCAGCAGAGGCACAGCAAATTTGGTAGCCTGCTCCTAGCAGTCCCAGGCCCGCTAGGCCCGCGTTGTTTCTCTTTTCGGGGTCTCCCCAGGAACCAGGAACAGGTCGATCTGCCCTGGCCCTGGGGGGAGAATTCAGGTACCCCAATTACCATGCTCAGAATGCTGAGGAATTTTTGCCTCTTTTTCATTTCGACGAAACCCGCCAAAACAGGCCCTGAAAATCTTGAGACTCCAGCATCCTCCTGGGACAATTAACCACCACAGCTCCGGACACTGTCCACCGTCCATCTTCGGCCCGCCGGGACCCAAACGTCTCGGCCTCAGGCGCGAGAAGCGGCAACAAACGGCCGAACTCATGTTCAACAACGGGATGGGGTTTGTCCTTCCGGGACACAACTGTGATCCCACAACTGCCCTGCGGTCGAACGAGCCAAAGCCGGTTCCCGGACGGCCGTCGGTCAGTGTCCAACTTACAGGCATGTAAGAGATGTTTCAGAAGCACAGAAGATCAATGTGCTGCAGGAGCCGTGTGCTCGAGTTGAGACAGCACTGATCAACTCGCAATATCTCCAAAGGCATGCACCGCTTCTGCTAGCACTAAGTTCTGCATATCCGATCGTCAGCTGGCCCCCTTTTGGTTGCCTTTTACAAATACTTGTAAATTACCCAGCGCTGTCTTCACGCAATTGCAATATCAACATTGATGGCGGTCGCCTTGTTGTCCCCTCGTTTATGCCTGTGTTACAACCAACCACACGCCACCGTTGCAATGGTGGCTTGGTGGCTGCCATCATGACCTGAATGCCTACATTGTCCCTGTAGGCTAGTTGATAGCTCACAAAACTACCGAGACTGGAAGTTGCGATGCCGATGAGCTGGGAGGGACGAGGACACGCCATGGTCAGCGCGATGCGAGTGTGTGAGTTCGATCACATTGCCTTCTCATTAACGTCATTAACCTTGAGACAGGCTCCTCCTCCGCACTTGCCCCACGATGTTGAGGCTGATAGTCGATAGTCTTTACGCACTAGAGTGGGCGTCTGAGGTCGAGACCGCGCCGCCAAAAATCATCCGTCCTTGTGCTGTCCGTTTGCCCGGCGGCGAAGCCGACAGAGCGGTTCGGAGATGAAATGCACTGCAGCCCTCAGCTACTTGTTTTTCGCAGCGCGTTCGGAGTGCTGGATGGAATTGGAATGGGATGGAGGAGCGGAACGGGAGCATCCCCTTCTTGGTTGGTTCCCAAGAACGAGAGAGAGCCAGTGCAGGTAGCCCCTTTCGAGAGGCGATTGCATGCCGGGAATGCCTCAGAATGTTCCTCTTGTCAGGAACCGTCTCGTCAGGAACTGGGCCAGGAACGGGCTGACGGTGCGACCTTCGATTGGATCGGCGTCCTTGGAGAACGCCACACACTTTTGTTGGCGAGGGCCACACTTCCCCGCATCGCAACTTGTACAGTGTTTGCGCCCAAAGGGGATATCTCACCACCTTGGGGGTGAGCGTGTGTCAGCCGGAGTCTGGTAGGATTGATAAGAAGGAGCTGGTTGAGTTGGTCAGCTCGGGCTGGATAACCTCTTCCATTGCGACATCCGATGGGTGGAAACCCCACTATCAAGCCCACGTTTTTTTTTGCAAATCATCCATCATGACTCACTACCGAGCTTGAACTATAATGATATGTCGCGATCAGTGTAAGAAAAAGCTGGGGTGGTCGGAGAGGTAAAGACAGGCAGGGATAAGGAAGATCCTGTCAAGGACTCTTCTGGGCACTAACCCGCCGGTTGGGCAATTTCTCCGTACAAACTCCAAATATCAAGACATGGTCAACAGCAACCTCAATAAACTACCCAAGGTTCACTGTGTTTTAGGTGAGACTCTGCCCCCAAAGGGCGTGCGCTAGCTGATCGGACTTGCATGTCCTATCGAGTGTTTTCAATGTGGGCCTGTTTCAGACAATTTGTACATGATCAGCATAAATCCATGAAGGTTTAGGCTTTATAGTGTAACCGACTCTAGCGAGCGCTTATTTTGCATGACAGCGCCTTTCGGTACCATCATCACATACACACGGCACGCTCGGTAGTGCAGCAGGAAGCGCATAGAAGCCGGGCAAAGCCGCCGGGGGTGCTGGACGGGATATCGTCGCGAGGCTCGCAACGTCGGGTTCCTGGCATAGTTCAAAAGGGTAAAAGTGATATGTAAGCGTGTGGTAAAGTAGAACGGAAACGAAGGGGAGCGAAACACATGCGAGGGCCAAGGAGATGCAACTCAACCCTCCCGGTCCCATTGAGTACCGTACCCAGCCCTTTCCAGCCGTGTCTCGATATGGATTTGCTGACCACGGCACTGACTCTGAGTCCGTTTCCGACCCTTTCCCTCTCGAATGGGTTGCGCCTTTGCGGGCATTACTTCCCTTTGCGGCCTGCTTTGCGGATTACTTCGGAATGCGGTTCCTCGAAGATGGATTAGGTGGCAGCGTTGAGGTCGACCGTCTATACCGAATCTGAACCCTGGGGTTTGACCAAGAATAGAATATTGTGCAAGGGAGAACAGGGGGTAAATTGCCAAAAGCACGGGGCGTCACCCTCGTATCGTCGCTATCCCTGGAGCCCTACCCAGGCTGAGGTTTATCGATTACGGCCAGCGTAGCGTAGGAGTCAGCATTGTTGGGGATTTTGTGTCCAGGGTCTCTGTAGGTGAAGACAGGCAGGGTGGTGGTGGTGGTGGTTCCTCTTGCTGACAAAGTTTCAAGTTGAAACTTTCAATGCTGTTGCTCGTTGTCGTCGTCTGTGGATCCTCCCCTCCGCACAGAGCTTCAGGCCCCACAAGTCTTTCTCCAGCCCTCTACGGACCTGCCGCTCAGGGCATTGCATTGCTCCAACAACACCATCAACACCAACAACAACATCACGACATCACGACATCTCGCCGCCGCGCTCCCCGCCATCCGTTCCCAACCCATCATGCATGAACACCCAACGGTCCCAACCGCTTCTTCACATGCCAGATCATCTCTAGTGCCGGGTCAGCACGGCAAATTGACCTCCGCTTCGCATCGTCGGCACCCGATATCTAGCACTGCCAGCTTCTCCGTGCCCAGTCGAGCCAGCTTACCCCTCTCTCGGTGCTGTTGCCCAGAATTTCGTAAGAGAAACCAGATGGCTGGCGGTAATTTTGGTTTCCGGAGGACCCAAAGGACGGAAAGGTTACCATTCAGCTTTGCAAGTATCACTTGTACAGTACTTCGGCCGCCTTCCAAGAGTCGTCGTACCCCTGTCCATGATGTTGTGAAAGTTGGTTTTGATGTGGCTTACATGTTTATCCCGGCAAGAATATATAACAGTGTCAGTCATCTGACTCAACTCACCCAGCTTATCACAACCCCCTTCCCTGTTTCGGTCGTATACGGCCAGATACAGAGGCACACCGGAACCAACTGCTTTCCACCTCGGCTGGGTTGGGGCTCTGGGGATTGGCTGTCAAATTTTTCCAACCTTCTGGAAGCTGCGGAGCAAGAGGAACGGCAAAGCATCGCCGGGATCCCATCTCTTGGAGCGTTTGATCAAGGCATCATCACTCTGCCAGGTTCACCGATACTCAAAATTTTTCGCTCACCTTGACCACCACACCGCCGGCTCAATGTCATCGGTGACCCGCTCCGAGGTCCTTGACCATGGAAACTGTCAGACATCAAACAAATTTTCACATGGCAGCAGGGACAGACCTCCGACAATTCCATCGTGATCATCATGGGCGAGGGATGAGCATGCTGCGTCCAACAGCGAGGCGCGAGGCGGCCACGGCGGCTTAGAAATGATGCGATATAGTATCAGGCAAAGAGGCTATATGCCGACCGATAACAAGGCAACCACTTTGGTCAGGTCATGACCACGAAGGAATGTGACACGTCTCGGACATAATCAACTGCCGCACTCGAGGACAGCAGCCATGTACGCATGGAGAAATATACCCATCACATCACTTGACCGGTGAGAGTCGCACGGCGTAAGCAGTCCTCCACCGCTTTCTTACCACCGCAGTGGTAACACTGGCACACGGGAACACCGGCACACCGGCCTCAACCGTGGGATACCGGGGAGTTGGCAAAACCACGACAACCCTACGGCTCTTTCGGGATAGCAAAGACTGTGATGAAGGGAGGCTGTCAGAATGTGCCCTGTTTCCAGCAAGGCGCGCTTGCCCGTGAGCTTGGCTAAGCATATCCACCGAAAAGAGAATCCCTGGTCAACAGTTGTGCAGCTCCACGATCCGCACTATGCAGTCAGCAGGCACACGCCAATGGTATTTGGGAGGTAATAAACTCTCAAACGTGAGATGGAGGAGGCTGTGCCGTCATCTCTGTGAAGACCAACGGGCACAGCATCACGACTTAGCTCGGATAAGTACCGTAGTAGTGGTAAGTTATGACATTGCTCCCTTGGGATTATCTGGGTAAAGGTTGCATCCGTACCTTTGTCCTACCCATCCGTCTGCCCTTCCCCCCATCTGTCCCTTATGGCTGCCGGATGCCTTATCTGCGCCGTCTTGTGTTACCAGAGCCGCGCTACCCCCAAGGCTGGGGTTCACCTCTATCGGGCTTTGGCCTAGGACGGTTTGTTGTTGTCGGCACGTAAATATCCGCGCACTAAGGACCTCCCAGGGGAACGACCCAGCCCGAAGGCCCAAGACCACCCTCCAGTTCATCACGAAACCCCGCACGATATGTGCTTCAATGACGTGATAGAGTTGTCTTCTTGTGGTTAAGGTGTCGATTAGCACCGGATTACCGATATGGGCGCGCACCTGGGGCCACGTGGCGGCGTGCTTGCTTTGGGTTAGAGGCCGACCCCGAAAATCTCTAAGTCAGGAACAATCGAATGTCCATCTCAGTCTTATCAAAGGTACTGCTTCTGATTGGATAACCATGGTCTCAGACGTTTCTTCTGCTCACCGTGCTGTCATGCGGAGTGCTTTTTGGTGCGCGACGTTCGCCCAGCCCGGTCAGCTGGTACGGAGGCTTTCGAGCGAAGTGACCAGGATACGGCACCAGGCACGCCAGGCACATCGACCCTTTGATACAGTAGAAGCCCTAGTAAATGCAACTAATCTGGGCTCTATAGGGAGTCTCCAAAAAAGTTACATTTACTAGGAGTCATGCAGTTACTAGGGTCACACTTACATACAAATGGGCGAAGGGGGGCCACCAGCATACTTGCATAAACTAGGTAACTTGATATGGATTTGCATTTCTCTGGGGGTTGCATCTAATAGGGTTTCTTCTGGGTCAGGGATGAGGGTTCGGACTGCCACCAATCAAAGCACAGAGCCGAGGAAGATTGGTCTCGCTCCATTTTCCAAGCTCACCATGCTATCTCCAGGGCATTCTCCGGGTTTTCCAGCTAGCCTGATCAGCTAGGGCCGCCGAGATATCTAATTTCTCGCTGTCTTTCTCAACCAAAGCAGAGCCAAGCGAGAACTTTTGCGATTGATGCGCCCCACGGTCTGAATCTGCCAGTCCAAAGTCAGACAAACTCGCGAACCTCCATCGGAACTTTCCATCGGAGTTTGGAGAACGGGCGACGAGAGAGGAAAAGGCTGGTTGAGAATAGACAAGAGAGAGATGGTACTATAGCGACGCTAGCCGCTCGTAAGTTCATTACGGTATTTTACATTGATATCAACTCCAGGACATTGATCACTAAACCAAGAGTTTCACCCAAGTTAAAGCGTATCAATATGCTACAGCACGGCTTATCGTTCTCATGGAACGGCCTGTGAGGACTTGTGTCTCGAGTTGATGCATCTCATCCACGGCGACACGGACAATTTCCTCTTGGAGTTGGCGACATTGGGTGATTGGCATCCCGTTCCAGCAAACTTACAGCTGCTCAGGGGTGCATCATGCGCCGTACGCCGTACCTGACAGAAGAGCGATTTAGACCCCTGTCTTGCCACGTGGAAGGGCTGCTCGTCCGCATCGAGCGGATAACGTGGACCTGAATGAACACCCCTGACAAGACTGCGAGCCGCTAACGATTTGTGGTGTAGCTTGGTCTGAACTCCTTCGGTGTCCCTCATCGGCTTCCTCCGCTCCGATCTCGTCTGTCAACTTGGGGGATCTGAATTGATGCGCAACATCATCATGACGAGCGTGCTTCCTCATGATCAACGCCAGCATTAAGTGCTACTGTGTCGATACACGATCTCCTGGGCTTCTGGGCAGTTTAACACGGATATGAAGGCCATTCAGGGACCTGTTTCGTTTGCCCTGCTACCGCCTCGAAACACCTTGGGGTGCCGAGAGTGCCGACTTGTCCTCATCCGCCCAGCCGTCTTCACCTTCGCGGTTGAGGCGCATCACGGTACTGAGATACCGTAGTCGGTTCCCTCCCATCATCTTGTGAGCCGCATCCAAGAGCCGAAGTCAAGAGCCGAGCCAGACGTTGGAACTAAAAAGTTCCCGTCATCATCTCCGGGGTTTAGTCTCACTTTCTCCAACACGAAAGTCCAACGTTGTCACCAAATTTTGTTGAAACGTTTGCCTGGTTAGCCAGGTCCCTTCGCCCCGCATACACCAGATTAAAATCTGCTGATATCTGGGGGCATCTGGGGGTGTCTGATGGGGTTTTCGGTTCTTACCATGGCTCCAAGTGGGCACAACACGGGCGAAACTACCTACTCCGATCAAGCTTACGGCGCTACAGGACGCTACCGCTAACGACCATGATGGCGATGAATGTCGATCATTGAAACTTTGAGAAGTGTTGGTGGACGTGTATTCAATGTTACTGCGACTCGGTTGGTTCCGATTTTGTTTCTGGCGCAAAAACTTCACTTCTTCTCATTGAGCTTACGTACCATTCTGGCTGAGCTAGCCCCAAGCCCCTAGACAGGGCAGTGAACCGAGGCCCGACAATCGGACGACGACGACAAGGCTAAAGTGAAAAAAAAGAGACCAACGCTAGAGAATTGCTAGTGCCAGGCCATGACTCCCGGTCTCTTCTCACTTTGCACCCAAATTTCTTGCATTTGTCAATGTGGCTGTATTCTCGTGATTCAACTGTTCGATACTGCGACGCTACGGACATACGGTGGGTTCCATCGCGCTGGTACATAGCTCCGAGGTTCTCTCTGCCCAGGTACCCGTCAACGGCACTACCACAGTCTCACAGAGATAAGAGAGAAAATAGTTTCTTTCCCAACCGAAAACCAGTATTTGGTGGGTGCTGTCCTTGTCGATACGACCATGACAGACACATTGTGACTGTAATATTGGACCCTGCTTTTCTCTGCTAGCTTTTGTCCTGCTCTTGGCAACCTGGAGCCTGGCAATGCCTTTTCGTCTGTCTGACCAACAACACCCAGAGAATGGGGAAACTGGAAGGCTGTGTTACTTACAAGGCAAGAAGAAACTTACCCACAATGAAAACGAAACAAGGTTAGCCCCCCAAAATTGCACACCCACATTCCTTTTCAAAACCCTAAAGACAATCCCCTGTAAAACGCTAAGACCGGGCATAGCATCACGGAGGTACAAGTCAATCCCAGTAGGTATATAATTTTATTTGTCTTGTCATCAAGCCGGCCGGGTGTCGGTCGGTTGTTTCGGCAAGCCAAAAGGGTTTGTGTGTCCAAGGGTTTATTTGGTAACATCCGCCGTGTACCAGATCTACCTGTGTAACACACACATCCATACACACTACCTGATGGGGAATAACAGCTCAGACACGCCATTTACAATACCGCCTGCGACAAGGACAAGTTGACCATCATTTCCTGGGCTTTGCCCTATCCCCTCTTGGGACTTATTCCGTTGGGGTTGGTGGGCAATGTCTCTCCGTGAACTGATACATAACGACTAGCCACTACATTACATACTGCGTACCTATAGTACACCGAAATCATGGCGTTGAGCCCAAAACCAATATTCCATCTCTTCTCTTGGCTCTTGCCCCGTTCGGACCAGTTTGACATTATATGCCATTCTTGGTTTATCGCTCGCTGGTTGCGTTGCGGTGAGGGTGGCCGCCTCTTCTGCAACCACTTGCGCAAACGGAATATCGAACGGATATCAGGCGATGATGCACATATCACCAATTTTGGTACACCGGAACTACTGTAGTAAACAAACCTACATCTCAACCAATCCGTCTTCTTTCGCCCTCCCTCCTCTCTCCGTCCGTTCGTCCGTCTGTCTTTGGCCGTTCGTTGTGTCGTGCTGGTTGAGAATGTGATGGCGCCATATGATATCGGTACGGTATAATCCGGACTAGCTTTTTTGCACAAGTGCAGTGCTTGATATTACTTCAACGCCCAGATCGGTAGCTTGTTGCCATGAGGCCATATCGGTCGGGCCTTGTAAGTCCGGCTAGCATTCTACATTTGTCAACGTAGCCTCGTACCACAACGTTGAACTTGCGCCATGCCTCGGATGTCGGCGATAGGGTTGACGATTACTGAACAGACGTGTATCTTTGTGTTGCTTTCAGTTTGTCAGCGATCTTTTCGGAGTGCGTATACAATGGCTTGATAATGAAGCTGGTGAGATTTGTAGGAGAGGCGAACGAACGATTTGACATCGTGCCATATTCCACGAACAAAACTTCATGATCACTTGCGTAACAGTAACCGACCGAGCAATTTTGTTACCGTTATTGCACTTCGACTATCATACCACCCGTACTTGAAACCCTTCTGCATGGGCGAAACAAAAACAAATTAGAAACTAAAAAAAAGAGAAGACCTGCTAGCAAGATTCACGGGTGCATCGGTGACAAGTACAAAAAGGCAAAAAGAGAAGTTGAATCGACGCGAGCAGGATTTGAACCTGCGCCTCCGAAGAGATTTGATAGACCTCGAATGGTAGTTCGAGTCAAACACCTTAGGCCACTCGGTCATCGCGCCTTCGATTTAGTTATTGTCTTGTGTTAAACAATCCACTTATATGGAACAGGTTGACCACCTTCCTATACATCGACGACACACAACTACCTTGATGCATCCTCTCTACCATCAACCACATACGTGAGCAGAACCACTGAACGTGATGCATTATTTACTTGTGACTGTTTCGCTGTCATTGATTCATTCGTAAAGTAGTAATTCATCCGTTATAGGTACGAGTCATTTGTCAGGGCGTCTCACCAAATGCCAGTTGGTACCAGGCAGAGAGCATCCTGATGCTGACACTAGAAGTGATCTGTCAACTTCATGCGTTGCAAATGTATTAACCAGCCTACTAATCCCAATGCCAACGACGCTACATATTATCCTCCATTCGGAGTTGCTTATATCCGTCTTCTTCCCGGTCACCACAGCGTAGCATTTCCTCCCCCATATATGTCAGGGCTCACCACGTTTTTTCCTTCCCTTCCTTCTATAAATATGAACCTAGATAAACCTGGGGAGGCGATGAGCATCGGGGTCCTACGATACCGCGTTCAAGAAGATACATCCGTAAATCCCTGACAACCGTACCGGTACCTCTGCTCCTCTGCTACCCTCCAGCAACACAATACAGGTTTTGAATATCGTCATCACCCAATGAAATGTTGACGAGAAACCGAGTACGATAGTCCACCAAGGTGCGACAAAGATGTGCCGTTATCGAGATCTTGCCTGAGCATCAGGGACCAGTGGAGTCCTAAGGTTGGCCACTGTCCTAGATGCATTATGGTCAATGATGGTTGTGTATATCGCGTTTCAGCGGCTTGACCGGCATCCATGATTAGGAATTTTGCCATTGTTATTGATGGAAATTCGACGAGAAATTGGATATGCTCCTTTTGCCCCAGATTCGGTGTGGGCCGCATCAAGAGTCGTTCGGTGTTTATTACACTAGTTTAATTTCGTCAGGGGGGCGTGTTTCATGTGCCTGGGTTGGTGGTCGATCCCCGAAAAGGGACTGAAAAGGCTGCCGATTGCATCATCTGGAATGAGGCGTGTAACGTAAGGGTACGTACGTACAGTGTTCGTAAACTGTAATTTGTCGACTACCCCAGACTAAGGTATTTCAGTACGGATGGTTCATCTTGGAGTTGCAATCACAAAGTTTCCCATGTGGTGTGATTGCTTATCACGTCCTGGCAGCATGGCAATCTCTGCCAAGGTATCCGCCATGCCCTTTCCGTGCTCTGGGAAGCGAAATCTGCCAATCGATTGAGCGAAATGGCATGTTTTGAAGGCCAAGAAGAACCTTGCCTTGCTGAAGGTTCCGGATACGACAGGTACAACAGGTACTCCAGGCACACCGGGCACACCAAGCACCTGGGAAAACGCCAGGTGCACAACATCCGTAGATCGCGTCCCAGGCTGATGGTCACCAAATTGTTCGTTTCAAGAACGCGGGGCAATAAGCCGTCGATGACATCAGAATCAGCTGGCCTGTCTAACCTGACCCTGGTGCCTGGTGATGAGGGACGGAGAGGTCACTCCGAGTCCGATAAATCCAGGGAGTCTGAAAGAGCCATCAAAAGTAGGCGGTGTGATGGAAGGCGGTGGAGGAAAGAGAAGCTTGGTTGGGTCCCCCTGCTTTCCCATCCCTTGTAAAATGGCATTGTGATGGCCATGAAGGACTGTCTTTGGTGGACCAACTTCAGCCGGACAGCCAGCTTGGCAGCCGTCTCAAACCGCGTCGTCCTCTCCCACGGCAGCCTCGGGAAGTTGTGTAGACGTGATCCAGTTTTCCAGCATTGCCTGGCCGCCAGGCTGGGCCGTCAGAGCTCTGCCACCTGAAGGCCCCGTTACGGTCCGCCCAATGTCCCGCCGTTTCACGACGAGGCAGAGTACGCGACCGTAGATGGCAAAGCCCTCATATGATATGTCCATAGCAAGCTTCTTCTTGTCGTCACGCTCGCCCTCCTCAGCAGCAGGCTGCCTATCTTTGCGACGCTTCCTTGCCGGAGGCCCTTCGCTTCCGTCGTCGTCGCTGTCGCCAACGAACAGGCCATCATCATCGGATAGGTCTGAGTCAATGACTTGGGCTTCGTCATCAGCGCCACTCTCATTGTTTGGTCCCGATGCTTGCCGACGTCTTCGTTTTGATCTCCTATTGGCGGATTCGGATATGACGTCCGTTTCATCGACGGTAGGGATATCGTTTAGGTTGACCTCCTGATCTTCGCTATCTTCCTCTCGAAGCATGGGCACATCATGGTCGTCGGCTGCCTCCCGAAGTAGAGCGGCTTCTACGTCAACATCGATGGGTGCTTCACGTGATTCTCCCGTGAGCTTGGACGAGTTGGACTTTAGTTTGGTCTGGATCTTGTCTCGAAAGTGCTTCTGCTTGTGCAATAGAGAGTGTCGAGTGTCTGTTTCCGTGAGGAAGACAGATACCTCAAAGTCATCTATGAAGATGTCAGTTTACAGGCATATACACGTCTGTCACAACAAACGGATCAGGGAAGCATGTCGTTTGGTGTTGGACTGGACATCAGCCAGACATACCCTCAATGACCACGTCCTTGATACTCCGCTTCTTGCTCTTCTTCTTGCTTTGCGCGCGTTCTCTCTCCTCACGCAACTTGGGCAATACTAGTGGACGTACGGCCTCAATGACCTTGGGCAGAATGGGATTCCTGGGGTTGAGAAGCCATGAGTGTGCCAAGGCCGGGTTATCGAGGTAAATACGACATTCGAGCACCGAATACTTTGTGATTCGAAGGTAACGTCTTATCGGCGCCATAGATAATATCTGGTAGAAGTGGTTCACATAGTCTTGTTAGGTGGCGGGGATGAGACGGATGTTGATGACGATGATGTCGTTCTTTGTTGACAAAGGGAGAGGTGGGGCTAGCGGTTGGCATGCCAGCGACACTCAGCTCAGCGGACCGGGCAGCCTTGCAGCGCCGACTTTTACAGGGGAGAGCAGGAGCTAGCGGGGAGCTATCCAGCCTGACGGGAGCTGCGCTGCCCCTCTGTGCGATATCGCGTCGCGAAATTTTACAGCGCATTGGAGGTTTGCGAATGTTGACTTGTGACTCCAGCATTTTGAGGTCTTTGGTTGGGTATCCAACCCCAACATGAGGCGTCAAACATGTCAAAGAACTGGTCTTCCACGCTGAGACTGCCCAAGTCCACTCTTCCGTAAGAACAGAAACCATTCCCAAGAACATCTGTGCGGTCGAATACTGACATCAGACGAGACAGGCCGCGCCCTCTCCCCACCCAACACAAAGAATACATCAAGAAATGCGCCGATGACTTCTACAAGTGGCAGGCCGCCAACCGCCCTGCTGACGATACCTTCCTCCTCCACGATGGCCCTCCCTACGCCAACGGCAGCCTTCACGCCGGCCATGCCCTGAACAAGATCCTCAAGGACATCATCATCCGTACTAAGGTCCAGCAAGGTGCGCGAACGATGCCAGGCGGCTGATTCTCCGAGCGCTTCGAACCTTTGACTGATCAGCTGTGTTGCGCCAGGCCAGCGTGTCACCTACATTCCAGGATGGGACTGTCATGGACTCCCGATCGAGCTCAAGGCTGTCAGCACCGAACAAGGCAAGACCATGACACCCCATGCCATCCGCCAGGCAGCGCGGGATCTGGCCTCCAAGACGGTGTTGGAGCAGATGAACAGCTTCCGGACATACGCCGTCATGAGTAACTGGGAGAACCGTTGGACAACCATGGACATGGCCTTCGAGATCAACCAGCTGCGTCTTTTCCAGAAATTGGTCAGTCGCGGCCTGATCTACCGCAAGTTCAAGCCTGTGTACTGGTCGCCGTCTTCCGGAACCGCCCTGGCGGAAGCCGAGTTGGAGTACAACGAGTCGCATATCTCCAAATCCGCATACGTCAGGTTTCCCATCACGAAGGATTCCACTGCCATCCCCGGCTTGGAAGGCTTTACCGGGAATCTGTATGCCGTTATCTGGACGACTACTCCCTGGACCCTCCCTGCCAACAGAGCCATCGCCGTTCACGATGATCTGCTCTACCATGTTGTCCGCGTGGGAGAGGATGCCTATCTTGTTGCCGAGGGCGGTCTCGAGCGCGTTGCCAAGGTCTTGCTGGGAGAGGAGGAGACTCCTGAGATTCTAGCCACTGTTCCCGGCAGCCAGCTCACCCAGTTGCAGTACATCAACCCTCTTCAGGGCAAGGCTGCTGCTCCTCAGCCGTTTATCCACGGCCACTTCGTCACGCCTGATTCAGGAAGCGGTCTCGTTCACTGCGCCCCAGGCCACGGTTTCGATGACTACCTGATCTGCAAAGACTTGGGAATTCCTGTTTCCGCACCTGTTGATAACGATGGTATCTTCACCGAGGAAGCCTATCCCGATGACCCAAGCCGTCTCAAGGGCATTCCTGTGCTTGAGGGCGGTTCTGCTGCCGTGCTCGAGCTTTTCAAGGACAATGTCCTGAACGTGCACAAGTACAAGCACAAGTACCCTTACGACTGGCGGACCAAGAAGCCCATCATCATCAGAGCTACCGCGCAGTGGTTTGCTGATGTAGACAATATCAAAGAGTTGGCGTTGAAGGCTTTGGAGGAGGTCAAGTTCGTCCCTGAAAGCGGGAGAAGCAGGCTCGAGGCCTTTGTTAAGGGGCGGAGCGAGTGGTGTATCTCACGACAGCGTGCATGGGGTGTACCCATCCCTGCACTTTACGATGCCAATGGTGATGCAGTGATGACTGAGGAGACCATCGAGCACATCATCTCCGTTATTCAGGAGAGAGGCACCGATGCTTGGTGGTCTGATGATGCTCATGATCCTGCCTGGATTCCCGCATCTCTTCAGGGCAAGGGCCCCTTCACCCGAGGCAGAGATACCATGGACGTCTGGTTTGACAGTGGTAGCAGCTGGACCCAGACGGACAGGCAAGCGGATGTCTATCTTGAGGGTTCTGACCAACATCGCGGTTGGTTTCAGTCGAGTTTGCTCACTCGAGTAGCAGCTATGGCGGTTCAAGGCCCGACACCTGATGGTACGACTAATGCGGTTGGCCTGTCACCATTCAAGACACTCATCACTCATGGCTTTACGCTGGATAAGGCCGGCAAGAAGATGTCCAAGTCACTAGGCAACATTATTTCGGCTGACCAAGTCATGGATGGTTCTTTACTTCCTCCGCTGAAGGTCAAGAACAAGGACAGGGATCCGAATGCGCCTCCCCCGAAGGATGCTCTCGGCCCCGACGCCTTGCGCTTGTGGGTAGCGAGCAGTGATTACACCAGTGACATTGTCCTCGGCGAGCCTGTGCTGAAGACTATCCATCAGTCCTTAACCAAGTATCGCACCATCATCAAGATGCTGACGGGCTCGATGGAACAGTCAGCCAGAACAACTCCACTGACTGCCTTGGACCACATTGCTCTTGTCCAGCTGAAGGATACTATGGCGGAGGTTGAGAGACACTACAAGAACTACGAGTTCAACAAGGCTTTCAGCAGTCTCAACAGATGGATCGCCAACGACCTTTCTGCCTTTTACCTCGAAGCCCTGAAGGACAGGTTGTACTGCGCCGATGGCGGTGGTGTCCTAGAACCTATCTTTATGGGCTTCCTCAGAATGCTGGCCCCTATCACACCTGTCCTGGTCGAGGAGGCTTGGGAGCATCGACCTGCGTGGATGAAGGAAGACCCATCTATTCTTCATCCTCTTCATCAGCTCTATAACTCGCCCCTTATTGATTCCAACCGTCTAAGGTACGATGAAGCCGTGCTTCGCAAGGACATTCCCGTCCTAATGGAAACGCACGCCGCCATCAAGGCCGCGTCTGAACTGGCACGCAGGGGCAAGGTTCTTGGCTCGTCCCTTGGTTGCTCTGTCGTTATCAACGCTCCCAAGGACAGCAAGGCACTCTCTGTCTTGCAAAAGTACAAGGATGAGCTAGATGCCATGTTTGTCGTATCCTCTGTAGACCTCGGCGGTGCCATAGAGGGAGGGCCTGCCTGGAAGTACGTCCAGGACTTCGAGATGGGTGGTCAGGGTTGCCAGGCGTGGGTATTGCCTCCCAAGGACCATAAATGTCCCAGGTGCTGGCGATTCGTTGCTCCTGCTGAGGACTCCTTGTGCGTCAGGTGCGAGGATGTTGTCGGCGAGGGTGTACAATGAAGGAAATCAAACTGCCTGATTTTTGACCTGGGACTGAAAAGATAGACTAGAGTAGACGAGTACACAAAATGGATACCCCTCCCCCCTTCGTGACATCCAATTCCTCACATCTCCAGCGCAAGTGGAATGTTTACATTGTTCAGGGGAGCATTTGCATCCCGGCCGCGTAAATGCACAGTGAAAGGGAACCTCGACGACCCAAAGTTGGGGTACAGCGGTGCAGAGCCCCACCCAAGCCGCCAAGATAAGCACTGGCGTCCGCTGCGGGGCGGAAATTTTTCATGGATCAGTTCTGGCGATTGGAAGGAAACTCTTAAGAATTCTTTTGTTTTGCAAAGTCGATTCTGTCCCCCATCTCCAGATTCACCTGATTCCACCCACCACAAAGCTTCGTACAGCTCTTAATCTCTGTCAATTATCCACTCAGCCCCGATACCACATCCCACGGAAGCAAACCACCCAGCATGGATATCTTCAAAGTCCTCTCGCGAGGCATCAAAGCCCAGCCCAAGAAAAACCAACCGGGCGCACCGCAGCTCCTCCCCTCTGCCGGAGCGAAAGTCAACCCCCAATTCTTCCACGACAACGTCGGCGGCTCCAACGCCAAGCGAGGCAAGAAGAGAAAGAGAAAGGGAGCCCAGGCCAACAACGCGACCGAGAGCGGAGACGACGATGACGATGCCAGCGACGTCGATTACTTTGCGCCCAAGCCCACTCCCGAGGAGCTTGCCGCCAAGAAGGATGCTGAGTTGAAGGCGGACGAGCCCAAGAAGCAGAAACCCAAGCTTATGGAAGAGGACGAATGCCGGCAAATGCTCAAGTCCCATCGGTTGAAGTTCACAGTTCTAGCCGGTCGCGTGCAACAGCCCGAGGAGGCGACGGAGAAGCCCTCTAAGAAGAAGAAGCAAAAGAAGGACAAGAAGGAGCAGGAAGAGGAGGACAAGAAGAAAAAAAAGAAGGACGAGGACAAGAAGCAGATCTACCCGCAGCCGCTCAACTCGTTCGGCGAGCTCAAGTACACTTACGGCATTCACCCCACGCTGGCGGACAATATCACGCGGCAGGGATTCCGGGTGCCGACTGAGGTGCAGATGGGCAGCCTGCCACTACAGCTGCGACCAGAGATGGCGTTGGAGAAGGCTACAGGTGTGGAAGATGTCAAGGTTGAGAGGGGAATCGACTTCCTCGGTGTTGCGCCGACTGGCAGTGGCAAGACAATCAGCTTCTTGATTCCCGCTATCGATGCGATTATCAAGAGGAGGGCCGAGGATTATACCCCTGAAACAGACGAGCATGTTCTGCAGGCGATCGTTGTTGCGCCTACGAGAGAGCTGGCAAGTCAAATTGTCAATGAAGGGAGGAAGTTGGCCATTGGCACCGGCGTGCGCGTGGTTCTCATGAAGAGGACGCTGCGGTTGGTTGCAGAGGAGAATAAGCAGGAGGAGACGGAGCAGGAAGGCAAGGAAGAGGAAAAAGACAGTGATAACGATAGCGAAGCAGAGAGCGAGCCTGAAGAGGTTGTGGGAAGCGATGAAGAAGAGGAGGAGGAGGACTCTGACGCTGAGAAGAACGAGGAGAGCAAGGCCAAGGGCAATAAGAAACCCAAGAAGGAGAGGCCCATTACCAGGGTGGACATTCTCGTGACAACCCCCAAGATCCTCCTCAACTTCCTCTGCGGAGGCGAAAAGGAGAAGGGCAAGCCCAGGATCGTCAAGAAGACGCTCCCCACCGTGCAATCCCTCATCCTCGACGAGGCCGATGTTCTCCTTGACCCCATCTTCCGCAAGCAAACCATGGGTATCTGGGGCGCCTGCACCCACCCCAACCTCGGCATGACCTGCTGGTCGGCCACCATGGCCTCCAACATCGAAGCTCTCCTCACCAAGCACATCGAGAAGCGCGCCAAGCGCACCCCCGAACAGACCCCCAAGCCGCTGATCCGCCTCGTTGTTGGTCTCAAAGACACCGCCGTGCCCAACATCACCCACAAGCTCATCTACACCGCCACCGAGCCCGGCAAGCTGCTCGCCCTGCGCCAGCTCCTCCACCCCGTCTCCTCAGCCGACTCGGGCCCGCCACTGCGCCCGCCCTTCCTCGTATTCACCCAGACCATCGAGCGCGCCCAGGCGCTCCACGACGAGCTCAAGTACGACATCCCGCTCGAGGCCGGCGGCTCGGCCCGCGTGGCGGTTCTGCACTCGTCGCTCTCGGACTCGGTCCGGTCCAAGATCATGGCCCGCTTCCGCAGCGGCGAGGTGTGGGTGTTGATCACGACGGACGTGCTGGCGCGTGGCGTCGACTTTGCGGGCGTCAACGGCGTCGTCAACTACGACGTGCCCGTGTCGGCCGCGGCGTACGTGCACCGCGCCGGACGCACGGGTCGCGCCGGTCGCGAGGGCGGTGTCGCCGTCACCTTCTACACCAAGGACGATATCCCCTTTGTCAAGTCGGTCGCCAACGTGATCGCCATGAGCGAGAAGCAGGCGGGCAAGGATATCGATGAGAAGGATACTGTCAAGGCGGCCCAGGGTAGCGTGCAGAAGTGGCTGCTGGATGCGCTGCCCAAGGTGGCGAAGGAGGATAAGAGGAAGTTGAAGGTTAGGGGCGTGGAGAGCAGGCGGACGGGCGGAAAGGCGACGATCACGACCAAGAGCAGTTGGGAGAGGAGGAGGGAGAATAACAGGCGGGAGGCTATTGAGGCTAGCAAGAGGAGGAAGAGGGAGGCGCAGAAGGCGGAGAAGGAGGGTGGTGGTGCCCCTGAGAAGGAGGAGGAGTGGACCGGCTTGGACTAAGAAGATGGGCATGACCATGGGGTGTTTCCGAAGATATTATTACTGGATTATTAAAAGGATAGATACCCTTGCTGTGTATATGCTGGTAGACAAAAGAATGATTTCTGTTGCTTTATAACATCTGATCAACTCATCCTGAGAATGAACTTCGTATACCTACCTTAGTTCTGAGTAATACCGTCAAGAGTGGAAACAAAGACGGACAGGGCCGTAATTGAAGAAACCCCTAATCATTAAAAATATCATAACATCATTGCCCATTGATGCTCATTATCCATCACTCCCATCGCTCACATCAAACTCTCCCCAAAGCCACTCACAAGCCCTGCGGCCTAAACTTCCACCTACCCGGCTCCAAAACAGCCTCAAATTCAACAGCCGAAAACGTTCCAATCGCACAGCTCAAATCATGAAACCCCTCCAAGCCCGTGACCGGCAAATCCTGCTCCGCATCGCCCTCCTCATGCAAATCCCACTGCTCCGTGATCCTTCCCTCCCTCGTGAAGAAGACATTCACATCCAGCTTCCCGCCGGTGTTCGTGAACGTCATACCAATCCCATACGTCTCCCCCCTCCTAAACGGCCGCGTAAAATCCTTGCCGCCCCACCGGTCATTAACGTACTTGTGCCCATCATCGCCATGCACGGCCAAGGAACCCCGATGCCAGCCCGGCATGCGGAAGGCTGGGTACGGCAGGGCTGTGAAGCCTAGCGCTAGGGTGATTTCGTCGTTGCCGCCACCGCTGCCTCCGCCCATGGCGCCCAGAAAGGGGTTGTTGGATGCCGGGCGCGGGATGGATACCTCGTAATAGATAGTCTTCGTCGTCCGGGAAGTATGTGACGGGATCAAGGGTGAATCATACTTGACGCAGTACAGCGGCGGGTAGCTGATGATACAAGCGTCCCCCGCCGCCTTCTCCGTCTTGCACTTCCACACGCCAGCGCTGACCCAGTCGAGCTTGCCGCGGAACTGCGGGGATGACATGAGCCGGATGTTGTGCGTCCGGAGCGCGTCGAGCGCCACCGGGTCTAGGTCCATGGGCGCCGTCAGCGGGTTTGCAGCGCACCAGGCTTCGCCCGCGTTGGCTTCTTCTTCCGTGGCGTTGGTGGTGTGCGAGCGGTCGTAGCCGGTGAAGAAGGCCGGAGGAGGAGGGAAGAGCGCGGTGTCGGGCACGAAGGATTCCCAGTCGTGTTGCTTGTTGGCAGGCGGCTTGGACTGGGAAGATGGGGGGCCTGGGGGAGCCTGGGTGTAGTCGTCGTGGTGTTGTTGGTGGGAGGGAGGAGGGCCGGGAGGAGGAGCGGCGTAGTCATCTTGGTGATGCTGGTGGTGAGAAGGGGGAGGTCCGGGAGGAGGGGCGAAGTCGTCATGGCGTTGTTGATGGTGGGAGGGAGGGGGGCCGGGAGGAGGAGCAAAATCATCGTTGTTTTGGTAGGGTCTGGCGTGAGTAGGGGGAGGACCAGGCGGCGGTGCGAAATCATCATTTGCAGAGGACTGGTTATGTCCCCAGCTCGGGGGAGGACCGGACGGAGGAGCGTAGTCGTTGCCGGAGTGTTGCTGGTTATGCCCAAAGTTCGGGGGAGGTCCAGAAGGAGGGGCATAGTCATTCTGGTCGTTGTACTGCGCTGGTGAAGGCATGTTGACTTTTCCTGGAGCCTGTGACGGTGACTGTTGAGGTTGTGCTGGTCGTGGACCGGGTGTATCGTCGGTCTTGTCTTTGCTTCCGAAACACATGGTGAAGTGTCTGATGGATGGCTGGGTCAACTCTTATATGATGTAGGTAGAAGCAGTCGACGTTGCCGATTGGGTGGGATGTGTTACACCACTAATATTTGAGAACGCAGATGCGGGCGTTCTGGGAATGAGTGACCAACGAGTGGTGCTGGTTCGCGATTATATCACCGTTACTATGTCGTTGCTTCGCCTCTTGGATGACGAGATCCCAAGACTGCTTAGACTGCTTGGATTATCGTGGACTTTGTCCTTGGTATTGCCAAGTGTAACCAGCTCAGGTGATGTTGTGAGAGTCCAATTTGCCGTTCTTTGATATTTGTTCGTAATAAAGGGACAGTTGGTCGTTGTTAGTGTTGGTCCATTTCCGTCCGATCGGACTTTCGGATACGGTGGTTACAAACACTCTTGCATGCATGAAGTTATACCCGACTTCACCTTGGTGACAGCTGCTTTAAGTTGACCCGATAGAATTAAGTCAAGTGCGTTAACAGAGATACTGAGTTCAAAATGGAACAAGAAGGTGAAGTCCCGTTAGCACAGCCATCACAAGCTTAACCTGCTCTGGTAGACCGTTGTACCCCGCAAAACATGCCCTGAACGGTTCCCGAAAAACCCCACTAGGCGCAGCGTCTAAGCCCCTGGCACCCCATGACGTCTTCGTTCAGGTACAGATCGGGGAAAGTGGAGGCCTCCACCGGGAAATCCACCGCAAACGCCGGAGCACCTACCGGCCGATGTCCGACTGAAAAGTCCGAGATTTGGGGTCATCCGGGGGTTTAACCGGACATTGAATTCGGCGTGTCTATACGCTAGATTTCTGTTGCAATAGAAACCGTATCGTATCCATGCTCCATATATCCCTGGTACTCATGTTCCGATATCGACAACAGTTCTCGTCTTCGTTGCTAGTTACTCCATGATCCCTTCCACACACCCATATATAGAACAAAACACATTACCCCTACCAATTCCCCCCTCATGCCTCTCCCTCACCAAGACCCCCCAACAGCCGCCGCTGCGGCCGGCACAAGCATAACACTAAACGTCGGCGCCCCGCTCCCCATGCCCTGTATATGCTGCAAATACGCCTCCATCTCCATATCATCACTAACCGGCAACGGCAACTCCCCGCCCTTGCCGTCCTTGACGATTCCCTCGATGGCCAAGCACACCACGCCCGGGTAGTTGGCCACTGCGGTGCTGCGTAGTTCCTGGACGGAGCGGCCCGATAGGGTGGCGATCCACATGCGTGAGACCACGCCTTGGAGAGGCGAGGAGGCGTGGAGGCGGAAGTAGACGGCCATGGAGGATGGGGTGGAGGTTGAGGGGTTAGTTGCCACTGGCTGTGAGACTTGGACTGGGACGGAGGGGTTTTGCTGGAAGTGCTGCTGTCGGTATCGTGTTTGCTCCTGGATGCGTTGTTGCTCCCGGATGCGTTGTTGCTGCTGTTGCTGTGTATACATGGTGGCTTGCGGCTGGGCGTGAGCCTGGGTTAAGCCATGGTTCGAAGTGCTATAGCCTTGTTGCATCTGGTTCCGGTTGGCTGCGTAATTTTGCGTAGCTTGGGAACGGGTTTGGGCCCGGCTTTGAGTTTGAGTTTGAACACGGCTTTGAGTTTGAGCAAGATTCGGAGTGTGTGAAGAGGTGTGGGCAGTAATGGTACTGGCAGCAACGTTGGCACCAGCACTGCCGCTTCCACTGGCAACATGAGTGCCGGTAGAATAACTTCCAAACGGATTATCGTCTTCAATTGACTGTTGCAACAGAATGTCCGGATCCAGGTTGCCGTCGTCTACATCTTGGGCATCCGGCTCCGCTTCGCTCTCCTCCGAGGAGCTCTCGGACGAGCTCTCGGACGAGCTAGACGATTCGGGTGGCGCGAGCCGCACAACCGTATGCGGTACCGGTGCCGGTGCCGTTAATGGCCCCGCCGTATTATTCTTCGGGGGTCGGCCACGGCCTCGTTTGGGTTGAGCTGCCTTCTCAGCCTTCTCAGCAGCCTTTGCGGCTCGCTTTGCGGCCCTCTCAAGTTGAGCGGGAGTCGGGGCCGGCTTCGGTTTCGGAGGGGCACGCTTCCTAGGAGCCTTGGGAGGCGGTGGATTCAAAGCATCCTTCTCCAACTTTGCTTGATCACCTCTGTATCTCCTCATTCCGTCACGGGCCAGCAGCTCGATAGCCTTCTTCCTCTCTTTGGCGTTAGGCCAGTGCTCACAGCCTGGAGGGAATAGTTCCTGCAGTAGCTCCGTGGTGTCGAACCATTTCTGTACCATTTCGTTCCACTTATCGATCCCTTCGACATGCTTGAACCCAAACTTCTCCTGACCCAGCAGCAGGTAAAGTGTTCCTCGAATGTATCTACCCTGCTCCGGATTCAGCCCGAGGAGGTTCCGGGCCTGTGCTAGTGTCATGTGTGACTGCATCGTCCTGATCCGCTTGGTCACGTCGCAGCAGATAACATCGATCGCAATCTTCTTCTGCTCCATGTTGGCTTGATCCCACATGATAGCACGGAGATGCATGCTATCACGGATCATCTGCTCCTTCAGGGCTTCCCATTTCTCCGGCCCGGCAATTGTCTTCTTGATAACGTTGTTCTCCCTGCAAATCTTTTCGAAGTTCTCCCGCAGCGCCTTGTAGGCCGCAGCGTCGAGCTGCAGGATAACCTTGGCTTCGTCTAGGGTTGTCTCGGATGGAAAGCGAGGAGGCAGACCGCTCGGATCTGGAGGCAGGCCTGCCCACCCCCTGGTTCTCCGTCGCCGCTTCTTGAGGGCCCAACGTTCTGCCGATTCTTGCTCGAGCACCCGGCGTCTCTCTTCTCTGCGAGCACGTTGTTCGGGGGTCAGTTCGTCGTCTGGGCCAAGTGGCAAACTTCCAGATGCTGATCTCGGGTGTTGGTCGTGATGTTGGCCTTGTGTGTTAGACGACCCTTGTCCATTGTCTTCCGCGGCGTTTTCCTCATCATCATCTTCGTCCTCCTCGCTACTTGGCTCTTCGCTGTCGCTGTCGCTATCATCATCGGAATCACTGTCGCCGTCGTCATTACCGTCGTTGTCGCCATTATTTGTTCCGTCAGCCGGTTTCCCAGGCGGCCTGATGATGCCTTTTCGTAGGTCCTGGATGGTCTTCAAGCGCAATTTCCAATTGCACTTTTGGCGGATCCTGTTGAGCGTACGATCGTTTATGTCGTAGCCTTCCCCATTGAGGACGCGTAACATCTCCGTTGCTTTGAGGTTCTGTTCCCATAGTTCCTTGATTCTGGCGATCAACTCGGTATTGCTGTAGGCTTTGTTGACCCTGATGGGCCAGCCCCATTCCCTGAACTTGTACCAAAAGGTGCGCCGGCTGGAAGTAGAGTGCCATGGTCAGTCAGTAGGCCAAGGAAGGTAATAAACCACATGCGAAGTTTGGTGTTGTGGAAGAGGCTGTCGAAAGCTGGGGTTTTGCTGCGCGAGCTATATACACCGCCCAAGACTGGGAGGGATGCCCGATCGTGGTACTGTGTACGGCGAGGGAGATGGGCGAGTAGTGTTGTTCACATACCTGGGGGTAAATCCATGGTTTTCTGCCATATACCGGGCAACCTGGGCAAAGCTTCGCTTTTCGTCGACGTAGAGACGACGACATATGTCTTTATAAGGATCCCAGTCGTATGTCATGGTGTGGAATTCCCCTCACAGCCGTGGTTGTGGGCGGGGAGTTGGCGATGATTTGCTACGGCGGTTGAGGGTTCGACGATTGTGCAATTGAATGCGCGGGTCGGGTCGATCCACGCGAGCCACAGAGCCAAGCTACGAAGGTTTCAATTGCAGGGAGCGCCGCGTTCTGTTGCAGGCATGCAGTGGTGTTTGCCCACCGTATTAGTTTCAAATATAACACTGTATCTGTGCACTGTTGTACGGTTGCCCCTTTCAACGTTCTGTTCACTGTTACATCACGTCTGATTCATATGAAGCACAATTCGCTCCCAGGCCAAAGTCGTGATTCCATTATCGCATAATATTCTACCGCTAGGTGTCCAGCAGTCATCATTAACATCATGCCGGTCCCATTTCGTCAGAGCTGTATCGTTCCCCTTCTGCTGCCACAAACCACAGCCCAATCAACCGTGCCAGCCAAGTGACTGATGCACATAGAAGCAGCATGTACATAAACAGCTCAGCTACATTCTGTGATCCTGTATGCTGGCACATAAAAAGAAAAGGTATAAAACGTCCTCCCTCGTAACTTCCGCATATTCCTCATGAATCAACCATATCCGTCGCCCTCTGTGACTTTCAAGGTCTTTGTGTCATCTTTCTAAGTACTCCCGCTCGGATCGGTCGGGTTAGGGGAGTAAAATGACACCAAGGCTATGATGACGTATGTCGCACACAACAGCGCTCCTTCCAGGTAGTTACTCCTACCATCCAACACCAAGAAATTGACGATGAAAGCTGAGACGAACAGACACACCGTCTCGAACAGCGTGAAGTAGAGCGTCATGTCTTTGTCCATGCACCAGCCAATAATGACGACGAGCGGCGTGATGAAGAGGGCGATTTGGATAGAACTACCCACCGCGACGCCGATCGCCAGATCCATCTTATTCTTCATGGCAACGGTAATAGCCGTGACATGTTCGGCGGCGTTGCCGACAATGGGAAGGATAATCAAGCCAATGAAGAGCTCTGGAACCTTGGAAGTCTCGACCAGGGCGTGGATCGAGTCAACCATGAACTCGGCGCAGACGGCTACCAGGGCGGTAGATACGAGCAAGAGGATGATAGCGCTGACGCGGGACAAGTCGTTGGGATGATCGTCGTCTTTATCGGGGACAGCGCCGTCAACAACAGCGGACATTGGAATCTGCGAAGGCATCAAGGCACCCTGAGGACGGTACAGTGATTGGCTGAGGCGGTCCGGTAGCGAGTTCGTCCTGCGAATGCCGTAACGGACGCGCGGAACAGGGCCGGAGGGGACCGGTGGGGTGTTGACGGAATCAGGGCCGGTGACAAAGACAGCCGGTGCCAAGTTCCTGGCGACAGGGCGAAGGGACATGCCGCGAAGACCGGGGAAAGGGCGGCGACCAGCTGATGTCTCAGCCTGAGCGTTATCGGCAGAGATAGCAGGATCCACGGCGAAGTCGACGCGACGGGGTTCGCCAGGCGAAAGTGGTGGCGCAACATCCGGCTGAACCTCGGCGTTTTCATCGATGGTTTGTCCATTCATAAACTCCTGAGATCCGTTATGGTGATGCTTCTTGTGTTTGTGCTTGCGATGCTTCTTCATGTGTCGCTTATATCTGTGCCGCCTGCGGTAATGCTTGTCGTCTTCAACAGCCTCCTCATTTCCTTCCGTTGTAGGGATGTGCAGATTAACGGCGAGTCCGGGCCGCGATGACGAGTCCTCCTGTGTGGCTTCATCACAAACAGGGGTGACATCACTGGTACCGAATGAGGGCGTCCTAGCAGGACCTGCAACAACGCTCTCACTCGTGAGGTTCGAGATGATGCTTGACTTTCTCCTGCGGTGACCACCACGCATTACACGCTTCATTCTCTTGGAGACTGTCTCACGAGAATAGTCCGAGTCCGACGAGTCCGAATCTGTCGAAGAGTCGCTGTCAGAGCTCGAGGAATCGAGCCAGCCGGCGGCGGGTCCCGGAGTAGACTCCTCATCAATGATATGCTGAGGAGTGGATTCGTAGAGGTAAGAGTGAGACAAGAGCTGGAAGAGAAGATAAATGACGTATACAAGCAGAAGAATCTGTAATCAAGTCAGCGTTGAAAAATTTTGTCGTTTGAGAAAGTCAAAGCTTACAACACTGGTGCCGCGGCTGATCTTCAGAGTCTTCTTGTCGGCGTCAGTTTCGTCCGTGAAAGAATAATGAAAGGCAGTCTGTAAGAGCATTAGCAGGTCAAAACCAAAGAAGATGGCACGGGGATGAGCATACAGGCAAGACGAGGCTAATAACACTCAAACTGAGAAGACAAGCACTCATCTGGGTGACGGTGCTGTTGTAGATCTGCACAAGTTGGGTCAATAACAAGGCTCCATTAAAGGTTCACACGTCAAGAAGGTGATTGAACGAACCTGTTCTCGGAAACGAAGACCGCCAAGCAAGAACGACATGCCCAGGATGAGGAGCAAATTGGCCAAGATTGAGCCAAGGAGTGAAGCCTGTACGATGTTGATCTCGTCCTGAAACAGTTATTAGCCATGTTAAACCCCATGGTGGGCGGGTGGAACTCGGAAAGCTTACCTTGACAAGGGCGATACTGTAAACGTTGAACAAAACAGACTTTGTAAGCATATGGACAAATTTGGATAGGGAATGGCACAGCAATACATGGACTCAACATGGGGATGGGAGTAACGGGAAAGGCAGTATCAATGATTTGGGACGCAATTGATCCGATAATGCCCTTATCCTGTTACAGAAGGGCTTCTCGCTCTCTCTTGTCTTGATCAGATTACCAACTGGCAGGTGGAAAACGTACATACTATCGAAGGAGTGTTAGCGCAGCAGTCCCATAAAGACATGGGACTTTTTCGATTAGCGGGCTTACAAAATGATCAGCTCTACAGCGTTGCCGAACGTAACGTTCAACAGGGCGCCGAGCGAGTCTCCAAGCTTACGGGCCACGCTTTCGGTGGCATAACTGAGGAGGCCGGCAAGAGGAACGATGGCAAGGGCATTCATGGCGAAGACGAGACCAGGCGAGGAGCCCGGTAGCTGGCTGACGACAATGCCGACGGGGACGAAGACCAACATCAAGTTCACGAGCTTGTTGTGAAACAAGACCTGCTTGACGACCTTCCCAAATCTAACTGCGATGTTCGGCTTCTGCTTCTGCTCTTGTTCTTGAGCGGCAGCAGCGACCGTAGTTTCTAACTCAGGCCCCTGCCCCGCAGCTTGGTGTGATGTAACCGTCGGGGATTTGGCGCCATTATTGCTATCCTCCTTGTGATGGCCGCCGGTTGACGAAGAGTCTGTGGAAGTCTGCTGGGGTTGTTGGTGCGCGGAGGGCACATTCCCGCCGCGGCTGCTGTCGTTGAGCGTGGCATCTTGGCCGACTGTGGTGATGGAGTTGGTAGTGGTAGTACCGGTGGGAGGGTTGCTTATGGGAAGCAAGCTGACGGGGCCTGAAGCTCCATGCGTCTTGGAGTTTGCCCAGGAGCGAATGCGATTTGTGTACGAGGAATTATTCGAAGGTTCCTTCATCGAAATTGACCGGTCGACTCGTTCGAGGGAGAGGGCGTGTACTTCTTCAACCGCACTGCTCTGCAACGGAAAAGAAAGAAATGGAGATAAGGCTCGAAAATGCAGATGCGGGGGGATGTTGTAAGTCCGAAGTTCGTCTACTAAAGTTGATGCCGAATGGCTTGGGGATAGGTTGCTTGGGCGGGAGTCCAGTCGGACAGAAGTAGGTACAACGTGGGCAGGTAGCAGATAGGCACCGGGGCTTATAAGGCCATGCCAAGAAAGGGAAGAAGTGGACAAGGTGGATGTGGGTGGAAGGGGCAAGGCCGGGGGATCGACGCAGACTTGGCGTTGACTTGTCGTTGGCTGGTGGGAACAACCTTGCAGGGAAATGGGGGTCTGAGAACAGACCCAAATCAGACTTTACTGGGTGCAACGGGGAAAAATCCGTCAATATGTCCTGATGAGTACCCCCTAAGACTTTTCACCTCGTCATGTGAATTACAGTCTCACTGGGCACTTACTAGGACCTGTTTTCAGACCCCGATTTCCCTGCAAGGAACTGGAAGCGACTGGCTGGTGGGAGGCCGCTAATCGACACGCTAGGCCGGATTTGTCAGTCCCAGATAGCGGTGCTCACTGCTCAGCGGTGCGAGACGATTAAGGGTCCGAGCTTGCCCCCCTCGCTGACCTCATCCGGGACTCCATCGCGGCGGAGTTTCCGTTGTTCTTGTTCACCGAATGGTGAAGCCATGACGATTATCGGCGGTGAGAGCTGAATGGAACAGGGCTTGCTGTGACTCCTGGGTACCTTGACAGCTTCACCGGACGAGCTACTATCCAATGCTACCTACCCTAGTTTACACTCTGGGGCACGTGAGCGTTTCTTGATTTTTGAGATGCACGATTCAGATCCAGATGCGTTGGCCGCCGTGATATGGCGTATGGCTGGATGTGTCGCTTGTTGAAAGGTGGGATCGTTCCAACTGCACAACAAAAACATGGAAGAGTGGACTGCTTGGCATTCCAGAACACGCAACGACCCAGAGACGACCAGGCTTCCCCTAGTTTTCCTCTTTCGGAAACGACGCAATGGCACTCACATTCATCATTCAGACGTTGATGCCCATATCAAAAGGTGAGCGGGTTAGCCAAGGTTCTCGTATCCATTAGTCGCAACCCGCAAACTCGTGCGACTCTTTTGGCACAGAAAGATGGACGAGATGGAATCATCCAAGCTCTTTGGCAAGACGAGATTCAACATGTACATATGTAAAGCGGCGGTCAATGCAACAGCTGCAAAAGCCCAATGTGACAGCTTGGCTGGGTCCAAGCAAGTCGGCAAACAAACATTTGCAAGGTGGCTGCTGCCACGGCTGCTTCGCGTAACACGCGTTATCTAATGCAGGCCCATCTACTTGTGTACACCTTCCCGCCATTGCAGCACCAACGAGCCTCCGACCCCCTGATGACATCAGACGCCGATACAGTACGCACTCTGCAGCGTGAGGCATCACTTCATGTACAGTCGCAAAGCCTATGTGCCTGCGGTCGGCCGGTACAGCTTGGATCCGTTCCCCGAGTCAAAAGACTTTCGTAAAGATCATCATAACTTTTATTGGCATGAGCTCTATGTCGTGAAAAAATCTAGTAAAAAAAATGTCCCAACACGCTTCGTGACTTTCGCAACACAAATCGCCCATCTCCTAATCTCTCCCATCATCATCAAGTCACTTAAGGAAGCAACCTCTTGGGCGTCCTGGGGTAGTACGCCGCAAGGTGGACACTAGGCAGGTTAAGGAACCAGGCAACAACGCGGTCAAGACCGATGCCACCACCACCGTGGGCGGGCACACCGGCCTGTCTGAACACGTCGACGTACTCCTTGATTCCGCCGCTCTTGGGGTCGACACCCTTCTGGACGATGCGGGCCTCGAGCTCCTCGGGGTCGTTGATACGCTGACCGCCAGACAGGATCTCCTGGCCGCGGAGGAAGAAGTCGAAGGCGTTGGTGACGTTGGGGTTGGCGTCGTCGAGCTTGGCGTAGAAGGGTCTGGCACCCTCGGGGAACTTGTCGAGCACGTAGAAGTCCGTGTTGAACTTCTTGCGGACAATGGCGCCGAGAGCCTTCTCCTGGGGGGTGCTCATGTCCTCGTCGTCGGACACGTTACGGTACTCCTCGGGGCCCTCCTCGCGGAGAAGCTTCTGACCCCTAATTGTTGACAATTACGTTAGCTATCACGGTGGAGGTGATTTTCAGGGGCGGGTGGGGTCGCTAGGGAGACACATACTCAGCAAAGGTCAATCTGACCTCCTTGCCGGGCTCGGGGAGAAGGAACTCCTCGGCGGGATAGACGGAGCGCACAAGCTCAATCTCAGCCGCGCAGCGCTCCTTAATGCCGCGGAAGATGTGAAGCAGGACGCCCTCGAGCATGAGGAGAACCTCTCTGTAGTCCTTCTTGATCTCCATTTCCAGATCGAGACCGGTGAACTAGGCCACATGTCAGCTCCAGCTTTTCTCCAACTCGTCTAATGTCCTTCGTCTAGCTTACCTCAGTCATGTGTCTTGGGGTGTTGGAGTTCTCAGCTCTGAATACGGGACCGATGCTGAAGACGCGCTTCCTGCCGCCAGCAATCTCAAACTGCTTGTAGAACTGGGGAGACTGGGCGAGGAAAGCCTCCTTGTCGAAGTAGGGCATGCGGAAGACGTTGGCACCACCCTCAGAGGCAGCACCGATCAAGCAGGGGGGCTCAAACTCCTTGAAACCGTGGCTCTTGAGGTAAGACCTGAACAGATCCTTGACCTCCACACGGATATCGGCAATAGCCTGCTGAACAGGGGCGCGCTTGTGCATGATGATGTTGTCGAGATGGGTGAGCATGGTAGCGGCGGGGATAGAGGACTCGGCGGTAATGGAAAGCTTGTCGACACCCTCCTCGGCAGCCTTCTCCGGAGCGGGCTCCTCGTCGCTGAAGTTGGTGATGGGGCGGTTGGCGGCGGCCAGAGTCATGCCGAGCATCTGGGGGGCAGCGGCGAGAACGAAGATCTTGCGGATGTGCAGCTCGTAGTTGGAAACCTTGCAGCTCTTGACGGGCTCGAGGGGCTTCTCGACGGTACCCTCGACGACGACGAAACTCTCGGGGTTGATACCGGCCGCGAACTTGACCATTTGCTTGCTCACGGGGGTGCCTTCGTTGTTGGCGGCAAAAACACCCTGGATGGTCCAGGCGCCCTCCTCGCGCAGCTCGAGGAAAGCCATCTTCGCGCTGTAACAGTGTAAGAAGCCGGTCAGCCCATCTTTCTGTCTTGATGACTCCTAGACAACAGGCCCGAAGAGGGCGCAACCTACCCTTGGATTCTGGCATTCTGGACCCAGGCCCTGACAATGACAGCCTTGCCGACGTGCTCCTCGCCGATGTTCTTCAAGTTGACATCCTCGACATCAGCCGACAGCTCGAATTGTCCCTTCCTCTCCTTGACGACACCATAGTTGTCCTTGGCGAGATCCTCGGTCGGTCCGGTGCTCTTGCCGGCGGCCTTAGCAGCGGCCTCGCGCTCAGCAGCGCGGCGAGCCTTCTCGGCCTCCTTCTTGGCCTTGGCCTCAGCCTTCTTTTGCGCCTTCTTGGAGGGACCCTCGCCCTCAGCGCCTTCGGCAGCGGGGGCGGCAGCGGGAGCAGCGGCGGGAGGCTGCTGTTCGGCCGGGGGCGCGGGAGTGGTGGCAGCGTTGTCGGCCATGTTGGTTTGTCGAATTCGTTACTAGCGTGGTGTAGTAAAGTGAATTGGGCGCTTGAGATGGTGGAATTCGAGGACGCGGAAAGGTGAATTTTGGCGGGGCAGTCAACGGAAGCTTCCATCCGACGGGATCCAGTGCCCGGCGGCGGGGTACGGGGACCCTGATAAAGGACTCCAGTGGGTGGCCTGACAGTTGTGAGTCAACAATTGGCAGTGGCGAACGGCTGCCGGTACGTACCATTTCACGATGTTGTTTACACTGGAGGTCAGGTCAGGCCATCGGCATTCAGGGGCACGGAATGGTCTGGCCATCAAGGTCGCCCCATTCATTGAATGGTGTTTGGACTTTGGACCAGGCACACCAGGGCTCACAGGCCGTGCACGCTCAGTGGTCCGTTCATCAGTGACTTACAGGTGGTGGGTGTATGTACAAACTCCTTCCACTTTGCGGTATAGGTACATCATACAACTCCAAAAGCCTCACTTCCACGACTTCAAACAACCCAATTGCCACCTTATACATGTCCCTACCATCAGCAGCCGACTGGAAACTCCCAGAAAATATAGGCCAGTCGATAGACATGATGGTGTTGACTGAGATCCCTGCGACAGAATCCCATCGCTCAACTTCGCCCATAATAAGCAACATAATGACCATCCAACCGACATCTCCTCCTAGTAAATTATCAGACACTAGTCCCTCAACATCAAACCCCTCTTCTGCTCAACATGCTCATGAGGATGTGAGGATGTGAAGCTAAATACGGCAAAAGTGTAAACAGGCTCCGCGAAAGAAAAAATATAACCACATGCTCCGTGACATCAACAGGTATATAGAGACTGATACTGTTCGCAGAGAAAAGGATATCATACGCCCCATCATGCATGCCAAACTAGGTGATAGATAATCGACGACAAAACCACTCTCACTACCATACATATCCCCCGCTTGCCCTATAAGCTGGAAAAAGAAAGTCTCTGAAACCTTTAACACCAAAACAACTCCAGCTAAACAGTAGTAGACATCCCACATTCGATTGTAACTCCCTTTGCCAACAAGGAGTAGAGAGATACGAAGACGGACAGAAAAATGCAGAAGAAAAAAAACAAACAACAACTTATTACAAAAGTGGCACAAAATATGTCTTCTGGTTTCGTAGCCCTGTCCTAGCCCAAGTTCATGGCAACTCGCCTATGGATGGAACATCCGTCCTTCTCTCCGCTACACTCACTGGGTCTCACTCCTCTAGCCGTCGCAATCAGTAGATATAAGCAACATCCGTAGCAATGGGTATATCCACATCCGCCAACTGCCGATCACCATGTTCTCCGCCCATGGCTGATATAACAATGAGATGACTCGATATAGAACTATCGCTCGGCCGCCAATTGAGATCAGGGATATGACTTTTGAGATCTTTTCGTTGCTCGGTCTCGAATGATTACAAGGGCATAATGACGAACTCTGTTCGAAAGTAAGCTGCGTGACCAAGATCCAGCCGTCGAGAAAGCCCAACGTCAGGTCCCGCGCAGGCCACCACAGGGCCGCAAAAAACGAAGCGAATGTCCAGCCCTATTTCATTGGTCGACTGCGAGTGAAAAGCTCAGATATCGATGGTATATCCGGTTCGCCATCTCCTCAATTGTTTTCACC